ATTTCTAGCTAATACAGTGTATTTCATTTCCGACAGATATCTAGCCAGAAGTAGACCTCGTCATGATAAGATGCTAATTTGAGAAAATTATGTGTTCGCTTTCCCTTGTCTTTCCCCCTCCCTTTTTAATTCTAGAGCAGTAACCTGTCGCTCGAAAAGAAGGTTAGCCTTACGTGGGCTTGAGAAAGCTGACGAAGGAACTCGACGAAATAACGTGTAGTTTTGATCTGGCTATTTGGTGAGACAGACGCCAGTTTTTGGGGGTCAAACGGCCATCCCACCTCGAGGGCCGCGGCCTGTGGCCGATTTTTCCCTTGCCACTTCTAGATGCGGGATTTTCTTTTATGTTAAAATGAGGGCCAACTTAATTTTACTCTTCTTCGCTGTTGTGGAAAAGGTCCAGATACTGTACTGTACCAGCAGTGCATAAAACTACCCGAAATATTCCCTTCAGGGCGGCAGGGCTCCTTTTTGTATGGGCTTCTTGGGACCCTACGGAAATAATCATGACTCCCTGATAATTTTCAAAGAGGTAAGTTGGGAAATCAGGGTCTACCAAAGCCGAGTGTCAGATTCTCTAGAGGCGTACTTTGGATCCTTTGCACGTAGATGACTGCTTGTATTCAAGTTCACGCTACTCAGATGCTCGTCCCCTTATCGAGGTCAGAAACTTGGGCCCAAAAGGTTTGGGCGTGATTGCGATAAGCGATATACCTCGAGGTACACGTGTCATTGCGGAGTCGGATCTTCTTCAAGTCAGAGTCGATCAACTGTACGCGCGGAAGATGTCGTGCGTGCCTTCGAGAAGCTTCCCCTACCCCAACAAAATCTCCACCTAGAGATCCATGCATATGCGTCTCCCGAATACAAGAGCGCAGCCGAGCGTGAATTAGAGCAGAGCTGGGAGCAAATACCACAACTACGCGCAAAGTGCTTGAGATTTATGCAGCAAACGCCTTTGGCGGCGTTTTTTTGCTAGCTTCTCGTATCAATCACTCATGTATCCCAAATCTCCATTTTGCATACAACCCAGAGCTCCATAAAGAGACATTCCATGCCATACGGGGGCAGGCGAAGAGCTCACCATAATGTACATCAAAGGTACCAACCGTACTCGCAGTCAGCGCCAGGCGGAGCTCAACAGGTGGGGGTTTCAGTGCACATGTTTGGCATGTGAGGACACATCGCAGGGTAAAGAGTGAGAGAGAAAGCGTTCTCAGTTATTCGACTTGGACCAAAAACTCGCACTTGACGCGCTAATGAGCACCGAAAGATCTTATATGAAGTCATTGCGGGCGGCACAGAAAATGGCTGCCATACAACAATCTGAAGATTTGCTAAATAGAGAATTAGGGGTTTCGTAAGTGGCCTAACCCGAGCACCTGGCTTCTCTGACGTTTTAGATATCATGATGCGGCTCGCTATAGCTTGAGGCTGAACAATACATGAATGGCGTTGATATGGGCCAAAAAGAGTTGGAGGTTGACCACTACTGCATTGGGGAAGACCATCCAGCAAGGAAGGACTTCAGATCGTGCGTCTGCTGGAAGCAGCAACAGATGGTGTAGAACCAGTTCATGAAAATGTAGCAAAGTGGTATCAGCTGCACAACTCGCCTGCGGATCAGTGCGTTGTTATGTAATCGGACGGGATAACTATGCCCGGGTGACCCAGCGTTTGCACCCAAGCGAGATCTCTTCGATTCTAGCATCTATAATTGTATATTGGCCTGACTGAGCAACGTTTCATTTTGTAAGACTTGCGATTATGCTTTTTGGCTTCCCTTAGTTATATAGTCATGTCCTTGGTCACGGCAGACTACGAACTCGAGAATATGGCTCTCATTCAACCACACTGAGTTCCGGGGCAATTGGTTAAAAGACCGTAGAACATGATGCACCCAGATTCACCCATTTGAGATATTGACCGTACGAGTCTGAAGTAAGCCCCTGGAAACAAGAGCGCGCCCTCTGCGACGCCTCCTGCCCTCCCCACTTGTCGCCATCAGTGGCATCATCATCATCGCTTTGATTAGATTTCGGGGAAGATATCTTCCATGGTCACTGGAACTGGACGAGGGTAGCACTCCTCCTGTTATGTCAGCGAAATAATCTGGACTAACCAACTAGTGAACCAACTGCCAAGAACCTACTTGTCTTGATAAGGCCCCAAACCATCTTCCTCCGGTGGAATCGAAGACGAATATCTCGCCAGTTTTTCTAATCTTGATAGCCACCAGGGTATCAGCCTTGCATTCCAGGCTATATTCCGCCGCTCTCTTAAAGATAGTATTCTTCCGTCTATTTTTCTGCTGTGATGCCGCCTTTGCGGTTTCCGAGTGACGCTTCTTCACCCAAGAGGATTTCCGAGACATGGTGAAATATGCTATATTAGGCGGGCATTCTCAACCCAGATCTAAGAGAGGAGCGACTTCGCGCCCTAAATAGCTTTTGAGGACATGTCATACTTCAAGATGCTCACTGAATCCGCGAGATCATTTACCTAACCCTCTTGGTTGAACTACATCACCGCTCAAAGAGAACATGAGGTTTTGTCCCTTACGAAAACTCTAGGAATGCCAGACAATTTAACTTAGCGCTCAATGTTCATCCTGCTGACTGTTGATGAATGGGAGTAGTTTTGTGGAGAGAGCAGAGTGAAGAGGCGGGTTGCCCCCCAGCGTCCTAACAAGAGCATCTGCATTTCGCTGTTCAACCCTTGAGTATGTTACTACGGTATTCTTGAGAAGGCAAGAATGGGAGAGGGCAATTTTTTGCAGACGAGGTATTAGCTGCCCACCTCTCTCCCACCTTGAGGTGGGAGTACAGTTAAACAGTACAGGAACCAGAATTTCGAGGAAAAAGATTTCTCCCAGAAAGTGGGCGGTGCCGTTGACGCTGACAGGATTGGGGGGCCTATGAGTCACCTACTATGACGCACAGCAATTAAGTTGGCTAAAATTAACGCGGCGTGACCATGTGGGTCGTTCTGAGGCTGTTCAACTCATCTCGATTTTAAGAATTGCACTTTAAGGGGGCCTCAAAATCTTTCGCTACTATATTTCGGCTCGTGATTTGATGAACCTAATTATTTGCAGCCGGGATTGTTGAACAGAAAGTTGAACAAGCTTTCAAAGAAGTACCGCCTTTGAAAAGAAACAGGGAAAAAAGCACAGCTTTCTCTTTGGAGCCACAGATTGCGAAATGTGGGCCCAGAGCGACTTCGTCCGGCAAGCAACAGCAAGAGTGTTTACTACTCAAGATTGCCTTAATGACGTTAGATTTGGTCCCCTTATGTAACCTATATGGTCCTGAGAAGCACTCAACATCATCCTACTCTATCCCGACCCTGGTTACTCAGCTACATTGGCAGGCTGCAGAGGTTTGGTCAAGGTCATTCTGAAGCACGGCATCATCGGTTCTCGCTCGGGGGGAGGAGAAATACTGTAACGGCCCAATCACCTGATGTTTGACTGACTTCTGTATCTCCGGGGCCCTGCTGCACACTGTCCCTGAGGCTCTCTTTCAATCTAACAGGCTCAGAGGGAATCCGCTGCATCTTCCCCTGGCTGATCCACATATTGATGAACTTGTGCGATTCTCGCCATATGCAGACGATCAGGTACCCGATTTAACTGAACCTCTTAAAGGATGGCATCAATATTTGGGGGTTTAGAAGAAATGGAATCAAAGTTCATTTTAGTGCTAGTGTGACGCCAAGAGGGCGATCAAAGAACAAGAGTCCACTTCTAAGAGCCTGTTGAAGAGCGTGGAGTAGGTTTCATCGAGGGAGTCGCGATATGCGAGCGAGAGAAGAAGAATTTGGGGTCTCTCGGTTGAGTCCATTGTCGTGGCTTTTGGTGGGTGAATACCAGCGACCAAAAGGTGGGGTGTCAGTGATCAAATGTTCAAATTCAGAGTGAAGAGGAGAGGAAGAGGCTGCACGTTTGAAGCTTGGGCCGCACTTTCTTCACCTGAGGCGAACACAACCCAACTCCAAGGTGGGGAAAGGAGGACTGTAGTATCTTTTTCGCATCGTGAATCAAAGTTTATGATTGGTCTATTGTTACTCCTTCCCCCACCATGGAGTCTCAAGACAATGGAAGCATCCCAAAGTCGACGTTATTCTGATCTGAGAGCTACAGTATACCGTGTAAGTCCTCTTGAAGTGGTGTTTGCAAGCAACGCCGTGTCTGGGAACTCTGCATTAGGCTCTGGGGCCGGTCTAGCCACTGGGGACTACTCACTGGGGGAGGTTCAAGTGGGAAGGCTTCTCATTCAAAGAAACAAAAGGATACGGATCTGCTGTTAATGCTTGTAAAATAGATGGTGCCAACCTTTAGAGCGACCCGTTGAACAAGTTTGACTCCTACATTTTCCCCTCAGAGGATTTTAACCCCTAACCATTGACTTCTATCGCTCCGCAGTGGATCGCCGACTGGTGAAAAAGTGCTTGGCCAGCCTCCAGAGATCAATATGCAGTACTGAAGCGCGGGGCTCAAAGCGAGCGCCTGTGAAATGACCTGCTGCCTAATAGATTGCTAGCCTGCGTTGCAAGCTGATTCTAATTTCTACTGAGATGTCCACCTTAGCAGTTTCAGTTCGACAATCCCTACGAACAATAGTTCCTTGGCATTAGGAGACGCTGAAGCCGGGGCTCCACTGTAAACCAATCAGACGTACCCAGGGTCGCGCTGAAGGCGCGAGTCCTCCAGCGCTCGCAGCGATCAGCTGCATCCGCAGCCATGCTTGACGTCAGGATGCTGAAGCGCTGAAGCGGGTGGTTCCGCTGTAAACTCATCACTAATCAGACGCAGCCAGTCTCGCACTGAAGGCGCTAGTTCTTCGGCGATCCCCCACTTCAGCACTACTTCAAGAATCGAGTCTCGAAAGCGGGATAATTGAGTAGACATGTGATGTTACTAATTTCAGACTAGTTGAAACATCGCACACCATACAAAAGGGCCATTGATAACATGACTAACGCTATGATAGCACTGCCTAAGAATCGTCCGAAAGGTATGGCTCCGGAAACTCATCCTCGGTTGTATTTTCGTCATCCGACCGGTTAGTAACATCTTTTTTCCTCCAACGCTCCAACTGGCTTTGTTGTTTACGAGATACTACAAAACGCTCCTCAAAAGCCGCTCGCACGGCAGTCCTCGTGCCATGTTTGAAGGTACCTGAATGTGAGACAACAAATAGCACAGCGTTGTATACCTTGACAGGGTCTTGCTTTTCATCACCAAATTCGCCGCGTATTATCAGGAATAAAAGTCGAAATGCCGCGTCTCGTGCTCGGGTTTTATCACCCCTCACGATTTGATAACGCTTATACTCGAGTTCGTAGTCGGTTCTGCAGGCTCTCAGATCGGCGAAAATATCATCAACAGACTGCCCTCCAAGTACGTCGACCCCGAGATAATCATATGTCTCACAGAGAGTATGGTATTGAGGAATATCACCTCGCAAAGAGCGAAAACATTGTCGATAGCCTGATTCCAGGCCCTTGAGAGCAATATCAAACAATGGGATATCCTCGAGGACGAAATCAGTCCGTTGCGGCTGGGCAAGGCGTTGGAAATTAATGAAGGATGATAAAAATGGTATCATCGAAATGTCAACACTGTAGACAGCGTCACCGATTTTAAGTGTCGTTTTTCGAGCATCTGATCCGATCGCTTGGGTCGATTCCACTTTATCACCGAGTTTCGAATAAAGATCAACCGGTAACATCCTCTTTCCATCTCTCGTCCAAACCTCAAGGCTGCCGCTTCTACCATCATGTTTGACAACCGCATTCCCGCCATTGTCTCTAACCACTCTGATGATTTTCTTAATCAGCATAGCCAACCCCGTAAGATCATTGCCATGATCTTCTTCCCATTTGGTAATCTCACGAGTGACATCTTCGACTTCTGGCGGTCCAAATAAGCCGCCATTGTGGTGGGCACGGACAAGATTGGGTGTTTGCGATACCCACAGCTGCGGGAGGACTTCGTGGATGCGAATAGGATTACGAGATGCCCGTGTTTTGATTTCAAGAGTTGACTGAATCGGCACCTGTTTGCCTTCTTCTTTAATGACTAGTTTGGAGTCGGGGGCACGACGAGAGTGACTTGTGGATCGCGCAAGAGACAGGGTTTCCATCATCTTCAGTAAATTCCCATGATCCGAATCCTCGACAGTTTGAGTCTGAACTCCTGAATGTTCGCCCAGATATCCGTCAGTTTCATAGCGCACGACGAATTTCAAATCGCCGAACTTGTAGGAGATGACTCTATGATGTCCGGTGCTCTGGGGAACCTGAATAGTGGTGAATGCTTTCTCAAACTCGTGCCCATAGCCTCTAAACTCATGTGGTCCAATGACCGTGTAGGTTTCGGTTTCTGCCCGACAAAAAATTGCTGTATTCTTCGTGACCTCAACATCAATAGTGAAAGGTTCAAGTCCATTTTTAGAGAGACTTGGATTAACGAATTGAAAGGAGCTCTCTCACCCTGTCCCTTCGACCAGCTGCTCCACTGTCTCGTTTTGGATGTCCATAATGCCTCCAAAACTGAGAGACTATGCTCGGTGAGCCTTGAATTAAGGCAAACCCATGTGTGAGGTTGTCGAGCTCGTACAGCTCGTCTTCAGAACTTGGATGACTTTCGGTCTTCTCTTCAATGTCGAGGATTGAATCTCGACGAACGCTCGTAACCAGAGCACAAATCTTCAAAGCTAGCGGTACTAGCATGTAACCCGATAGCCAATAAGCTCTGAAAGGCTCCGCAACTGCTGTGGTAATGGCGATGACGATAGAGGAAAACTCGCTCACAACTGTGCCAACGACCGTCCTCCAGGTGATAGTTGTCTCGCTAATCTCAATTGCATCGAGACCGGCATGATTGAAATCTTTTGCGTAATGTAACTTGAGGCGATGAACTAGTTGCATCGCTCGATATGGCAGAATTCCATTCGGCGCAGGGTCTTCTGGAGTAGGTGCCGGCAAGCGCCCATTGTGGCCTTGATATTTCACTTCTCTTAAAACTTGCACCCAAAACCCATTCCTTGAATTTTTCGCAATCCTTTCATGCACATCATGTGGTCCCGTAATACGATAGTATTTGACCTTTACATCATGATAAAATGTGGTTCCAAGCATGCGCCCTCGCCTCATACCAAGGTACAATCCATTATCGCGGAAAGTACCGAGAGACTCAAGAGCCGCTCCGTGCAGTGGCCCTGACATGGGTAAAAGGAATGCAAGCCTGAGTAGAACCAATGGGTTGACATCATTGTAGAACCGCTGAGGCCAGAGCAGGCGTTCGAAGAAGGATTCTGTTGCAGCTGCAGCGCCTAGGTAGCCGATCACAGATCCAAGGGGCCCAATCAAGTCCGACATGACAGTTCTTCTTGCTTTAGGGTCTGAAGCCTGAGACGGATAGTAGATGGAGTCGATATCGTCTCAGTAGGATGGGTTCTTCTCTTTAACGATTAACAAGATTTCAGCCACAGCTATCCGTTTAACTAGATGAGGAGAGAGTAGATAGAGGATAAAATAGCTGCATAGGGGCGGCTCTTATAAAGACCTGACAACTAAATGGACTCTATCTCGCCCATGAAAGACTGTGATTGATGGTGACGTGGCTATGTACAGTGGCTTGGCTGTCAGATGGGCGCATTAGGCTGCCTTGTCTTTGCTTTTTTTTCTTCCCCCTTCTTCTACCCCTCACCTGGCTATACACCCAGTACAAACATTTCAGATCTTAAATTTGCTCAGATTGATATTTCCTGGGACACATAAAACTGTGCTGCTTGAATACGAGATAGAAAACGAGCATGTCTAGGAACCCACCTCTAGGCAGTATAGTGCGCTCCAGATTGCCAATGACAGTCGTCAACTCAACTTCCTTACTGTAGCAAATTTTCACGAACAAGCTTGTGTTAATACACAATAATTTAGTGAGTAGGAAAATATATAGCAAATATGCAACAAAGGCTTCGTCATACCTGATGTGCAAACCCCCCCCCCCCCCGGGCCGGGGCGAATCACATAATCGTGAAGTGTGAGAGTCCTTTGCAATCGGTAAGATCTGCCGCTACTGAATTACGTAGCAATTAGCGGATGCGGGGTTTGGGCAATTACTTATACATCTATAAATGCCCCCGCAAGGATCCCTGACACCAAAACCACGCTCAACAGCTCAACTCCTCGTCTTGAGAGCAAAGCACAAGTTCGATGAAAGTCTACTGGCAAAGGGAGCTCGGATGCGACTTTGATTTATATATGAGCTATCTTGACTGAACAACATTGTCCACGACAGCCTTAGCCAAGAAATCGGCTTCCTCGAAAGATGCATACCGACGCATGGGATGAGTCCTGCGACTGGCCTCGACGTCTCCTACATGTACCATCCATGACTTCACATACATGGGAGCCAGGTAACACCTATGGAGGCCAGCCTAACCCACCATATAATGCCCTGTCATATACGTGGGGAAGATGGGCGCTCAAAGATCTTGATAATTCCGGCATCGATAGCCTTCGAATAAGCGGTATTCCTTGGCAAACGCCACGTGTCAGGCCGAGCCACTTTACTGTTGAAGAGCTACTGTTCACAATCAAAGCCGCAAGTGTGGAGGCCGGGCCATTCTCAACCGATTTTCTATGGCTCGATGTTGCATGCATCGATCAAAGACCGAATTCGCGAGAGAAAGCTAGTGAGATAGGCAGGCAGGGAAAGATATTCAAACGAGCGCACAAAGTTTACGCTTGGCTTACATCTTTCGACACAAATTCGTTCGACAAATGGCTGAGTTGGAGCATCGAGGGTCTTTTCATACCCTACTTGCACGCTAGCCGAGCAAGCATAGCACGGGGACAAGTTCTGGCTACTACTGACATTCCGGATAGCTTACTGGAAAAGATAGATGAGCACATCCAAAGGCTTGCTCGAGACCCTTGGTGCACGTCTCTCTGGACATTGCAAGAGGGGTTTCTTAGACCAGACGCTTTCCCGTTGCTCAAAACTCCTCCAGATCCTGACAGAGTTTTCCCGGATCTTCAACACTCAGTTGATTGGATCGGTCATATTATTGCCGATACTCAACGCACTGGCCTCTCTCGAAATCAAAAGCTCAGAAAGATCCAAAAGACAGCATTAGAGCTTGGATTTATCGGAGCCGGTCATGGTCTCAAGAGGGAAATCCAGAGCCACCGCCCCCAAGTGCTGGGCCCAACAGAGAATCCATTCCATCTTCTCGCATGTAGCACCTCGAGAAAGACGTCCCGCGAAGAGGACCGTGTTTATGGTATTATGCAAGTGTTTGATTTTCGCCTTGGAAAATCTGCACCGGAAGAAACGCGCATCAATTTTACGATTCAGGAGCTCAGGCAGCAGCTCGAGGATGCTTTAGTCGCGAAGTACCCTGTAGCTAGCCAGCTCGTGATACAGCCTAGCGACTGCCGACTAGGTGAAGCCTGGATGGTGCAACCAGGCGGAGTGGTGTCAACTTGTGGAGAAGCGTTCTGGCGAGCGGTACAAGACGCCAACACAGTGAAAGTCTTGACAAAATTGAGCATAAGGCTGTTCAACGATCAGCGTTGGGGGTTTTTCCAGGGACCAGTCTCATCTTTCTATACTTTATCGCAGCGCTTTGATGTTGGGGTAGACCTCGATCAACGATGGCGCGAAGAGATGCTGGATACCGCAGGAAATGGAATGGCGATCTCTGAGGGGAGAACTGAGGTGGTTTGGCCTTTTCAGGATCGCTATATTCGGTCGTTCCCATCGGTACTCGAATTAAACAACCAACACGTCAGAGCCCGTGCGACTGTCTACAGCTGGGTCAACAATAGATTTCCGGAGCTTGAAGTAGCTTTGTTGGGTGTCACTGTGATGGAAATCTTAGGGGATCGACTATTGGCTACGGCTCATGGCATCTGTCTTGAACCTTTGGATAGGAGAATTAGCCCGGCCAGTTTTCAGCGTATTGGGACGGCTAATTTCAGTTTTGAGATAGGTTGTGGGAGCAGAGCGGGCGACATAGCACAAGAAAATGATATTTACGTGTCATCTAGTGTTGATGAGGAAATCCATAAATGCATGGAGTTGGGTGAGGGTTTGTTTGGGTAGGACCTGGCTCTACCAGATGGTCCTGGGAATTTCGTTATCACTTTGATCATACCCCGGAATTGACTGAAACGGATAAATGAGACAAAGGGTTTAGCACTAAACGGGGTAATGCCCTAGCAGCCAGGAGTGAGATACAAAGATGTTGAATATAAGAGCCATCTTTGAGCGTCAAACAGATACAATGTTGTTGTCAGCCTCACTGTGACCCCGCCTCTCCTTGAGGTGTAAGACACGTGCTATTATCTTTTCCAGCGCATCAAGTCTTATATTACCTAATTTATGACTTGAGGAGCTTACCGATAATGGATGATTACCACCCAAAAAAACCGAGGGCTCAGCGCCAAGTACTCGAACCTGGTAGTCATACGAATATGTGGCAGTCTTGAAAGAGGTCCGTGCGAGAAACGAGGATATAAATGTATTAGTGCCTTCCAGTGACCCTCACCGCCTTCGGGTTGGCGTTTTAGAGCCAAATATGGGAACCAGTGAATGGAATAGAGATGGAGTAACACTGAGTAAAGATCACATCCATTTCTTTGAATTCGCTCGCTCATTGACTGCAGCATGATTGCCGTTGTCCGCTACGTAGGCCCTCCCGTATAAACCCTCTGTGATTGGTGGGAGATTAGGCGGTGTGCTGGGTTCGGACCTGACACCAATGTAAACACGGAGGTTGCTAGGGAATTACATTATTGTAAAAGCAGATCAAAGTTAATATTCCTAGTGCTAACTAATAAATGTCTTAATATTAGGATGCTGAAGTATTAAAGCAGGTGGCTTTACTATAAACTAATTAGATATAACTAGTCTTATACTAATAGTACTAGTTCTTTAGTAATTAATTATATTTTTAGCTAAATAGAATTATAATTAATAAGAGTCTATTATATTAGAACCTGGAGTCTTAGGAATTAACTAGATATAAGACTATATTAAGATCTAGACTAATATAAAAATATAGTTATTATTTTTAGCTATTTATATTAAGCTACTAGTAATAGAATATATTAGCTAAGTATTATTATAAATATTAATAGTATAAGGCTATTATACTTTAGTAGCTTAAGTATCTTATAATACTTATAGATAGCTTATATATAATATTTATAAGTTAAGTTTAAGGTATATTAGATATTTCTAGAAAGTATATAAGACTAGTTATCTAGGTAGATATTATACTAATAAATATATTCTTAAAATAAAACTAGTATTCTTCTATACTCTTATTAAAGTTATAATCTCTTTAAGTAATATAGTAGAGGGTCTATAACTTAGGGTTTATAAAACTTTAATAAGTATAGGTTAATATTTACTATCTCAGGACTTATAGAAGAAGCAGGAGTATTAGTACCTGAATAACTACTAAATTCTATAGATTCTACTATACTATCTATAGATAAAGTATTACTATAAATAAGATATAGTTTTATTAGAAGATAATATAGTTTAATATTAATATTATATATATATATAGTTATAGTATATACTAAAAATTTAGTAGCTTTAGTAAACTTAAAGATACTATAGTAAGCTAGCTATAAATAGCTAATTCTATTATATATATAGGCAAGATAAGAATTAATAAGATAATAATAGACTAAATCTTACTACTTAGCAGGGAATTTATATAAAGAAGAATTAGATAATAAAAATTAAAATTAACTATAATAGATAATATAAATATCTATAAGATATTTTAATAATTATTTTTTAATAGATAAGGATTCTTCTAATTTCTTAATTTTATTATTCTTAATATTCTAGTTAATTTAGTTATCTTGCTGGTTTAGTTTATAGAGTAGTAAGAGAGTAACTATATTCTTAATAACCTAAATTTATTATATAAATAGCTTATTCTTATTAAAATTCTCTATTTCTAGTTTATAGAAATTCTTTATAAGTTATATCTACTTAGGAAATATATAATCTAGGATTAGAAGATCCTAATCCTTATTCTTAGAGCTATTAGTATTAGATTAGCTAATATTAAACTAGCTAAGTAGTTACTTAATCTATCTATTAACTTTAAGTATAGGTATAGTATAGAAATATTCTTTTTAAGCTATCTCTTATATATTATTTAATAGAGTTTTTCTTAGCTAGAATAGCTTTTTCTTAACTTTTTTATATTTTTAATAAAGATAAGGAAATAGCTTCCAGGCTTTCTCTATAGTACTAGTTAGAAATTATATTTTTTTTATAAGCTCTTTTTTTTCTTATCTAAGTTTAAGAACTTTAGAATACTAATAAATAGTATATTTCTATATATTAGTAAGATTAGATAAAGTAAGAAGATCTTTCTTTTTAAATATACTTCTAGTAACCTGTAGGAGACTATTCTAGGATAGTTAAAAAAAAACTATATATTAAAGATTATAATTAATAAATTATAATTAGTAGTATTTTTTAAAAACTATATTACTAGATTAGCTAAATACTCTCTACTATTTCTAGCTAGTAAAGTTCCCTGGAAATAATAGTTAGATATAGAAAAAATAGTCTATTCTAGTATAGATAGAGTTTTCTCTAGAATAAGTCTAATAATAGGAAATATATAGTTAATTTTATTTATAGTCTATTAATAGTAGTTATAATAGCTAATATTATTCTTAAATTTTATATTCTAGTCTAGCTCTTAGAGCGCTTATTAACTTAAATTATAAGTTATTAGTAAAGACTTATAAAGTTTATAGCTATATAGAATATAGTTAAGATAGTAAAGAAGAGAAGTATCTAACTTCTTTAGCTTTTATTAGAGTAGAAGAAATTAGCTATATTTTAGAACTTAAAAATATTATATAAACTCTAGAGTTAATATAGTATTAAAAAAAGCTTTATTATAGAAGACTAATAAGATAATCTAGTTAATTAAATAATATATAAGTTAATAATTACTATATATAAAGAATTTAGTTCTATAAGAAGAGAAAAAAAGATTAGATATATTTATAATCTAGAGTAGAGATATTTTATCTATTAATATCTTCTAATTAATCTTTAAGATTATAGAATTTAATAATTATATAAAGAATATTCTACTTACTATCTAGATTCTTAAGAATAAAGAGCTTAATATTATAGTAGTAGATTAATACTAGAAGATTATCTATTAATATATATTTAGAAAAGTTACTCTAGAAAGTCTAGTCTTTTTTATATTTATCTAGTAATATATTTAATAGAGATACTTTCTATAGAAGAAGTATATCTAGTTAAGTTCTAGTAATAGTAGATTAGAGCTAGATTATAGTAAATTAAATAATTATACTTTTATAATAGAAATACTTTAAATATACCTAATAATAGTAGTAGATAATATAGAAGATATTTATATCTAGTATATTCTTAATCTTTATTTATCTAGATATTTTATACTTAGCAGGGAGTATATATTTAAAAAATTATTATTCTTATTAGCCCTCTATCTATAAAGTTTAAGGAAATATAATATACCTGTTATATCTATTTATAAATATTACTATTTATATAGTACTAGGTAAATAGACTAAAATATTAATAAAAATATTACTAGTATTTATTATATAATTAAAGAAGTTTCTTCTATAAGATCTTATATATTTAATTAAAAAAGTTTATATAGATAGCTTAATTCTCTAGAAGTAGATACTTAATATAATTCTTATTTAATTAGATATAATATCTATTATATATTAGTTCTATGCTATTAAATTTATATTTAATAGTATAATTACTTCTATTAATATTATTTAATAACTGTAAGATTCTCTAGAATCTTAGGCTTGAAGTTTAGGGGGAGCTATCTAAGACTATAGAAATATTCTAGTCTAGCTTAAGTCTTATTATAGAGAATTAGATTAGTCTAGAACTAGTATTTACTAGGTTGAACCAGAGGGATGGGAGGAGATGCTATAAAGACAGTTAAGATAGGAATATTGTAGAGAGTTAAGAAATGGCTGGTTTCAGGATTGGACCGCGACTGTTATGGCAGGGGGAGGATGGGAGGTCAGAATAGGAATGGATGATGAAGAAGTAAAGAAGGAGCAGGGAAAAGGTAGTATTTTATAGAGTGCTTGACTAGATGGGTCGGCTCTGGGGCAGCTGGAACTGGAGGCTATTTTTGGTGTTGATTTAGTTATGAGCTGAGAGGGACTGAAGCTTGCTGAGAGTAAGTATTTAGTGTTTATTCAACATCGGCCCAGAGAGGGACTAGAACACTTGGCAGGTACAGAATAGTAGTGTGAAGCATATAGGGAAGTAAAGGTGGTTACTCACTGCTTTAAGAGTTATAAGTGGAAATGCAGCTGTTTATAGCCTTAGTAGCTGTTATTTTCAGTGTTGATTTCACAGGTCCTCACATTCTAGTTGTAAAATCAGCCAGGAACGCAAACCCTAATCCTGTCCCTGAACACCGCCAGGAACAGAATGTATAAACTCATGTATTTCCACACCAACTTTAAATACAGTACGCACTTGAAACTTTGGTTAAAGCTATGGGATGATGTTGTCACATCACGGTCTATCTCGCAGTAGACTTTCGCTCTCCAAGTTCTCCAGCCCAGGAACAAATCCGAGTCAGGAACATTCGACCTTAACTTAATCCTGTGGCGCAAGTCCGGCACCGTCCCCAGTCATAGGCAGCCCTGGTCGGGTGAGACTGACACCTCCGTCTGTCCAACTCAGCTCGCCTGCTATTGCGAACTGCACAGAACGTAAACTATACTCTATAGTGTAAGGTATCTCACATGTTACAGCCAGGACAGTGGTTACTCATTACTCAGATTGATCCTGCCGAACGCCGGCAGTACTTCGTCCTCAGTTAATTAATATGTATCTCCTAACAGTTAATCAAGTCACTGTTCCCACGTTATGTCAGTACGCCTGAATCAACGGCCACTAGTCTCTGTGGTGGCCTGACTGACTCGCGCGCGGCACAAGAACGGCAGACAAGCCCGGCGCTATATCCGGCTCGTATTCCTTGTCTCTAGACTAGCCGGGGGGCCTGACCGGGGTATCGAATCCGTTTATTAAGCAGGTTAATATATTTCTCCAATAGTCCGGTTTCGAAAGGCGGTTTCTCGTAAGGATTTAGCCACCCACATACCATATATGTGGTCCCCACCCGATCCTGGCAGTCTAGAAGTACCCTGCATAGTCCAGACCAGAAGTCGACAGAAGTCTATTACTCGATTTGTACATGGCTGACATAGAAAGTACATTGTCATTGTATGTATTCCATCACCCCTGCCCTTCTTCTCCACAGTTCAATACCGCCGCCCATCCCCCTCCACAACCTCATACGTCTGCTGCACATCCACAGTCTTGTGAATCCCCCCATGTGCCAGCTCCGTCTGGCTCCGATCCACCGCACCCGCATACGAAATCAAATGGCTCTCGTCCGAGTTCACCTCGTGGGGCTCCGGCTCGCGCCGCGACAGGTTCATGGATACTCCAGCTTTGCTTCCCTTGACGCGGCTGAGAGGTACAGATGCGCTCTGGTTCTCGTAGTAGCCGTTGGACTTGTAGCTGTGGTTGCGCACTTTGCTGATCACGATGTTGAGAGAGGGGAGGCAGGCGCAGATCAAGCCCATGCCACCTTCGGCGTTTCTATAAACATCATAGCTTGTTAGTTCACTCCCCCCCGTAGATCAATCAATCAGTCAGTGTGTGGATAGACTAGACGTACCCTGAGAGAATAATGCAGACAAAAACAATCGTCATATCCGGGGAACTGCCATCCCGCAAGACAAGGACCAGTCTATAAATACTAAATGCCGTAGCCAGGCCTCCGGCCGAGAGCATGCCAACAACGCGCAGCTTCTTATTCCTCGACATTTGCAGCGACCACGTCAGCGGCAGCGGCAGGGTCAGGATCAGTATATCAGAGACCATGCTGATGACCGAGTCGGCGATGAGCGCGGCGCGCTGGTCAAGGCAGTTTGCATTGGGGTCGAGGGTCCAGTATCCCGGGACGGGATCGCACATGCGGATTTTAACAATCTCGGCGATGGTGTAGTAGATAGTGATGGCGGCGAGGAAGCCGTAGATGAAGTAGATGCGCCGCTTGTAGGGGGCGAAGATGCGGATGAGGATTGAGAGGAGGGCGATTTTGACGAGCAGGGCCATCGGGCAGTAGAGGACTGTGGCGATGTAGCAGAACTTGCGGAAGTGGACTTGGTCTTCGTCTGAGACGTCCCAGTAGTGGTAGCCTCCGCCGTAGTTACCGACTGGTGATGTTAGTTGCTGTTTTGATAGTAGGATGGTAGGAGAGGGCTGTACTCACCGACAATGGCAATGCCGCAGTATCCCATGAAGAGCAGCTGTGACGGTTAGCTTGGTTCGGATATAGTGTTCAATGTACTTGCCCATGCGAACAAGCAGGTCCCTATACAGTTAGCATTATCACCGAATAGATAAATCAAGAAAACATACAGTCCTCGGCCCGAGCCCATTGTCTATACCAGGCACGGATGCCAAAGCGCAGGAATATAAAGACAGAAACAATGGGAATGCAGAGACATTGCGTGACAAGGTTGACAGTATTCAGCACATCAGTTCGTTCATTCGTCGACATGATGCGGACTCAATCCAGCATTATGGTGACTCCGTCAGAATCTATCTCAGTGTAAGGAGCGACGAGGGGAGGATTAAAGAGTGGAGGCCCATGTCCTCTGGAAAACTCGGCTGGTTCACAAGTAATAAAGGGTACCCGAGCCAGATCTGCGCTATGCATTATGAATAACAACGGCTCCATAATCTCTTAGTCCGTGAATATTGGGATTGTCTCCGGGGTTGGCAAGGACGGGAACTGTGCAGGGGGTCGGACTCCCCATCCAGGTTCTTCCACCGTGACAGGCGGCGTACCAAATTTCGAGAACTGATGATCGGCCGTCAGAGGATGAAACTGGACTCTCACTGCCTCTCACTGGCCGGCGGTTGCTCGCCATCTCTCCCAGATCCACCAGGCTGGCACAGTCGAGAACGAGCCCTCTATCCTCGAACGGAAAAAAAGACGACACTGCGACGCCATCGGCAAATAGAGTTTTGCGTGACAAAGGCAATTCCATTCTTCAGGGAGATCCACAAAGAACCAGGATGTCATTATGTCAGGGGCGCTGGATGACAGCTCTATCAGTTTGGCGCCGAGACTCCAATTCCCAGCAGCCCGGTCACCTCCGGCCAACGCACCCCTTGAGGCAAAACTCCGTTCATTCGGACCAGGATCGTAAGTCGTAATCGCGCTGGCCAGTGCGCCTACGATGCGGCGAATGACGCGAGCGAGCGATCGCCGCAGACTCACCAGAGAATCACGGACAAGATGTGTGTCTTTCCTTAACGGCCGCAGTGGAGACGACGACCCATGCCGGACGCCTCGTCGGCATCCGTGGCGAAACAGGTTCCAGAACCCCGAAAAAGACTTTCGACGGCGTGGAGATGGCGTCTGCCGGCCTGCAACCGGTGGGTCGTCTCTCCAAGCGAGGCGTCGGAAGGGAAGATTGCAAATTACTGTGCTCCATACTCGTCGCAGTAACCACGGATGAGGCCGCACTAAGAATAGGATGGAAAATAATTCCACTGCCATTGCATATCATTCTCGCTCTCTATGATAAATACACTCTCTCTTCCCATGATAATCCCAGAGTAGTTGATCTCCACTAGCAAACGAAATCTCTTCACGTCAACGTCCTGCTTCATTAGCTGAGTGGGTCAGCAAGTTACCTCGAAGCGACCTTCAAAGCACATACAGTATCCACTCGGCCATTAAGGGGCGCCAGATGCACTATTAGGCAATCGGGTTACATGGCTATGGCATCTGATTATCTCGCTGCTCAAGTGGATCCGCATCGGGTCGCTCTGACAGATCAATCGACGTGGCATGGACGTTCCCCCGTCCCAGCAATGCCAAACTGGCGTCTGCGTTAAATTCGGCGGTGGGATATGCAGTAACGGAATGCAGCAGTAGGCAGAGGCTGCAGAGCACGGCGATGGTCGATTTCAAGCGGGGCATTGATAGAGCACTCATGGCGGCGATCTCCTGTGAACGGACTATTATGATTTATGATCGTCCTGGCGGTAATTGACGGCATCTTTATATCGTTTCCCGTCGGGACCTTCCGCCGCACACTGTCTACGGCGTCTACGGCCTTCGTGTTCAGCCCTCGTATACAAGGCAGCTGCCAGTGTCATCTGCCATATGCTGCTCATGCGTGCAGGTAATACGAAGCTCGGCGTCAGTACTCCTCGTAGACCAGAACAGTCACTGTCAGCCTGCGATATCGAACAACCAGGGGCGAAATCATGTGCCAATACGGATACCTTGGAATGCTCAACAATAGGGGTCAATGGTTGCTTTTTCTGTGCACCCACATTAGCAAGTGAAGCTGCTAGTCTTGTTTCCCGGGGACCCGCAGTTTTTGCATAATTAGAGTCTTTCGATCTAGAGGGGCGAAAGACAAGCGTCGGAGTGTACACGTCTCATGCGGCCTATTGGGCTAATCTGGGATTCGGGTTGATGCACGATGCGAACCACGACAGGGTCATTGTGGGCTATAGGAAAGCCAAAACAGGTTTGAACGGCCATCAGATGGCGTCAAGCCCCTTTTACCGTTCAGATAGATGCTGCGATGGCTTTCTAGCTGCGTCGTGCCGGTCGAAAGCTGTCGCGACACTTCTAACATCTCAATTGAGTATAGCAGTTTGGGACAATAGACGGTTTCGCATCTTGATAAAATTGATGACTGGTTAAAATCCAGTATCAAAGCCACACCCAGAGAATATGCAGTTGAAGCTACGGGTGGCTGACGATCCTTGCATGATCATCGAGAGGTTAATTGGTGCAGGACAACCACATCTTGTTTGTTCGCAGCCTTGCTAAGCTTCTGATGTATCATATTGTTTCAGAATCCAGTTCTCGTTCGGAAACACTGTTCCAACTGAGATCAGGACCTAATAAATACGTACTGATGAGGCTCTGGCGACGACTTTGTGTATACTGGATCTGCGACGGTCAACTGCGACCAAGTAACATTCCACGCAATATAATTGAATGGAATCACCTTGTGTGTGTAATTTGCAATTCAGGGTATTACCGTGTTGCAACGGCCGTCCAGGATTATTTGAGTTTTTACCAGGGAATCCTCATTCTTCTTCAGATTGCAGGGGTCGGCGATCAGCAGTCGCAGATATTAGGGCTTCAGGCCCCCGGTAAACAACAGGACACCTGCATTGACCTCTTATCGCCTTCACATGTTGCATGCCAGTCAGAACACACGAATCAGCCAAAGCCCAGAGCTCGCCAGAATCCGAGACACGGCCGGTCGCTAAGACGATCCGCTGGCACCTAACGGGCGCTAGAATCCACCGCACTCTCGTCGGCGTCTTCTCACTGGGTCCCAAGTGGCTGTCAAGACCCAGCCTGGCTTATCCCACCCGTTTGAGAATGAGCCAGAGACTGCGCCGCCTGGTCGAAGAGGGGAAACGGAGGTCATCCTGGATCAGGAGAAGCTGCCGCCGCACAAATAGAGAATGGGACGACGGATTCCCCCATACTGGGCCTCGGTACCAAATTCTCCCTCTTCCAGCTCCTTCAACATGGCGCATCAGGACTCGAAGCTCTTCCAGCCTCTGGCTATTGCCAATGGCAAAATCACACTTAAGCACCGGGTCATCCATGCCCCAATGACCCGCAATCGCGGTGTGCCTGAAAGCCCCGTCAGCACCCCCGACAAGCCCAACCGCGTCTGGTATCCCGGCGACCTGATTGTCGACTACTACAGCCAGCGGGCTACCGATGGGGGACTGATCATCTCAGAGGGCATTCCCCCGTCGCTGGAGGTACGTTCTGTCGCCGGTGCTTCGCGACTCTGCTGACAGTTCCAGAGCAATGGAATGCCCGGTGTCCCCGGCCTCTTCAACGCCCAGCAAACCGCCGGCTGGAAACGAGTCGTCGACGCCGTCCACAGCAAGGGAGGCTACATCTACGCCCAGCTCTGGCACGCAGGCCGTGCCACCATCCCCCAGATGAGCGGCTCGCCCGCTGTATCCGCCTCTGCTACCGTCTGGGACTCCCCGACTGAATGCTACTCGCACCCTCCCGTCGGCGCATCCGAGCAAGTCCCTTACTCTGCGCATCCCCCTATCGAGCTCACGGTCGAGCACATCAAGCGAACAATCGAAGACTACTGCCAGGCGGCCAAGGCAGCCCTGGAAGCCGGGTTCGACGGGATCGAACTGCACGGCGGAAACGGATATCTCCCAGAGCAGTTCCTCAGCTCGAACATCAACAAGCGGACGGACGAGTACGGCGGCTCGCCTGAGAAACGGTGCCGCTTCGTCCTCGAGCTCATGGACGAGCTGGCCAAGACAGTCGGCGAAGAGAACCTAGCCATCCGCCTCTCGCCGTTCGGCCTCTTCAACCAGGCCCGCAGTGAGCAGCGTCTTGAAACCTGGTCGCACCTCTCCAAGGAGCTCAAGCGCACGCACCCGAATCTCTCCTACGTGAGCTTTATCGAGCCGGTATGTCTGTCCCTCTCCATTCCAAACCTAAACTAACAACACCAGCGCTACGAGCAAATCTTCAGCTACGAAGAGAAGGACACCTTCCTCAGCAGCTGGGGCCTCACAAACGTCGACCTGAGCAGCTTCCGCGAGATCTTCGGGTCCACGCCCTTCTTCTCCGGCGGCGGCTGGAACCAGGACAACTCATGGGGCGTTCTCGAGTCCGGCCAGTACGACGCATTGCTGTACGGTCGGTACTACACCAGCAACCCGGACCTGGTCGAGCGCCTGAGAGCCGATATCCCGTTTGCACCGTACGAGCGCAGCCGCTTCTACGGGCCCTTCGAGGATAACAAGATCTGCTACGTGGATTATCCTCCTGCGACGGGGCACACCAGTATTAACATTGCGGTGGAGTAGATTATATCTTTTGGACGATAGAGTACTTTATAGCCTATATCCCACTATCCAACACTTTAGCGACTGCTGCTGTATATAACTCGCGTAGATATCATCGTATGGCATAAATGGTATAAAGATATGTGCATGCTGATTCAGCAATCCTAACTGCACAAATTGCTGGGCGTTTTCATCAATTCTCTCCGTCAACCATCCTCAACCAGATCAATTCTTAATCAATTCTTAATAACGGGAGGGCTTCATCGGCAAACATGTCCCGGAGCTCATTCCGCGTGCGAGCAGTATGTTTTCTGTATCTGTCGACTTTCCAAACTGACCATTGCAGTGCGACAATTGCCGACTCCGAAAGGTACCGCACAACACCGAAATTGGGGGACAGGACTAACGACCTCAGATCAAATGCGACAAGTCGGTTCCATGTTCTAGTTGTAATGTGTTAGGAATTACATGTAGCGCTGGGGGTTCGACGCCTTCTGCTACTGCCACTGCAACTGCCACTCCCACTAGAGCGCCACGGGTCCAGAATGACGAGTAGTGAGTGCCATGCAGCCGACTTGATTCCCTTTCTTAACTTTAGGCAGCGAGCAAAGGTTCCAGACTATCCAGGAACAACTCAATTCCATCCAGCAGACGCTGCAGCAGATCTCAAGGGGGTCTCCGGCTGCAACTCCCCCGGCGCTGGCGGTATCCAGCCCAGCTCCAGCACGACAGACAGTGCCTCCGTTTGAAGGGCAGTCTTCGTTTCACCATGAGACCCTCGTCGCTCGAGACGCCGCACTGTCAGCTGTCGTTGCAGCTCGCGGCGGAGAGTTGAACGACCAGGTCTCTTCTGCGCTGTCGTCGCTGAAGGATAGTCTCGACACGCATGCGCCTGGTCCAGCACAGGGATCATCCGAGACATCGCGCACCCGAGAGCCATTGCTCCCAGTAGATCTTGTTGTTGCGGTGGTGAAGAAGGTCAAGGGTAAGTGTACAGTTCGTGTTTGGAACTCGGCTGACACCCCCCAGCACAACCCCCGTTTTTCCTGGTCAGTCAATCGTGGAAAGACACCCGGCAGCTTGAGTCGCTGTGCCAGTCGATTTATTTTCCAATTGAGCCGGTTCCGTCGGGATCGACGACGCTGCTACATGGTTTGCTGTACTTTGTTATCCGGGATTACATCCACGAGGGAGATCCTGACCTCGCGCGGTACGATCTCGGCTCTAGCAAATCTTTCTGTGAGAGAAGCTTTTCAGCTGGTCTGGATAGTCCGCAGATGCTAGCAGATCCATCGCTGGAGAAAGTGCAAGCACTATTAATCGGGGTATGTCTCCTACTACTTATCGAGATCTGTTTAACAAGTCCAGATCATCAAAGCACAAGAAGAATTCGACATCCAGCGCTGCTGGACGTACCTTTCGATCGCATTCAATATGTGCCAGACCATGGGCATGCATCGAAATGCAACATCTCTATCCGATCCCCTCCCCCTGGCTGAGACTAAACGCCACGCATTCTGGTCGCTATACACCATCGACAAAAACGTATCGTTGAACATCGGCGTCACCTCGCATTTCCAAGACCACGATATCGACGCCAACCTGTATACCCCGTCGGCCGATCACCGGCAACACTCCTGGGACCTCATCAACCTCATCACCGTTGAATTCGCCGCTATTCAAGGCAAAGTCTACGACCAGCTCTACTCCATATCCGCAACCAGAGCAAGCGAGGAGGAGAAATTAAGCAGGATCCACGCACTCTCCGTGGACCTCATGGCCGTACGGAACAAATTACTCCAAGTATTACCTTCCCAGCCCATCTATCCAGGCCTAAACTAATGGCAGTAGATCGACGTCAGCAAAGGCCTCTACGCAGACTCCCTCCACGGCATGACCGCCTGCGCCGACTTCATCGCCTACTCCGTGTTAACGGTCATATACCGCGCGCAAACCCGCGCCGCAGACGCAATGGCCGTCTCATCGGAATGCTACGAAGCCGCGTCTATGGCCCTACACAGCCACCTCAAATGCATAACCTACTTCCGCGACCGCAAAGCGCACAAACAAGCCGAATATGTGAACTCGATTCTATTATACCCCTCCTTCACCCCTTTTATCATCGTCTTCACCCACGCAATCACAACAACCAACACCGCAGACCTCCACCTGCTCCAGGAAACCGTCAAATCGCTCGAGTTGATAAAGGGTGTATCCCGCGGCTCGTTGCATCTACACGCCATCTGCGCCTCCTTTGCCAAAGCCGCCCAGGTCCTTGTTGATTCCCGACAGACGCTCACGGGGCTGGCGCAGCACCAGGACGGGAGCCTCGTTATGCCTGCTGGAACGGGGGCGGGGGATATCGCGCTGCCGGATGTGATATGGCCAGACGATTCGTTTGATCAGGTTGATATCTCAATGTTTCTGAATGATTTTATTGGGACGGGGAGGTCGGCTGTGGAGATTTTGAGGGGGCTGAATTGATCACATATCAGCTATCAAATAACGTATAATACAATTGAATCAAATATTGAATCAAATATATCCATCCATCTAGTCTATCCTCCAATTATTCCCTCTCCATAATCACCTCAAATAACATACTACAGTCATTAGCCTCACTCAACCCTTCAGTTCAGGCAATAAAAGGAAACTCACCGGAATAAACAACCACGGCACCCTCTTCTCATACTCCTTCCAGGCATCCCCATATCTCTGCCGACAGCGCGCAATATCCCTGGCCGCACGGTGCACAATCATAACAAAGAAGAATACCGAGTAGAACCACGGGAACGGCGAGTCAAAGCCCGTGATCAGTCCCCAGCTCATCGCGAAGAACAAATCGCATGTATAGTGTATTTTGCGGGCGATGCCGTCTACACCATCCAAGTTAGTGAATTACATTGCACTCTTCATCATATCAAATAGATGGCTAGAGAAAGGAGGGAAGGGGAAAGGAAACATACACCACCCATCACAAAGAATCAACGCCCCAGCATCTTCACCCTGCGTAACCCTAATCGTGCGAGGATTCTTAACAGACCGCCACGGCAGCTGCGGGAACGAGGCACGGTCGACCTTCGCGCCGCGCTCCTCAGCCCGGAATATGCTTTTCTGGCTGTTGCAGGTGTCCCAAATCCAGTAGAAGAAGATGTATGCCGCCGCCCAGGGGAGGAGGATTGCCGGGTGCTTGTTACTCCAGAAGTAGGTTGAGGGGTCGCGGTAGGCGAGGTAGAGAGTGCAGTGGCAGTAGGACATGGGCACGCCGGCGAGGTTCCAGAATATAAGCATGAAGCCCCATTTTTCGTAGTACATGTCCCTATACACCCCAAATACATTAGCTACTAGTTGCAGCACAGCAAGATATGGATAACATACCAAGTGGGAATAATCAAGTCCTCGCCCTTCGCACAGGCATTCGTATACAAGAAGTGCGCCATGAGGAGGAAACACACCTCGCCCGAGACGAAGCCCAGTTCCTCGAACTGCTTGAGCGCCGTCGCGAGCGTCAAGAGGAACAATATAAACCACGGGATCCGCACTTCAAAGAACATCTTCATATCGATCCACTTGAACAGACGCGGGTTGAGTTCCGCGCCCATGAAGAAGTCATAGATATGCGCGCCTGTCATGCGGTGCTGGGCGCCGCGGGCGAGTGCCGAGATGTAGGCTATTATGGAAACCATATACCCCGAGATGATGGCAACGGACATTATAGGGCCGAAGTCGGTTATGAGGGTTGTGAGGCGGAAGATTCCTGTGAAGTGGAGGGCCAGGGCGAGGGCGATGGTGGTGAACCAGCTCCAGACGGCAGAGCAGTAGTAGGGGAGCTGCGCGCCGTTTAAGTGGGGGAGGGGCTTTCCGACGCGGTAGACGCCTGGAAAGTAGAGGTATGCGAAGCCTTCGAAGGTGAGGAAGGACCAGTAGATGAGCCAGGCTTTCTTGGTAGGGAATGCGTGGGTGTAGACGAGGTCGACGAGGTGGGCGATGAATTCAGGGATCGGTTGGTTGGGTGCAGGCAGGGGGAGTTTGCCGTCATAGAAGGTGGCACCAATGTACATGTAGTACATTAGCAGGGGAAATCCGATCATAAGAGCTGATACCCCGAGAGAGCCGCCGAATTCGAAGTGCGGTTTCTCAACAGCGGTGGTTGTCGTTTCGGGCTGTTTGTGGCCATTGGGCCGCCGGTTTCTAAGATCGGGGCTTCTATTGTCAGTCTGGGCAGGAAACGAGGTAAAGGGGATTACCTGGTGCCTGAAGTTGAAGACATTTTGCGGGGGGCGTCACTTGTTCTGACTGGTAAAGCAGATGCAGCACGGAATCATTTATATGCTGCTCGCTGTATAGATGCGGTCTCCGTGCCCGCCGCGGAGTCCGCGGTCGGCTCGGAGGCCATGGCCGGCGCCCTCGCTTGCTGGCAATGCTACGCGTCTATAATCCGGAAATTGTAAGGGGTAAGGGGTATTTATCGTAATACATAGAGGACCATTACTATTAGAGAATATAATGGGGTGCTCAACTTGCAAACGACCCGGAGAAGACTTTTCGACCATACAATCAATAATTGCACGAACCGGTCACGGCATAATTAGCATCAAAGCATGAATTCGCCATTAGTCGGAGTCTTCGGTCCAAAAGTTGGGCTATAACAGTAGAAATCAGTTCCCAGAAATGCAGAGTGCAAAATACTGTGTTGATATGCCGCATCACCAAGCGTATATATATATCAACGTTCTATAATTTGCAACCCCCAGAACCAGGGAAATGCTATGAGCTGAAAAGTGAGTACGCAGTCAAGGGTTTATTTTCATATTTTTTTGTCTTTCTTATTATAAAGCCATATCAAACCTTCAGCCCCAGGTCAAGCCTATAACCAAGATCCCCAAGTATCATCAGCATCCCGCGGGCCTGGCCGCCACTCAGTCGCCCCCAAACTCTTCAGGACTTGCACAACATCCTCAAAGCCCTTATCTTTTGCCACGGCCAATGCAGTGCCGTATGTCCCATGTATGTCCACATCCGCTCCAGCCGCAATCAGCAATTCCACGATCTCGAGCTTCCCATAATGTGCGGCTCCTAGGAGTGCACTGCCATAGTATCCACCCTGTGTATTGATCCGAGCACCCCGATCCAGAAGCAATTGCACCAACTCAACGTTGTCACGGCAGGCAGCTGTCTGGAGCGGGGACATATACCACATATGATTTGTCGCGTTTGGGTTTGCGCCTTGGTTGAGCAAAGACTCGGCTGCTGGGAGGTCTTGCATCTCGATGGCCTCGCGTAAGCTTTTGTCTAGAATACTTTGCTGGCTCATTGTGGCTGTCTGGCGAAATGCTTTGATATATATTCTGAGTAAAGCAACCAAATCAGGAGGTATATATATCTTACCCAGTACTGGCGAAGTGTGCACAGGGGACCTGGATATGTACTGGACACGATGCGTAAGCTCAGACACCAGGACTGGGACAGAAACATATAGTTAATAGCTCAATACTCACTGGGATGCTATTCTATATGCTGTACGTGAGGTGCATTAAACCCTCAAGAGACGCTCCAGTATGTCCAGACCAGAACGCGGGGGTGAGCTTATATTACTTTCACTATCTCAAGCGGACGTAAGAAATCACTTGACAGTCGACTCTGCGACTATTGGCTGCAGTGCTGCAAGACAGCGCGGGGCTGTGTTGGGCAGCTATGTCAGGCTATTTTATATTGTTACATCTTACACTGAGGCCAAATCCAAAGGGAAGTATCTGTAGACTCCCTGCTAATATACAGGGAATAAATATATAGCCTTGTTGGACGTGGACGAGCATAGATATCGCTGAACAGGCGATTCGGCGGTATAGTGGAGACATGCCAGGAACATCTCCACCATAAGAATTTTACTTTGTATCCTCAGGAACAGGTCTACCACAAGCCCAGATAGCTCTGCTTGTTCTTTACTCTGGCCATCCTTTGAGTGGCAATTACGGGGCAGGGAGATTGGAGACACCATGGTGTTCGGCCAGGGCTATTTGCATGGCCTGTCATATTTGCCGAAAACCACACCACAACAATATAGCCACTACAATTATTACAAGCGACCACCGGCGCACAAATCTCCAAAATAAATTCATTGTTCATGTTCACATTCATATTCATATTCAGACTAGCGTGTTGTACTGACAGCGGGATCCTCCCGGCGGACCAGGATTGCGTGTCACTAACAAACGCCACCCGCAGCGCGTCATCGATTCGAACGAACCTATACAGCAAAGTAATCTTAGCCAGCAGTCCTAACAACAAGTGTTGCGACAGTAAGGAATGAGAAGCAAGCAGTTCAGAAACCCGTCTTGAAATATTGGCTCTGGGTATGTTTCTTCCACAATGAAGTTGCGGACCTATCATACAGCATCATATGCTTGTCATGCTGAAGCATGAGGGAAGAGGTTCATGGAGAGCAGGTGGTTCTTACCGATTAGCAGGCAGGATGTGAATATCCTGTAATATTAATCAGTTAGAGTCGTGTAAACCGCATCCTCGCATTTGATGATTGCAGTTGAGCTTGAAGGGATGAAGACGGTCGGAAGCTCGAGTCACGCTTTATAAACACGCCGGATGTGGGTCAACCAGGGCTGGCCCTATTTGCCCTGTTGGGGTTCTTAGTCAGGATGAAGTCATCGTGCTTGGGCCACCAGTTTGAGTTTTCATGAGCATAACAATTCATATAACAGTTCGTAATATGTATGCCAATAATGTCTCTGGCATCGAGGTACTCTCGAACAAGTGTACAAGAACCCTGACCAGCCAGTGCCCGTCCCACTACCTGCAATAGCCCAGTCCAAGCCACTTTGCGCTTAGCCTGCCAGAGTATCCAGCGTAACCAATGGAAGCGTGGCGGCTCTGACAGGGCTATGCTGGTCGATCGGTGACTTCAAAGAACATCAATCGTATTCGCGTTCTCCCTTCTAGGGCTTGTTCTATTCATACTGAAACTAGTCAAACTACCCTTGCGAGTTCCAACGCCGACAATGTTCTTAGGGCATGTAATCACGTCCATGTCCTCCCCCATTCCATTTTTAACAACCCATATATTCTACTTGTCAGACAGCGTACGTGATAATCCGATCTGAAAAGCCCGAGAAAGGATCGAGGAAGCCAAGAAGTACAGCCTCGGGCGACATCGGTAGCGGAAACCCTAGTGTCACTGCCATGCCTCCAAGTGCTCTCATTGATCCTGAACATGCAGTGTGGATAACATACTTGGGGCCAAATCTGCACCCCCCCGGTCCGCCAGACGAGTTTCCTAAAAGGGGAATTCCGGCGTCCAACCAATGGTGTATTCACGAACACTGTCACCCCGCGAGCTGCGGCGCTGTTAGGCGCCCAGTTCTTTGTACTAGTCCGGACCCTGGCCCGACGCCTGGGAGGATTTCTACCCTAGCAAGGGGAATAATTAGTTAGACGGGTTAGCAACGCCGTAAAAAGCCTCACTCTCCATGCTTCCTACACAAAATAAGCCCATTTCTATACATGGCCATGTATCCCATCGCATGGAAACTCCTCCTTAGTATTATCTTTGTCAGCTGTGCTGCCTGGTACGCCAAATCACACTTCTACCGTGATCCTGGCAGCGCCTTCTTTGATCCCGCACGGGCATACGAGCAGCAATACTCCCTGACCCGGAAGGCGGAAATACAGCAGTTCATTGAGTCTCAATCCTCGACAAACACACCAAACCAGGATGCAGAAAGCAAGGGCGCAGCCCTCTGCGTGGGTATTTCATCCGTAAAGAGGACGAAGGAGCAGTATCTGGAAGTACGACATGCCCTACTTTACCTATCAGCCCCTTTCCAGGTAATATCATACAAAGGTACTGACCATCCAGAAAACAATAGCAAGCCTCCTCACCGGCCTCACACCCCCAGAACGAGCCGACCTGCACCTCTCAACCCTAATCGCCGAACCAGACGCCACCACCCACCCAGCCTGGAACACACCTTGGCTGCACCAAGCCCTCGACGACCTCTACACCTACAACACAACCGCAAAACAAACCGCCCACCTGGCCACTCTCAAAGAATCAGGCCGCTACTCCGAAAAGGGCGTATTCGATTACACCCACGCCCTAGCCCGTTGCTACGATTCCGGGACACCCTACATCGGCATGTTCGAAGACGACATCCTCCTCGCAGACGGCTGGCTGGTCCGCACATTACAAGGCCTACAGGATATCGAGTCCAAAACAGCCGGGGATGTGAATAGCTGGCTGTACATGCGCCTGTTCAACCAAGAGCGCTCAACAGGGTGGGCGAGCCACCGGATTGGCGGGAATAACGAGTTCTGGATTATCCTGGGTATCGGAGTCGGTATTATATCTATTGCAGCGGTCGCAGGAGCATTAACCCGACTACAACAGCAACAGCAACAGCAACGACTTTCCCACCGGCGGCCGGGGCAGTGGCAGTGGCAGTGGTATCGTGCAAAGACATTACTGCCCGAAACCAGTACGCTATTCGTGCTCGTCTGTGTGCTCAACCCAGCCCTCGTGCTCCTATTCTTCCAATGCGGAAAGGCGTCCGTCCTCCCGCCGGCGCCGGGGGTGTTCGAGGAGTCGTTTGGGTGCTGTTCGCAGGCGATGGTGTTCCCGCGGGTGCAGGCGCCCTTGGTGATGGAGTATCTGCGAGAGAGGGGGCAGGGGCAGATTGATTTGATGCTGGATCGGTTGGCGGAGGAAACGGCGTTGGCGAGGTTTGCGCTTTATCCGGTGCTAGTGCAGCATATTGGTATGTTCTTCTCTTCTTTTCTCGCAGCTTATATGTTGGGTTTATATCTTATTTGGTTATTGATTTGACGGCTAATGGTGATATGCAGGTATTGACTCTGCGAGGAAGACGGAGAAGAATGAGGCGCAGGCGATTTGGAGCATGGCGTATGAAGATTTGAATCACGATGTGCTGGCACGGACGCATTCTCAGATGGTTGATGAGTACTACGGTCGTCATGGGATCAGTACTGGTTAATTCATTTTATATTCAGTCAAGTGTCGTTTCATAGTGTCTAAGAGGAGGCCAGTGTATATTCATAAAGTCCGGCGCGCCCTGGAACCCCGTATCTGTGATTTTACGAATAATCCCCTGGCACCAGGCATACTCCTTCTCGAATCCAGGATGCGCGTGGTAGAATTGATTCGCGAGCCACAGGCGCACGAACAAGACCTGGACACCAAAGGCGTTCATCCCTGGGCTGAAACAGTACTTGACGGACTGGCAGATCATTGCAGCAGAGGAACTCGCCAGATCGATGATATCCTTGTATGACCGCTTGAATAAGAATGCCGAGGGCTGTCCAGGAACCACGGGCTCGTCGAGAAGACAGCAGAGTCTCTCGATGGCCATATATATCAGAAGCTGCGTGGCCCAGTGCAGCGAATAGACTTGCGCGACCGGAAACGACTCGAAGCAAAAGGCATCGTCGAAGAAAAGATCCTCCGACTCGTCACTTTCGTGTTCTTCAAACTCGTCTGTATTCCATAGATCAGGAAAGTCCATACAGTAGCGCACTGCAGAGTATTGAATATTCAATTCACCCTCAACGCGGACACATTCTTGCAGGAGACGATGTCCTGCATGATGTTTGTCCCGGCGGCTATCCTCTTCCAAATGGCGAATCTCTTCCATTAGTGAGGTACAGCTGACCAGGAAATCGAGACCCTGGTCAAATAGAGTGCGCGTTTTCGGTCGCCAGCCAGGGTTGGGGACGTAGGCAGATTTCCGATGAACTACAGCCTCGGCAATCTAGCTTGTTAGCAACGTAATGGGTACTCCTCTCCACATTTTTCTACCTACAATTACCATCTGCATATGGCGATACAGTTCATCGTCGTCCAAGGCTGAGTCGGAGCCGTCACGGCCGTGTCGTAACAGCGCTCTACAACCTTGGACATGTGCACTCCAACCGCCCATACCGTGTTGTGAAGGTTGGACAACCTGCCTGGGTCAGTAAGATAATCAAATCAAGCCAGGTACAACTCACCTCGTATGTTTGCAAGGCAGCAGTCACGTAGAGCATATCTTGTGTCGTAGTAGAACGCTCTATGCACCCGCGAAGACATTGAACCGCTCTGGCATAGCTCTCAACACCTTCCCGGTAAAGCATCTTATCCTGCCTGGAGGACCCCACATAGACGGCGCATAGCGCTGTGATTGAATAGTCCAGCATCGGTGAATCACCCAACCTGCACGGGAGCGCGCCCGTAAAGTCTCCCCCGATTCTTTGGTGTGGATTCGAGACAGAAGGCAAGTAGGCGTCGAGGAAGACAGACACCAGCTGGCACCGAATGGCGGGAGTATGATCCATGCCCCGAGACAATAATTGCGAATCTGGCCTTTGTCCCGAAATGGAAATGTCCGAGCAAGGCCCGGAATCTTGAGCGCATACTATGGAGTCGGTGCGCTTTTTCTTCGTCTTCTGGCCAGCCTTGGGCTTTTTTGCCCGCGGGCGTGTGTTACGCGATTTGGGTTTCTCCTCTGTCTCTTGGGTACCGTCATCCAGGCGCTTTTGGCGCATGTACTCGTGCATCACATGGCGCTTGACTTGGGTAAGATTGCTTCGGCTATTATTCGAACTATCAATAAATTGCCACGGCATTGCTGACGGCGGTCTCGTTCTCGAACTCGTTTCTGTTTGATATGTCGTATTCCCAATCAATCCACGCGATTCGGCTATTGTCTCGAATTGTGGAGCCTGTGGACCGTGCCTAGGAGGTGGTGGAAGTTCTTAAGTTCTTAAGTTATACCTGGACGGCAGCCAGGGGAGGTTGAAGAAAGAGATTTGGCTGAATCGAAGTCAACCTTGAGCATCTCCACTGGAATCTGATGGGCTAACTCGGGCAAGTTTAGTTCCACAGCCAGGTAAGCCACTGCCTGGTGGCATCGCCGATACACAGCCGGGGAATGATCTTTGTGGGTCAAGATGGCCTCGAGAGACACCAGTTTCCTAAAACGGAAGGTCTTGGCTTTGATTGAGTCAAGTTGCATGCATTCTCGGCGGCGGAAACTCCTAATTCACCATTCCAAGGGCACACTCTGAAGGCTATCCCAGACAGCGTTGACGCCCTGGACAACCCTTATTGGTGGGTATGAAAGTCGAAAGGTCCGACATAACAGCAGATCGAACCATGAGGGGCTAACCAAGCGATTCTACACCCCAGACGATGAATATGAAGAGCAATCAGCGACCATAACTAAAGTCCTTCTACCGTGTGTTTTGGGCCCGCGGGCAGCGACATCGACTGCCTAAAAGGGGAACTGGCCTCTGGACACGCCCGACCCTGCACAGCCCCAGTGAGCTTAACCCCAAAAGCACCAGCGCTCATCTCTCTTCATTGGCCCCGAGAGCAAATATGGGGTTAATATCAGGCTTTATTGGTTAGTGAGCTTGCCCGGTATGCTCAGCCCCAGATATAAACCCCTGTAGCTCCATCTCAAAGGTTTCTCCCATAATTCTGGCCTTCTTGTCGCCAGAGATGTCGGGTCAAAGGCCGCGTCGGAAGTTCGTGTAACATGGCCCTATAGTTGAGACCGAAGCCAGAATGGTAATAGTTGCAAGGAATTTCAGGGTCCTTCTCCGAAATGTGACCCAGGCAAAGTCACTATGTAGTTTCCAGGCAAATAGAAGAAACGTCCATAGTAAAAGCGGTAGTAACGACAATGATGGATATGACGATGTCATGGATTATAGGCCATGTATCATCTCTGATCACACCGTTCTCTGTAGGAATATCGATAAGTTCCTTGATCTGTCAATATTCTGCGGTGTTGTATATACACAATGCGATATAGTACAAACAGAAACCACAGGGTTGGATCGTGTTCTGCTGAGATAGGGTGTCGTAGAATATCAGCAGTTTGTATAAGAACCCAAGCGCCACGAGACTAAAGAAAGCTGGAAACACTCGTGTGAAAGACACAGGAATAACCTCTGTATCAATTCAATGATATATGAAAGCAAAAATATCCCTTTGATACAGTCAGAGAACATTACCCTTGCATAAATGGGGCACTCACATTCGCAGGGTAATGATCGTATCCCCTTCCACGAGTGATACGAAATCCACCCAGGTCCACATCGAGTAGGGTCGGTAGAGCATCGTTCAACAATACACTGGAGTAGCCGACACCTGGAGAAACTGCCAAAACTCTGGAGTTGTTCCCGTCGTGGGGGTAGGCTTAGCTGAGATCAGAGCATACAGCTCCGCCCCGTCCCGTCCCGTCCAGCCCAGTCCAATCACTTCCTGATATGTCTGCAGCATCCCTGCAAGTCAAGCCAACGACGAGGCGGAGTTGATCACTGCCTCACGGAAGGTAGAAAGGTAGACACTGCTTGCCTGCATATTCTGGTCTCGCATCTGCCAAGCATGGCTGAGACTTCGGTCCTGACAGCCGAGCGACTCTCGAAATCCCGTGGTCATGTCTTGCGACAATGGCCCTCCGCGTGTGGGCAGCAGTGAATCCCAGTATCCCACTTGTTTACAGCTTTGGTCGTCATTCTTCGAGCGCCTGAGGTATGTTTCTTCCTATGATTTTCCCTGGATTCATCCTCACGAGTGTGGGATGAGGGAATGCAGGCCATGCGCTTTTGAATGGAATTTTCAAACAGTCATATGAATGTGAGATGTATTTCGTAGTAGACCTTATAAGTACCGGTAGCTGATCATGGAACCGAAAACAAGCTGGTTATACTGTGACAATAGCTGGCGTGAGAGCTTGCCGCGAAGCATTGACCGTGATTCTTCACTTTCAACCCCGCTGGCTCATTCTGGCTGCTTAGAGCATACCCTACATCCCAATTCCAGGCCTTTTCTCTTGCTTCGCGACAAAGTCAAGACGTCCCATCATGGTCGTTCGAGCACGCGATCTTGGCAGTTATGGGCGGTTTGGCGACTAAAACCACCTATACTGACGAATCTAAGTAACAAGGCACTCTCCGTCGCACCCTTCTGCCACAGGGGAGAGTTGTTAATCAATGTTCAGGAAATATCAGAACGGAGCAAAGCAGATGTGTTTGCTAAAGCCCGGTCGCTGGTCAATGACTCTGGTTTGCGCTCCAAGTATTAGGACAATTACGCCAGAGGCTACCAGTGACGCCACTGGAGACGCGCTGCAATTCATATAGGCTGCGCAATGATCATCTACGTGGTGTGGGTGCAAAAGCCATAAGACTTGTCATAGTGCATCATTGTCCGAGGGGGGAACATGGACTACATCGGCGCACTCTTCAATGGCCATGACATCAGTCGAAAGGTATTCCGTGACGAACTGCAGCAGTACGAAGAGGGCCGCATGGAATACTGGAAGCAGCGCATAACTGAGTCGTCTCGAGGAGCCTCCGATTTCAGACCACCCGATCGTGCAATTCTCAAATCTATACGCGAGCTCCTAGACGAATACTAAGAGCCTGTCAAATATACCATCCGACGAGAAAACCGGGGCCTTACATTCCATCGCAGCAGACACCGTCAAAGGCCTTCAACTCCTCGATAGCAAAGACTGTGACGACTTCCGACCAGTCTCACGAGAACCTGAACCTCCTCGGCCAGGGCATCCAGGACATAACTATACGACGAGTCTGCGGCGGACGGAACACAGACGTCGGACATGAACCAAGTGCCTCAAAATGTGCACGCACTCTTCAACGTTCTCTACGGCGGTTTCCACCTGCTGGCATGGTCCTCTTTCTTCACACCCACCGCAGAGCGCTAGCTCTGGCGGGGGTCAGTGCTGTATCTCGTCTCCGTCCCACTGTGGGGAGCGCTATGGATCCTATGGTGGAGGGCTGCACGGTCACGTCATAGGCGCTCGAACTAAACAGCAATGGAGACCTGAATATTGTTGCTGCACCGCTTTTCTTTGTCATTCTGGTGGTGTATACCCTAGCCAGGTGTTATTTTCTGATTGAGGCACTTATCAGCCTGAGGCTTTTGCCTGTGACAGCATTGGAGACGGTGAAGTGGGCCTTGTCTTTGCCTCCTGTTCGGTAATAATCAGAAATAAAATATCCATTAGCAATCAGGTTGGTTTATTGCCTACCCCTTCTTTGTCAAGGATACCGTTAGCAATAAAAGACCTTGCCGCAAGCAGCGTTGAATCGTAGACTGATGGCGGAGATAATGAGAGGTGCATAAGAGAAATGACTAGCGCAAAATGTGCATAACCACCTTAGTCATCCAGGCTGGATAAAAATAGCAAAGTGCGCGGTTCGCTACGGGCCAACGGTCGCGGGACCCTTGCGACAGGCTGCCACCCAGCTCAGTACCGAATTATTCATCGGTTCCAAATCTCTGAATCAACGAAAGAATGGATAGAAGTGGTAGTTATCATGGTTCGTAAGCCCTGGCCACTGGATCATCGGATGGTGTTACGCGTTGTTGGAGAAAGAGGCGAGTATGATGTTTGGGGGGCAGGATCACCGTATTCAGTGAGCCTATAGGGCTGTGAAGAGTCGATTATCTGAGAGAGTCTGTGTGGGCTGGCTTGGGTGAGCAACAAAGCGTGAGAGTAAGAATAGAAAGCGCATCCTGTCTTTCTCCTTGCGGCGTGGAGGGCGGGCAGGGAATATCGCTGGACGGCGAGCTCCAGGGTCTTGTCTGCAGTGCGCGATTGGAGGAACTGCAGCAGACGGTGTGCATTGATTTGCTTGTTATTGATTCCACTGATCTTCCAGCACTAACGCAGTGCTGGACAAGAGTCCCCTTTTGGGCGGTGGTTCCAGGGTGGGAAGAAGATGAACTCTGAGTGCGCCACCCTGCAGATGGCACACCTGATCCCATCTTGTGCCCCCGCATAGACCTCTGGGACAACTTTGCTCTCACTTCCAGAGGGTGAGGGTGGCGATGACGCTGCGGCATAACAGCGGTAATAAAGCCCAAGCCCCTTCCTCCTCGACCCCAGGACTGCAGACTGAACACAACATCGACCAAGCCATCAAGCGTCGCAAATTAGCTCTGTCCAATCCACCGTCCCCTGTCGGTCGACACCCGAACCCCAATCACCAATTCCAAACGAAGTGACTGGCGCTACTGCAGTCCAGCCCTTCATCGACCAATATATTTCCCTCTTTGTTTCCCCCAACTCCCTTCTCTCTTTGGCGCTCTCCTTTCCTGCAAGTATTAAATTGCTTTCCGGTCTCCGTCTCCGTCTTTATTTCTCTCTCCCTCGTTCTTTTCCGCCTCCAAGTCGCTTCAGCGTGTACACTATACAAGTCTCGTGACCCATTACCCGGCTGATGCCGCCGTCCACCACAACATCCACAACCATCACATAACACAAGAACAATGCGCGAGATGGCCTCAAAATTCATTGAAATTCTCGACGTCCACGATGCCACCCCTCGCATCTCTGACTCAGACGTGCGCCTCGAAGATGTCCTCGCCGACCACGAGGCCTTCGTCTCGCGGCCCGTCTCGTCGACCCTCGACTCCAACTCGTCCAAGGTCAGCCTCGACAGGGAACGCGTGGACCGTGCTTCAACATCCCCGTCCCCGTCCCCGACAAGTCCAACTTCGCCCTCGCAGCGGTGGAAGAGACTGAGCAATATCCTCACTGCTACGAAACGGCCGCCGGTTTGAGACTGTGCCCATTGAAAGAAAAGAAAAGAAAAGAAAAGACAAGACAAGAGCAACTACGGTTCGATCATCTGCTATCACCTTGCGCAACACTCGATACTCTTTGCTTCAGCCTGGCGCTGTTAGCTAGCTCACCCTATTTCCAACTGCGCTGCGCGACACCAGATAACGACGAATCACGATGAATGATTATGAAGACAGCTGGGAGGCTTGCTTACTTTGCGAGTCCTTACCTACCTACCACCACCTACCCCCCTACCATCCGAGCAGTTGACTTCTGCTCACCCTTCGCCCCGTGCAGGTCCCTTGATACCCCCGTCCACGTTGTATTACATAGATTGTGTGTCGCTGTTTTAGCTGTCCATGTTTTACTTATGGAGGGGTACCTGCCTATCTACCCAACCATCTGTGTACAGAAGCGTTGCGTGCATAGTTCGAATTACAATCCGTGTGAGAAACGAGGCCGAGAACGTCGCCGCCGCATTTATATTTGCGGTGAGATGAAATGAAACCACGCCTCGCTTGGCCGTGCCCACCCTATTCTTATCCTATACGTATCAAACATTCCAACGTAGAGTATACAGCGATACCTAGCTGTACGACGCGGCTACAGGCCCAGTGTAACGTTTCTAACATACGACACTGGAACGGAAAACTCATCTAGTCGCACAACACCGGCGCGGCGTGCAATCATCCCGACCCAGCGCATCGTATCGCATGCAGTCGCAGTCCCAGTCTGAACCTCGCAGTAAGTTGCGGCGGTCTCGCTTCGCTCGTCGAAGGAAGCGAAGGAACACAACCGAGGAAAGCACTCAACGTGATGCCGACAAACGAGCACGACACGGACAAACAAGAGCAAGCCAAGCAAGTCCTCCACCTCCTTTCTCGAGACCCAGCGAGTCCGAAGTCCGACGCGACGACTGGACAGGTGGTCGCTGGTCACCACGACGATAGACACCTGTTCGAGCCCAGCCTGTGGAGAAACTGGAGACGCTGGAGACCGTTACTGAAACCTTGAAAACTGGGAATCACGTTGGGAGCAGCTCCAGTGTTGCCTCGTGGATCGTGACTCGCGAATTGAGTATCGATACTCCGTCGTGTGTCGTCGGTCGTCGGATGTAAACCGCCAAAGTCAGAGATTTAGTGATCGGCAGGTCCCGCAGTGTTCTCCCCACAACCAATAATCCTCGGCAATCGGGTGTCCAAAGAAATCGAAAAGCCATGCATTCTGCCCACTCAGATGTCCCACAGGACCGCAAGACTTGGAATTCCCAAATGCCGCGTATGACTGTTCGTCGCTCTGCGTAGATCCTGCCCGATAGAGGTATGAAACAGAACGAGCAGGGGCGCAACGCGGAGAATTCGGCCTGAACCATGGTTATGCCGCCGCCACTGTCAGTAGTTTCGTCGCTTCGTCAATCATTTCAAGAGGAATAGACGGATTTTCGACCCGGGGATTGGGATACGCTCGGGAACTTGTTATCACATGCGCAATCGAGATCGCCCAGTAGACTCGTTTTAGCAGCTCGAGAGTTGAGGCCAGAGCGGTGGCCGCGTCGCCTTAGCCTTAGGGGAGGGGTCGTGCGAATTTTTCAAAGCTGCTGTCGAATTATGATTTGGGGATTCGTTTCCCCGCAGTCAGAGCTAAGGGAGTTTCCTTCGTCTGCAGAGTGCAGAGTGCACACTCAAGTCAAAGTGCAGACCTACCCTTCACTCGTGAACATGATTGCTCCAGCTATCTGGATCCTGAATCCTAAGGACTGACTTGCTGCCTTGTCTTGTCTTGCGGTCTCAGACGGTCGGGCCTCGATTAAGGTCTGCTCTTGATTCAGATGATCTGAGTCTGATTTGCTGTGGAGGCAAATTTACAAATGTGAGCTTGTGAACAATAGCACAGTCCAAGAATAGAAATCCCCATCTTCAAGTTCCATCCAAAAGGAAAGAATCCATGGTTCCAGCGTCCAGTAATTCCAGCGGCAACATACCAGGAGCCCGAGTGGAGGAAAGGAACAAGCAGGCGGTGAAGAACTGCTGAATTAATATAGACTAAACCCCTTTTGGTAGATTGCACCAGCCCCGCACCAGCCACAGGAAACATCCCACCGAGAACGCGTCAAGCTGTAGCAGAGGAACAGGGCATCCACTAGCGATACTCCGATTAGATCAGATCAGATCAGATCTTCAGATCAATATCGGTATCCTAAACACATAGTAAGCCTGGCCACGATAGTCTCACTCGCAATGATGGGTAAGCACTAACCCAAGCCCAACAGACCGAAATGTCCGTGTCAACACCAGGCCCAAAAACAAGATCCACCTCGCCGACGGTCTTTGAGCAGCAGCGCGAAGAACTCGTGCGCGAGATTGCCGTCGTTAGTTACCTGCCTATCTGGCTGCTTAATTACCTGTCCACTTATCTAACTAATACAGGGCATGGAACAAGTCCTCCAAAACATCAACCGGCTGAATCGGAATCTGGAGAGTGTTATCTCGGTATGTCCATCCATCAATCCCATATATCCAATCAAATCGAATCATATACATCATTACCGTGAGAAAGGGTACTTAGCTGACAAACCAGGTCGGCAACGAATTCGGCTCCGTCGAGGCGCTATGGTCGCAGTTCGAGAACTTCATGGGCCGGCCGCAGGAGGAGGTCGAGCAGGCTCACGGTAGTAGTGGTGGCAGTCGGCAGAAGGAGGAGCAGGACGAGGGAGAGACTGAAGTTCATCAATAATGACATTTTTACGTTGATACCTACAGGATGGCATGATATGAAATGAAACGATTTGTTTATTTACTTTGTTTCTTTACTGGAGTTCGATCCTGTACATACATAGAATTATTGCATCGAAGTCATATTGTTTCTATTGGCTACTCGTGCTGCACATGGTTGAATGGTTTCTTTCTTTCTTTTCTTTTTCTGTGCTAAGTACATACATAGTACTAGGTAGTAGCAGAAGTGTGAAGGCTTCCGCATGCGCCAAATAACACCTATCCCATGCATGCTAAGGAGTAGCCTTCAGACCGATATCATGGCAGACGTCGTAATAAACAGGTCGAGGAAAAACAAATCAAAATCATCGCCAAGGGGAACATCCAGGGGAAGAAAAGGAAGGACAGAATGAGAAGGGAAAACATGAATATTGTTGGACCGCTGTCAGTGTGCTTGGTCATCAAAGTATCGAAGCAAAAAGGAAACCAATGGATCAAAATGATCAAACAGCCGCCCTAGTCCAACAGGCCAGACAGACCCTGGCAACGTTGGGACGAATCATAGAAACATGGACAAGTATCGGGACCCGGTATAGCCAGCAAGCATACCTCTATCCAACATGCGCTAACAGAACAGGCGATCACAGTGCAAAGTGCATAACGCAAAGCACCCAGGCTTTGTATTCAGTAAAACATAATCAGAGCTGCATAAAGTGCAGCAAAGAGAAGAGGAGACAAGAAACAGGGCGAGTGGTTGTGTTTTACAGGATCTTGCAGCTGCGCTTCTTGATCTTCTTGCGGCCACCACCGCTACCACCGTTGTTGGACTTGCTAGGTTTCCCAGAAGACGATGGGACACGGGTGTCCCAGTTTTGCTCTTCGACGGACACTACAGTGTCCACCGCCAGCTGGAAGACTGAGTCCACGCCCCGCATCTCTTTGCTGCTGCACTCTACGTAAGATGCGTTCATCCTGCCAGCCACGGCTTGGCCTTGCTCCGGCGTGATGGGTGTCAGGCCTTGCGTTTTCAGAAGCTCAATACACGTTCTCTTGTTGCGTAAGTCGGATTTCAGCCCAACGAGGATGATCGGAGTCGTAGGACAGAAATGCAGAACCTCAGGATACCACTGTCATCGTCAGATCGTGCAGGGTGAAAAAGGGTTTGGTGACCTACCTTATCCATGACATTTTCAAGAGACGCGGGACAATCAATGGCAAAGCAAACAAACAAAAGATCGGTCTCGGGGTATGAAAGAGGGCGTAGTCTATCGTATTCCTCCTGGCCAGCAGTATCCCAGAGCGCCAACTCCACGGTCTTCCCCGAGCGTCGGTGGAGCGTTTGCGTGATATAGTTTTCAAATACCGTGGGGACGTATTTCTGAATTGTCAGCATCGTATATATAGCGCCAAAGAACCATACTCACCTCTGGAAAATAGCCTTGCGAGTAACTAATCAACAGACATGTTTTCCCGCATCCTCCATCCCCCACCACAACAAACTTCTTCGAGTAGGCCGGGGGTTGGGTAATATTCGTTGCTTCTGACACCCTCCCGCTAGACATGCTGTTATCTGTACTGACTGTGCCGTTGCTGACTCTAACACTCTGGCTGCGCATCCGGCTGTGTCTTGGGGCTGCCGAGGGCGGAGGAGTGACAAGGGAATGGCGGCGCGAAGGCGCATAATACTGGTCGTCGTACATCGGCCCAGACATGATGGGGGATTAATTCTAGAAAGTGCCAGTCGTCAAAGGGTCTCGTTTCAATATTCGGAGAACAGCACGATGGGAAGTATTGTCCGAGGCTCCACAGGGGGCACGTTTGCTGCAACTGGGTGAGTCTGCGACGATGATCGTATCGACAAGATGGGAGAGAGAACAGTTCTGAGATGGAAGTTGAAGAGTTGTAAAGGTGAGATTGTAAAGTTGACTCGAGTTCAAGACAAAGAAGCAAAGGGATAGACCAAGATGCTTTGGCCCGGCCTGGGTAATGGCGACGAGAGTGAGGCTGGTCCAACCCAGATGTTTACGGGCGGCGCGCTGCCATGGCAACCCGCGGCTCTCTCTGGCGTGACTTCAGCTCCCCGCTGTCACTGCGCCAGCTCTCGGCCAATTGTGCCGCGATTTGCACGAGCTATTGGCCTTGGTCGCCCTCTGGCCGCGTATTTTTAGCTTTTTGTGCCTTGGTTGGCTGTCGCTCTCGCCTTGAAACGCGTGTGGGATTCCTGGCCACCGATCTCGCCCGCCTCGAAGCGCCGTCCATGATCTCATGCGCCCACTCTGATCGGAGAATCAAGACTACGAGCGCCGTGCCTGGCTTGGTTCCGATGTGCTTGAGATCTACCAACCGGTTCGCAAGAGTTACCACAAGGGAGGGTCCAGGCACAGTGTCAAATCCCACCTCCCTTGTTAAGACGCAGGTGTTGCCAGGGACATTGATCCCTTACAGTAGCAAGTAAACGCCCGATTCGACATCGGCGAATACACCTTTCCGAACACTGCAGAGTGCATTTTGACTGCTGCACCCTTGTTTTGCGCCGAGGGCACGGCCAAAGTTCCTGCCCCACGGGTTGTAGTGGCCGGCACAAATATATATCTCTCCCGTATTGTCGGCAGTTTGCAACAGTTTGCAACAGTTTGCAACAGTTCGCTGGCAGTTCGCTGGCAGTTCGCCAACAAGCCCCGTTTCATTTTCATCGGTCGTGCCCCGTTTCATCTTCTTATCTCAAACGGATAAGTAGGGTTTCTCTTACCCCGTAGTTTCTGGTTCTACACCGGTGTAGATAGTATTCCAAAAACAAGCCTATCCGAAACCCTCCGCACGTGCAAGCGTACCCTGTAGCATACTTGGTGCCTGCACAGCCACCACGCCAGATTCCCCCCCCAGACTCGCTCGCCATTGGCAAGACTCGCTCGCAGTCGATCAGTCCGACAAGAAAAATAAGTCAATGACACTGCATAATGATAGCCAATGGCACGGTAGCATCCGGTCTGCTAAACGAGGGAGAATACGGATGAGTAAGCGCACAGCTTATCCACAGGCGCCAAGCCGTAGCCCGTCCAGCTCCGCGGCCTCATTTCAACGCCAGAGTAGATCTCTTTCTCTGCCCGATTGTCGCCTGTCTCTTATTCCTCCCTGCTTCTCGCCTCCGGACTCGCTCGGTCGCTTGGGAGAAAGCGTCGCTCCTTATTCTTGACCTCGCCCATCCGTCGCAAGGGCGTGCTGGGTGATCGATGGGAACAGCTACCGTTTGCGCATCACCTTGGTTTGAATCGTCATTGACAACATGGGGCACCCGGTCGTGGAGGGCCAGCCAGATGCTGGGTTGAGGAGCCTGAATCATTGTATGCGATCTTACTGCTTTGACTTATGGTCTTTGATTTATGATGAACTTTTGGCTGACTCTCTGGCGTCGCGTTAGATCGAAATCAACTCCCCCCTTGGCGATACTGGCCTCGACAGAAGCTCCTCCCGTTGGTACGATATGAGACTCCCTACCTCGCCTGGTGCCAAGAGAAAATCCGCACGCCAGCATTGGACTCGTACTTTGCGTTCACGGCCAACCTCGGCACTCATACGTTTTTCATGGTCTTTTTGCCGATCTTGTTCTGGAGCGGATATCCAAGCTTAGGACGCGGGTAGGTTAACTGCAGCAGAACTGTCGGAGGCGACCCAATGCGGTTCTCCTGTGATGCGATGATGGCTAATGGTGGAATCCTGGCTTAGGATGGTACATTTACTGGCCTCCGGTGTCTTCTTCAGCGGTTTCATCAAGGACCTGGTCTGCCTCCCGCGACCGTTATCGCCCCCACTGCAGCGGATCACCATGTCTGGCTCCGCGGCCCTAGAATACGGTTTCCCATCGACTCACTCGACCAATGCTGTGTCAGTCGCGGTTTACGCTCTTTACCTGCTGAACTCTCCCGAGACGACGCTGAGTGACGGACTCAACCTTTTCCTCCAGAGTATAACCTATCTGTACGTTACGTCGATCGTCCTCGGCCGCTTGTACTGTGGTATGCATGGGTTCTTCGACGTTGTAATTGGGTCAGCGCTGGGTATTATATTGGCTGTAGTGCACTGCGTCTTTGAGACGGCTATAGAACAGTACGCTCAGACTGGTAGTGGAACGCAGGTGGTGCTTGTTGTCCTCACCATCCTGGCTCTTGTCCGCCTCCACCCGGAACCCGCAGACGACTGCCCGTGCTTCGATGATAGTGTTGCTTTTGCGGGTGTGATGATCGGGGCACAGACGGCGTATTGGAGCTTGGCTAGAGCCAACGCTACCTGGGACACCCCCCATCCTGCGACTCTCCCCCACTACAGATATGAGAATATAGGCTGGGCGAAGATGGGTCTCCGTTTTGTTATTGGAGTCGTCCTGCTTTTTGCGTGGAGGGAAGCTATGAAGCCAACTCTGCTGCGGATTCTCCCGCCGGTGTTTCGTGGGTTGGAGAAGCTTGGCTTGATTCTTCCCCGTCGGTTCTTTACGAATGCCTCGTGAGTTACGATCTAGAAACTACAACTGTAGCCAGCTAACCGTGCGCAAGGCAATACACCACGGTCCCCGCTCAACTAAAGGACCATGAAGTGATGCCAAGCTTCTCCGACATTCCTTCCATTGTCGCCAACATCCGCAACCCGAGACGTCGCGCCATTTCCATTGGACCCCAATCTGAAGCTGACGCCTACGAGACGCTTGCCTACCGCGAGAAGCGCCGACGGGATAGTCTTTCAAGTCCCTACCGGGGATCCCCCGCAACAGAAGCCGTCCAGGAAGAAGACGCCTCGACGTCTGCCACATCCGTTCCGAGATTGTCGCGGAAACCATCCAAACTGGATGAGTACGAGCACATGATGGGCCGGGGTACGACCGCCATCGATGTTAGATCTCAGTCTCCCGAGGGCACCGAGCCGTTCCCCGAGTTTGTCTCGGATGAGCGCGACGAGGAGGAGCTGTTTGCTCAAATTAAGCGACCGCGTGTACGATACGATGTAGAAGTTATTACGAAGCTGGTTGTATATTCAGGTGAGTTGATTCCTGCCTCTGCCTGCCTCTGCCTACTGCCCATTGGTTGTGTTGCGGGGTGCTAACACCGTTGCTATAGGGATTGCGTGGATTGTTATTGACGGGGCTGGGGTGCTGTTCGAGCGGATGGGACTCATGCCTGCCGAATGAGGCAGATGCGATGAAATTCACGACGAGTATGATTCTCTGGTTCAGCAGGCTGAGCCCACCAGGGAATGTAGAAAGGCCGGCTGTCTTGTACATACTTTGGTTCTTGCTCACCTCTTCTGCGATATAAACTGTAATTGGCAAGATAGTCTCAATGCATAGACCGTGATTCTGCTGGACTTGTGAATCTCGAAAACAAGCTCACTTGGATGTGTTACTGAGACACCACGTGACTTCCTAAAGCGGACTAGCCGACCGCGGAGCCGCTGGAGCTTTCCCGTTTTCAATGTAATGTTCTCTTCACTTGCGGTGTTCCTCTCCCATATCTCTCGCTGCGTCCTCGACCTCGCTTTCTCCCCTCCACAACACTTCGCTGCCCCTCAGAATTCTCATGGAGATAGCTCAACCTGCCGCGACTCTTGCGATCACAACAAATACCATGAACCCAGTTCGTGTCCACTGATCTCAGCTAGCTGTCTTGTGTTTCTTCTCCAATTTCGTTCTGCTTCAGCGTCATCGTTGTGTTCTTTGCTACTGGCTACCTTGTGTTGCCAACCAAGTCTTGTTTCTCGACGCGTCCTCGACACTCGTCGCGAAAGCCTCACCTTTCTCACCTCCGTCGAATCCCTCATACCATCTCCAACCGAACCAATACCTGTCTCACCGAGCGGAACCTCATCACCATGTCGAACCCCACAAATAATGCGCAGCAAGAAATGGAGGATGTGGACATGATGGACGCATCCCCATATGCCTCGCCTCAGGGAGCTCCACAAGTTTACACGTCCTATGGCATGGGTCTGAGCGATCCCCACCGAGACCATACTCCGCCGGGCATGAAGAAAATAGTGCCTTTTGGCGGAAGTCCTTATCCTGGACTCAACATCCAGGCCCTTCCCCCTCCCAAGGAGAAAATGAAAGTACCCTTGTCCGCTATGACTCGATACGCCTCCCAGAAATACCCCAACCAGAAACCTTTTCACTTCTCTGCCAACTCTGAACGTCAGCAGCAATCGACTGGGCCCGTGCTTCCCCGCATGGCAGAGGTCCAGGCTTATCGCACGCCGGCTTCATACAAACTAGCCTCGACCACCTATGGCCCTGGCCTTGATTATTTCAACCGTGGTCATTACTCAAACATGGGAATGTCCACTCAATCGGACTTCTACAAGCTGGGCAATAGCAAGTTGTACGATTCGAAGAGGTGGAACACTACGGACCTCGGTCTTACCGGGCAGGCGCCGGGCTCCCAGAAGTGGAATACCACCCAGAATTCTTCATTTACTGGCTTCAAGCCTACCGCACGACCTTTGGTCTCCCAGAACACCAGTCGTGGTTCGTCTTTTAGCAGCTTTGATACCCAAAAGTCCACGGATGATGGCAAAGAAAATAGCTTTGACTCCTTGACCTCAGTGTCAACAGCACCATCGTACCTTCCCCAGAAACCTCCTGTTGGCAAAGCAACCAACAGGTTCGACAATCTCACTACTTCCTCGACTGCGTCGTCGCTCCAGCCTAACGGACTTGTCACTAATCGCAAACCGAAATCCCTTGCCGAACTCCAGGCTGGATACTATCGAGAAAAGAAAGCCATGCGAGAAGCGGGCTTGGATTCACGCTCTGCTCCGTGGGCGCCTCATACCGCAGCCGAAGAGCTGACACGCCCTTCTAGTATGACATATGGATCATATAGATGTCTCGATAGTGGTAGATCGGTTGACGTCCCAGGGCCATTCAATGGCTCATCGCACCAGCCTCGCGGATATCCCGCTGATGGCAATGCCAATAGTTTCTCCAACCTTTCTCCTGGCCGCCCGAGCCTCTTCGCTGACCCGCCGAACAAGCCTCGCGGTGATTCCGCTGATGGCAAGGCAACTGATACCTCAAACCCCCATGGCCTTGTGAACCTCTTCGCTGGCCCGCCGAATAGACCTCGCGGTGATTCCGCTGATGGCAAGGCGACTGATCCATCTAACCCCCATGGCCTTGTGAACCTCTTCGCTGGCCCGCCGAACAAGCCTCGCGGTGATTCCGCTGATGGCAAGGCAACTGATACCTCAAACCCCCATGGCCTTGTGAACCTCTTCGCTGGCCCGCCGAATAGACCCCGCGGTGATTCCGCTGATGGCAAGGCGACTGATCCATCTAACCCGTTCCTTGACGCCTCGCAACATGCTTGCGAAAACCCTACTGATGGTATACCCACTGGTCTCTCAAACTTGTTCCCCAGTTCCCCGAAATTCAACCCGCGCAAACGCGGCAACGCAGATGACTTCATGGCACTCTTTGGTGCTCCATCTTCCCAGCCGCGCAAACGCCCAGTTGACGAGGAGAACCAGAATGGGGAGTCCCATACTGCGACTGCGGACTTTGCAAGTGGTTCCGTTTCGAAATATCGTCGGCTTAGTGGTGACGATCCTATTTGCACTGAAGGCGGTGAGGCCACTACAACTGATCACGTTTCAACTGTGGCGCAGCGCACTTCGTTTGCCTCGCCCTCCCATCCTGTTTTGGAGGCTACACCATCTGCCACGCTCAGTTCACCTTCTAGCATTGCAGGCCCTGAAACTCCTGTGAATGCACGCCAAGCAACCAACTCAACCTCTATGGACTCCGTACCAGGCTGCTGGCCGATGACTCCTACATCCACCCTCCACCATTCCATGCCCAACGTGGCTGCACATACTGGAGACATCTCTATGTCAGGTGCACTATCTCCGGCGCAGCCCGAGCGCTCCAACTCTCAGGACTCGCCAAATAATGGAAACAACGAATTGCAACCAGTGCGTCCTGCTGAAGGGACATGGAACAATTACTACATTACCTTGCAACAGGCATACCTCGCCTTCCAACGCCAAATGGCGCAGCCAGCTGCAAGTGCGTTTCGCGGTGCATTCGGTGGCGCAATGGCTGCTGCCAGTTCTGTAACCCAGCGAGTGATGGCCAGTAACGTAACCCAAAGAGTGCTGGGCTATGTTAGACAGCGCCGTCGTGATCGTGCGCGTGCCCGCTCGCCTCCACCTGGCTCTTCACCTGTTCGCGCGAACACACGTAATTTGTCTCCTGAACAGCGAGAACGTATTCGATCCAACCAATGGAGAAGAGACCGAGGATATCCAGTAAATGATGAATATCCTTTCCCTGCACTCGCGTTCGACAGTCCTCATATTTCACCCACTCCAAATTCTTCGATTCAAACTGAGGATATCGAGTCACCGTCTACCCCTTCGATTCAACTACAGCGTGAGATAATCCAGTCAACAGTGACTAACACTGACTCTGAGCGTAATCGCAAACATCCCGCCCACCCCGTTATCCCACATACCCCAGAACGGCCTCAAGCACCTAGGGCGGGTATTCTGAAGCCCAGAAGTTCCCGCACTTTCCGCAGCTCGAGACAGCAAACCCAGGACAGAATCCGCCGTACACGCGAGCTCAATGAAGCACTACACATTCAAGGCTTCAATACCTCCGCCAGAACCAGCCACTCAAAGTCTGAGCATAGGGTTCGCTTCCAAGAGCCTCTTGTCACTGTGTATGGTTATGAACCCCCGCTCACCCCGGAGCTTGCTCCCCACCTTCACCCGTCTCCGAACAATGAACATCCGAACATAGAATCTCTGAAGACTGGGCTTTCAAAGACTGAGTCTGCTGAAGCACTTGACGAAGAACAGAAGGAGAACATTGCCCCTGAGCTGGTCGTTGAACATGATGATTCTGTACCCCAGAATGACTTTGTTCCCCAGCATGACTTTCATGACCTTGTTGTTGCGCGTGATCACATTTTCCAGGCGGAGCAATTTGGCCCTGCCGCTGTCGTTGAACCCGTTGAACCTGCCGAGTCTGTTGAACCATTTGTTGATCCGTGGGCCCAGCCGCCGGAATTCCCTTACGGCTCAGCCTTGTCTGCTGTCAGCCTCTTCTATCCTCCTGACCGGAAGATCCCGCCCGGACGCACTGAGTCTATTTATGCCGATGAATGGCGAAAACTCGAACAAGAGCAGCAACTAGAAGAGCGTTCTGAGAGAATCAGACCCGAGGGGCCAGCTGTGCGTCCTTTGTCGGAGAAGTGGGAGAAGCGTGTTGAGGATGCTATGCGTATGCCAAACAACAGAAAGATCGTCGACACACTGTCGGGTGACCCCCTCACGAAGAGAGATTTGGCCAGCTGCTTCACCCCGATGGCATGGCTGAACGATGAAGTGATCAACTCGTATCTTGCTGTTATCATTGACTATCTTCGTCGCGAGAATAATAACGACGGACGTCATGACAAGCCTCGTTTCCATGCATTCAACTCTTTCTTCTTCTCCAACCTGCGCGACAAGGGCTACGAATCTGTTCGGCGTTGGGCGACTCGTGCTAAGATCGGCAAAAAAGATCTACTGAACGTTGACACTGTTTTCATACCGGTTCATAACAGCTCTCACTGGACTCTCATTGTCGTGAAACCCGCTGATAGGACCATTGAGCACTTCGACTCCCTCGGGTCGCTTTCCCGCCGCCACGTCGGCATCGTCAAGACGTGGCTGCGCGGGGAACTCGGCGACCTCTTCGTCGAGGAGGAGTGGGCGGTCCTGCCGTCTGTCTCGCCCCAGCAAGACAACGGCAGCGACTGCGGGGTGTTCTTGCTGTCTACAGCAAAGGCCATTGCGGCCAACATCGACCCGCTGGCCTACGGGCCACAAGACACCCTTCTTCTTCGGAAGAAGATTGTGGCGGAGTTGATGAACGGGGGGTTGGAGGGAGACTTCGCTCCGAAAGATGTGTACGGGGACGTCTTGTTGTAAGCGAGTCCCCTCCAACCCCAGAAAAAAAAAAAAAAAAAAAAAAAAAGAACAACGATGACGATATTTTTATCGAAAATATTTTTTACCGGCCATATTTTTACCGACTTTATTTTTACGACTGCATGATTATCAACTGCATTTTTTACCAGCGGCATGGTTATCGGCGCGTCATTATCCAATATACCCTTTATCAAATGCATCTTCATCTGCGGCATAGTTATCATGGCATGGTTATCAAGGCATGGCTTTGTGTTGGAGTTTTGTTTGGTTTACGGTGTTTGTAGTCTTGTCTGTCTTTTGTACGATGTTATGGCGCGAGACGCTGTCTACTTTTGTTGTTTGTGTTTGTGTTTATTTGGTCTACCTCGAAAGCATTAGAGAGGTGTTTGTTTAAGGGATATACCCGTCGGTTGAGCAACAGCTCCTGACATGCTTTTCAGATATTTTCATGTACATAATCACTCGTCGTGCGGCGCAACACACGCTCATGCCCATACGACTGGCCACCATGCCCGCTCCACATTACGGGTCAACCGGTGCCTCTCATGTCTCGAAACCCTCTATGCCCACTGAGACTACATTACAATTGACAATAACCAGTCAAACTGAAAATTTCGCGGAGTAAACGTATTCCATTGTAGATAATAACGAAGGAGAGTATCAATAGTACTGCATCTTATCCAAGTAGCATGGCCTTTCACAACTCTCCCTGGCTTCACCACCGGATACCTGCTTCTTCTGATGGGAACCCCCTTTCCTCCACTCCGACGGTCGATTCCGGTGCCTCTGGTTGGTCTCAATCGGGGAGAGACCCACGGTGGAAGTATTGTACGCGATCTCGATCCATTCAATGCCCATATACACGCTCTCATCGACTTTCATATCCCCAGTCCATACCCCACCATCACTCCAAAGGTTCATGGCCAGGATACTTGGCCGGTCAGGGACACTGACAGAAACATCCGCTTGCAACTCACCATCAGCGTACCACCGCGTCTTATTCACAAACCAGTCCATACGGTGCGTCCCCCACGCCGACCAGGGCCTCGGCACGGTCGTGACCACTTCACTCGCGCCGGGGACAATAATGTCTGCTTCCGGATCATAGTCTGGCTGATTCGCATAGTGGATCGTATTCGGAGGATCAGAAGTCAGGAACTCCAGATCGGACTCGCACATTGCAGAGCGGTATGTGAAGATACCCGCGCAAGCACCTCTAGGCACATTATTGATGTCTGGCGAATGGTCATCGGGTCTTCGCGTGATGGCGTCTCTCGACATAAGCCGCATGCGCACGCGGATCGAGCAGTGGAAGAAGTTCCCATTCACGCTCTCGATCTCCGCTGTGGAGGAGTAATTCGCCAGACGGGTGGTGCGGAGGACTAACTGAGTTGTATCGAGGTAATTGGGGTGTCTAGCGAAGAAGGCATTGAACTCGGAGTTCACGATGGGGATGATGCTGTCGACGGTCTTGTTGCGGCTCCAGGACTGGGTTTGCCAGTCGGTGTTGAAGGGTGATTCAGAGAGAGGGAGGGTCTCTGATTCCCAGAGGATGGTGTTGGCTAGGGGGCTGTTGGTGTTTGTTTCGCTCGCGCTGTGATTGTGAGGGAGGCGGACATTGCGAAAGTCCCAGAATTTGTAGTTTGTGAAGTAACCGGGGTCTTCGCCTGAGATGAGATAGCAGTCGCAGGGGAAATGGCTGGGGACTCGGGGGGTGAGGAGCGAGTTGGCTGTGTTGGATGGAGGGAGAGCGGTTGAGGCGACAGAGACGATGAAAGAGAGACTAGCGAGCAGTGAGAGACTGAGTTTCGTCATTGGTAACAGATAGAACGGTATCAATGAGATTGGCAGAAGAGTGACCGAGATGTGTTCATCGTGGATTTGTGGTTGGAGAGCAGGTGCAGATAGAGGGAGAGTACGCAGTGCAGGGAAGGAGCACAGGAGCCTCCTTCTGCAGGCCAGCACTGAATGCTGTTCGGCCCAGATTACTATTCGAGTCCTATATTAATAGTATAACAGCACTACAAATTCTCAGTAAACAGTATTTACTATATAGAATGTGCCAAGGCCCAGTTTGTATGGCAAAATGCTGCCCCCGCATTCACTTTTGCACGCCTCAACGTTTGCAAGCGAATCCGCCACTGAATTGGGGTCGGACAGTATATAACAACAGTGTTGACACCTAGTAGCAGTTTTTTCAAGGTTTTAGATCTCACTAGTTTTTTTTCGAGTTAAGTTTGTGAATAGTGTTGTCGTTGAATAGTTGCGGTGGTGTACGGAAGCGCATATATATAACCCAGTAGGGCAGTATAGAACACCATAACCAGCCAGAAACCAAATCATGGAGAACCGGCAAAACACTTTGTACCTTAGAAAAATCCTGAATCGATCACGTAAAAACTCCAGTTCACCGAGAGGGGCCTTTGCGTGGTGGAGTGAGTTTTTTTCTGCTATGTCGTTAGAAGGCGTCGGTTGAACAGCCAGGCTCGACCCAGACAATTGCTTAATATATTCGTCCTGTCATTTCATATTTCATATTCGTCTGCAACTTGTTCCAACATCATCTTTCTCGATTCCTTATTCCAAGTAAATATCCACTGTAAGTTGTCAACCTCTTTGTAATGCTGCATACTAACCCTACAGATGTCGTCCCGCCGCCCCATCTACATCAACCCCAACACCAAAAACCAAAGCACCAACTATCCCGACACAACCGCCCTCACAAAATTCCACCGCTCGCTCTCCGGCTACAAACCAACCCCACTAACCCCTCTCCCAGCCCTCGCCCGCGAACTCGGCGTGCGCGCCGTGCTCGTGAAAGACGAAAGTAACCGCCTGGGCCTCCCCGCATTCAAAGTCCTCGGCGCATCATGGGGCTGTTACCGCGCTGTCGCAGCATATCTAGATCTACCGCTAACTGTCTCGCTGGATGAAATGGCATCAAAAGCACAGGCGGGCGGCGTAACGCTTTTCGCGGCCACGAAGGGGAACCATGGCCGTGCGGTGGCGTTTATGGCGAGGACGCTTGGGGTTGCTTGTAAGATCTATGTATCGGAGTCTATGGACCAGGGTACCAGGGGGCGGATTAGCGAGGAGGGGGCCCAGCTTACGGTGATCAAGGGAGACTATGACCAGGCTGTTCTGGATGCTCTGAGGGATTCGAGGAGAGTGCAGGGTGGAGCCGGGATTCTGGTGCAGGATACAGCGCTGGATGGGTATGAGGAGGTTCCGGGTTGGATCGTGGAGGGGTATGGGACTATGATGGGGGAGGTTGAGGAGCAGGTGTCTGAGATGGGGCTGAGGGCGAGTGTTATGGTTACGCCGGTGGGGGTTGGGAGTCTTGCGAATACTGTCGCTACGTTTTGCAAGTCTAGAGAGGAGGCTATCTCCGTCGTTGCTGCTGAGCCGGATACGGCTGCTTGTTTGCAGGAGAGTTTGCTCAAGGGCGAGTTGACGTCGATTGAGACGACCGGGACGATTATGGATGGGATGGACTGCGGGACTGTCTCTACGACGGCATGGCCGAATCTGAAGAGGCTGGTGGATGCGAGTGTCACGGTGTCTTGCTACGAGAGTCACCGGGCCGTTGAGTATCTGGCTTCGCAGGGCATCGGTGCTGGCCCTTGTGGTGCGGCGTCGGTGGCAGCGTTGAGGCGTCTCGCAGCGGAAAGCTCTGAATCACTGCTCAGTAAGGACTCGGTCGTTGTGCTGCTGAGTACTGAGGGTCCTCGCGACTATCCTATCCCGTTTGATGTTTCAGCCGAGGGCGCCGTCGAGCTGACGAGCGTCCTGACCAAGATCAACTCATCCAACCCTACGCTCTCGTTAGCAGATGGCGCTGGCAAGACTCAGATCTGCAACTACCTGCAGGCCTGGTTCGCCCACCGCGGGATTGAGTCGCACCGCGTTGAGCCTGTCCCCGGACGACCCTCCGTCATCGGGGTGCTAAAGGGCACCGGTGGCGGGAAATCACTGATGTTCAACGGCCACATCGACACCGTCAGCTTAGCAAGCTACGAGAAAGACGCACTCTCAGGCACAATCGATAAGCGAGACGGCAAAGAGGTAGTCCTCGGCCGAGGTAGCTTGGACATGAAGAGCGGACTTGCCACTGCCCTGGCGGCCATGGCATCTGCCAAAGCCAGTTGCTCCCCTCTGCGTGGTGATGTGATAATCGCCGCTGTTTCAGACGAGGAGGATGCGTCGCAGGGAACCCGGGATATACTGGCTGCAGGATGGAGGGCAGACGCCGCTGTGATCCCCGAGCCGACGACAGAGATCATTGCGCATGCGCACAAGGGGTTCGTATGGGTTGAGGTGGATATCCTCGGTGTAGCTGCTCACGGCTCCAACCATCTTGGAGGCGTTGATGCAATTCTGCATGCTGGCTGGTTCCTGCGATCACTGGAGGAGTACGGCCAGCGACTCCCCGTTGACGATGTTCTGGGTCCAGCGACGATGCACTGCGGTCTGATTCAGGGCGGAGAAGAAGCATCCTCGTACCCCGCAAAATGCACAATCACTGTTGAATTCCGCACAGTCCCCAGCCAAACAGAGGAGTCGATCGTGCATGACATCCAGTCCTTGCTAGAGGATATCCAGAAAGGAAATTCCAAGTTTGGATTCGCCGAACCCCGGGCGACATTGTGTCGACCGGCCCACAAAATCAGCGCCGACCATCCCCTGATTAGCCAGGTGGCTGAGTGTGCAGCATCAGCTATGGGGAGTCGTCCTTCAGTCGAGAGCGTTCCGTTCTGGTGTGATGCTGCTCTGCTGAGCCAAGCTGGGATCCCGTCTGTTGTGTTTGGGCCATCTGGACATGGACTGCATGGGAAGGAGGAGTACGTGGAAGTGAAGAGTGTACAACGTTTGGAGGAAACATTCATCAGGTTGATTCGTGATTTCTGTGCTTAGACGTCAGATACATTAGTATAGCTGTGTTTACTTAGTAGAGACGGACCGCATCGTTTGTTAGAACGTGCGGTAACGGTGATTGGGATATGACGTTATGACAGAATGGAGATGAGTATAGTCTGGAAATAGCCAGTAAAGCACGATAACTGTATGATGTCCTGATATAGAGAGTAGATGGAGAGAGTTGTCGGGGAGTCTGAGTGTCACTCCGAGAGGTGAGAATCCAACGGGCTCTGATTGGCCGATACTTGGATTCGCCGCCTGAAAAACTCAGGCAAACTGATTACTCAGCAGCTCTCAACACTGCAACCACCACGATCGTGGAACCTGGAAACCTCGAGATTTCCCCGGCAAGACCGCTCTGATTTGGAAATTACCGATCATTTTGGTATCTAGTTGACAGCTTGGACATGGATGACTGGGTGGTGCCTAATGATACTGATACCGGCTTCCTGCAGTATCCCCATACGGAGGATCAACGTGGGGTAGATGCGCCTCCGACGGGGTCATGGCCGGTCGAGGAGGATATTTTTTTTGACTGGGACACATTATACGGCATACGGGATCAAGATACTTCAAACTCCCAGGTGGACCGGACACCGTGGTTGACACTCGACTTTCTACACACCACGGAGCCATCCTTACCCCCGCTATCAGGCGGGGAGCGAGCCTTCAATGAACCGGAAATCAACGAACCAGATATCCTCGGCCGGACACAACCTGGAAATGCGCCCGTTGTGTCTGAGAGGTTCAATGATGTCGCCGAGTGGTTAGACGGGGCATACCGTCCGCCGAACCCGTGCGACAACTGCCGCAGACATCGCTTCCAATGTCTGATCTTGCGGCGGACAGCTGATAACCCGAACCCGGTGCCGTCATGCTCCAGCTGCGTTGGACTGTTCCGACCATGCAGCTTTTCCCGACCAGGGGAGAAGCGCCAGCCGTGTGGGTTCGAGACACTGTCTCCAGTTCTAGGCCACCTCCACGGCGTGATTGAAGAAGGGGACGAAGGCGAAGACGGCCCGCGCAGAGTCGACGCGAAAGAAACGAAGCAGTTCGTCCGCAAAGGAGCGCGTGTACTACGGGAGTGGTTTTATCAGAACGAGCACTGCCCGTATCCGTCAGAAGAGGAAAAGGCTCGCCTCTCCCAGGAAACGGGCTTCTCGAGACAGAGGATATCGACCTGGTTTGCGAATGCCCGGCGGCGGCATAAGCAGCAGCGGCAGGCTGGGTCATCGACCCGGCTATACCGTGCTGGATCGCCGATGCCGACGAGTGATGTGACATCGATGACTCCGATGGAGCGCTGGCAGGCGTCGCCGCCTGACGAGGAGCCCGTGCCTGAGGCTGTGATCAGGGAAGCTATAGCGTCTACATCTACGACTTCGGATGCGTCTCGCCCGCAGAGCCAGGTGGGTACACCATCCACCGACCTCTCGTCTATTTGCGAAGGGTCCTCACTCGCATCGTCACTATCAAGCTTTGGTATCCCGCCATCGAATGCCTCGGATAGTAGTTCGTCTGCGTGGAGTTTCCAATCAGGGGATGGACCACTCCGCTCGCGGCCATATCATAGACGACCATCATCTGGGCGAAGAGGAGGTCGAAGGCGAGTTGCAGAAGATGGCCATTACCAGTGCACGTTTTGTACGCAGTCGTTTAAGAAAAAGCACGACTGGTCGAGACACGAGAAGAGCGTCCATCTCCCACTGGATGTCTGGATCTGCACGCCGAGCCTCAGCGAACTAGAAGATGGGAACATGCCCTTCGCAGAATGTAGATTCTGTGATCACCAACAACCCACACGAGAGCACTGGGAGAGTCACGACTTCCGCGAATGCGCTACCAAACCTCTCCCCGAGCGGTCCTTCAGTCGCAAGGACTATCTCTGGCAGCATCTGCGCAAGTTCCACGGATGCACGCGGTATCCAATCTCAAACCTCGATTCCTGGAGGTCCGCACAGAAAGAAATCCAAAGTCGCTGTGGGTTCTGTTCGTCGCCATTGCCTAGCTGGGCGGCACGGGCAGACCATTTGGCGACGCATTTTAAAGACGGCTGCCGGATGTCGCAATGGGTTGGTGACTGGGGATTTGAACCGACAGTTCTTGCGCGTCTACGAAATGCAGTTTTACCGATCCAACGCGGTCTTCTAGATATGGCAGCGACATGAATTGATTGTTGGATTGTCCTCATCGAGACCTTCATACTGGTGATGATACCGTGATGGTTGCCACGGTGTAATACGGAGACCGCCAAACGACACATGCATAAATACGAGCCCGACGCAATGCAGGATGACGCTGGGGCGGAGTATCGATTATTTCTGTCGACCAATTGTCAGCGAGGCCTGCGTCTCACTTTTGGTGGCGATAAGGCGACAACCGATCGTCATTGGAGGAAAATGGGTCAGCTGGATGCGGTGTGAACGCTAATCCCGATCGAGATCTTCGAACCCGACACTAAGCCTCTTCGGATCGATCGGCTGCCTTTGCCTGCCGCTAGCATTTACCGTTACGGCCTTGTATTGTGTATTGTAACATGTCATCATTTCGGCCATCGCTCTAACCTCACTAATTGCTACCAAGATAATGTAATTAAGATCCTGAAAATAGATATACTTTTTAGAATGTGACGACATGATTATAATTGAAATGAGCCACTATGATTCATTCGCGGTTGGGATGAGTAACGATGAGTCGATAATGTTGGGCGACCGTGTTGTCTGTTGTTGTGCCAAGTGGTCATCCGCGCTAGTGAAAGAAAGGAGGGGGCACGGCCCAGCCGGATTTCCAGGTGGCCCTCTTCTCGCTCTCCTCCCACAACCCAACCCTTTCTCTCCCGTTTGACACCAATTCTGCCTCATCATCACCACCGCTTGCCACAGACTCTCATCGCTACCGCTGTCACCCCATCGAAACTGCCCTATATAGGACCGCCGAAATGGACCTCGGAAGCTGTTGTTAGAGTCTAAATGACTATACACCCGCCTATGTTCAGCAATAACCCGTTATTTACGATTTTGACTACCGGTCTCATTACCGCACCTCTCATCCCTACCTATCCATCATGACCGCCACCCTCGAACGAAGTCTCTCTCGCACATCAAGTGTATCCATGCCTCTCTCACCCATGATCTCTTTTCGGCATGATGCTGCTACCCCTGTCTCCGAATCCTCCATCTCACACCTCCACGAACGCCTTTCGGTTATCGATTCTCGCCTTCTCGAACTACGATCAACCGTTCTGACCAAGGACGGCTATGTCGATAGACGCAATCGAGAGGATGAACATATTCGTCGTGAATTCGAAGCGAACCGGTCCATCAGCAACAGAATCGACTTGAATGTGGTCGCGTTACGAACGGACGTCGACCAGTTGAAGTCGGGTATCCTGCAACTGAAATCGAATTTGGGGCAAGCCGGCAACGAAACCGTCTTCCTTCGCAGCGATGTCGATCGACTTTCGAAGAACGTCGACCAGATCCAGGCCGATCTAGAACACATGCAGACTGATGTGTGTGGATGTCGCATGGAAATAAGCAAACTGCACTCGACGATCAGCCAGCTTCGCACTGATCTTATCACCTTGCAGCACGAGACATCGCGGCATCTAAACTCAGTGTTTGAACGGTTTTCCCTGATCGAATCCCGCATGAAACATTCTGAACGTGTTCGATTCAACTCGCTAGCCCACACCACCCATGCTCCTATTACTCCTGTTCCCGTTGTTGAAGAGGATGGATCTCTGCTTTGGCCGGAATATTTCCCCAGGACTGTATGGAGGTTCTGGTGTTTGAAGAAACGCAGTCGGCGTAAGTAAAGACAAGACAAGTAAATGCCCTCCCCCAGCCATTCTAACCTTTTATTATAGTCAACCGCCTGGCACAACTTGCCGAATTCTACCAGCTTGGTGGATATGAATATTGGGGCCGGATGCATCAGACCGATGGCATGTTTGCCAGTGACAGCGAATCAAGCGATTCAAGTGACTGCCCTTCGAGTTTATCGCGGGCTGAAGCTGTCCGAATGTTCCCTGAAGCCGCCCACCAGGCACTGGCCGCTACACTCGGCCTCGTCTACTACAAGATCCGAAATGAAGTTGGAGATCACCCCCTCTCCCCCATTCAACGTCCACCCAAGCGGCAACAGGAGGAGGTGGCTTCTGTCTCGTCAAGTTCGAAACAGAAGCCTGTCAAGATGCCCCGGCGTCCCAACAACCTCTCTCCCACCGCTCTCTACAAGCTCATTACTGGGCCATCTCTTGAATCCAAATCGTTGACGTCGGAAGAATCCGACAAACTCGGTTGGAACGCGCAGTCCGAGAACTCAGACGACGCCATGAGTAAGCTCCGAGGCATCGTTTCAGAAGAAGTGGGCTCGCTTCTCCACGCACTGGAAAGCGGTCGACTGAAGATCAAGCCTAGCAAATCTGAGCGCATGGAGATGAGCCCAACCGGTTCTACCGGCAGCTTTCGTGGCAAAGCCCCCGCCAAAGATGCAGAGTCAACTACGGCTAGCACTGTGCCTACTGAGATTGTCTCTCTTGCCGAGAAGAAGGCAATACAGAAGCTGGAGGAAGCCACTATTCCTGATACTGCCTCGGAAACCACCAGCGTGTCGCCATGAACTTTACTGATGCGACCACTTTCACACTGCAGTTGTGATCGTTTTTTATTGGATTTGTCTGAGGATTCGGACATCTCCTAACCAATGTTATCCGTATGCACAAGCTACTGGAAGAACAAATACCCCCTACCGCGCCAACCGATTGGTTCACTTCAGAGTCAAGTATCCGTCAAAAGAAAGCATCGATATGCTTGGTGGACTTGTACTCGAAGTGCGTCTATCGCCCGAGGGCTTTGGGCTGTAACTATATCGGCGTGTCTTCGATACAAGGGATTGGACCCTATCGAATAACGCATTTAGCCCTATACACTGTACTGGGTTATTTTTTTTTGGGATAGAATATTGACGGCCGTCAAACTCGATTCCCAGTGGTCATCCGTCACCGGTCACCGGTGTCTCTGATCCTGTCTGATTGCTCCGAGCGGCGGCTTTGCGGATCCGTTGAGGACCACATCGTCTAGTGTATGGAGTATATCTTAGGACTTCTCTTGTTTTGCGCTTTAAATGCTGCATTACTTTGGATCCTACGATGGGAACTATCTATTGCCGCGCATTCATGCTGGTTAGCGTTGAGTTGCGACTCGATAAGTCTGGTTTCACATTTTGCGCTTGCATACACAAGCATTGATAAGGAGTCTTGTGTTGAATTTGTTTAGAAGATACCCTTTTGGATTTACTGTGGCATCTACTTGGAGTTACTTGGGATTTGCTTATTATTTCGGGATTTGGTTTTGAGATTTGGTTTATTATTGCTTGGTGTATATCGGCGTACTTGACTTTAGCCAACGAATGGGCAGTTGTTGACCACTGATAGCATTCCACTGTCGAGCGATCGCGCATCTGCTTGCACTCCGGACGGTGTCGGTGTCGGTGTCGTGACGAAGCTCCTTCGCCTCCCTCGCACTGGACTTGACCGGAGTACATCCAAATGGACCGAGCTCTGACTTCGTATGCACAAGCCATGGTAGCCTTGCCTTCAACTAACACATCCTAGTCTAGACACGATATACGCCCGACATGTTGATACTTCATAGTCATAGATACTCCAGGTAACGCCCAGCATCCCCGAATTAAGTGTTTGTACGTCAGCAATTTTACTCTACAGGTATTATATCCAAACTCCAACTACTATAGCTCATCAATCAATCATGATGCCCCCGCTACCGGTGCGGAGCCTCTGCCTAATAGATCCTTCTCCAAAACCTCCAACATCTTGCCCTCGTCTACGTCTGGAATATCCACAGCTCCCGTCCCAAAGACCGCGTCTGTATCCACTGCGGCGTCGTCATCGAGCTCGGTATTCGTATCCTGGTGCGTCCGTAGATACTCATTTTCGAGAATGAATTTAGAACTTTCCTCCGTCTGCTCGTGTTCATCGCCTAGCGGAGCTTGTCGTACGTAGATTGTAGGGAATTCAAGGACGACGCGGTCGTGGAGGGCAGTTGTGAGGCTTGTATTTGGGACCAGAGGAATAAGAACTGGCTGCTTTGTTGCAGTGCGAGGACGGTGGAGGTAGAGGTATACATTGCGGTGGGGGGCAGGGTGAGTTTCGGTTGTTTGTGGTGTTGTGTTTTGTTGGGAAGTTGTAGGTTCGTTGCTGGCAGCTTCTGTCGTCGTCGGCTCTGGGACGGTATCTGAAGCACTCGCTTCCGATTGCGAAGGCTCTTCTTTTTTCTCGTCCTGCACGGCTTCTTGGGCGGCTTCTTGATTGCGCATCTGTCGTTCCTCCTTGGGTAAAGGGAACGCCCGATCGTAGGCCTCAGCGATTGTGACTGTTTCCGTGCAATTCACCCTTTTCGACCCATCGTCCGTGACGAATTCCACAGTCCATTGTAAACACTTTTGCCTGTAGCAGCACCATACACGTTAGCTCGATCACAAAGCCACCAAGAACGTAATAAAAGTTACCACTTACTTAGCATGCCACTTCGACCCATTCATCCTCGCGCGACTCATTCCCTTCGGTGCTTTGATAACCTTCACACCAGCCTCCTCCGCCCTCCTAAGAAACCCTGCCTCACCCTTCGCCAGTCCCCTATCTGGCCCAGCTCCAAGAGCAGGACCCCTCTTCCTCTTCCCCCTCGCATCTCCAAGCCCATGCTCAGGCTCACCTTCACCCTCCAATCCCACAACACCGCGATCATGAACCCCATTCCTCCCATCAACGCCAACCCCGCGATTCTCTGCCTCGCGACCCGCCCGTTCAATACGGCGCTCAATTCCCGTGATGAAATTAAAGTCGCGATCGAATGAGGATTCGGAGGCTAGTTCGTTGCGGCGCATGTACGCGGCCGGGTCGCGGACGCCAGAGCACTGGGACCATAGTTTGTGTCGGCGTGTGCAGGGGAGGGAGCATGTGCGTGTTGAGCATCGGGGACACCGGTATTTAGGGGGTTGGACGTGGCTACGTTGGGTTTGTTAGTAATTCGTCGGGTCGTACTGGGGGTGTGTTTGCTGAGGACGTACCAGATTGTGCAGAGATTTGTGAGGAGGGTTTCTTCTTCGGACATGGTAACACTAGATTGAACAGTATAAAATATGTAGCGAAAATAAATGGCAAGATATGGCAAGAGGAAAGAACGAAAAGAGCGTTGAGATTGAATTCTGAAGGAGAGTTGGACTTGACGAGATTTGGAAAAAAGTGAAGCTTATCGATAGCGGTTGCTGCCTTGCAGCCTGGTGCATGACCACTGCCTCAGGCTGCAATGTTGTCATCGGGTCTTTGGATTCTCCAACGTTTGTCCCTCGTCCCTCATCGCCGATGGTGATATCCATGATTATAAATCAAACACGACATCGTGCTGCAGATTTGCCAATTAGTGATCACTTAATTTGCGTGCTAGCCTACGTAACTGTCTTATAAAACCGGGTGACCCGGTCGAGCAAACTGCAAAGCTCTTGTCTACTTAATCTACTCTGCGCTTCATATACTTACCCCACTCCAGCTGTATAACTTCTGATCAGAATGGCCACCAAACCGCTTGCAATCATCGCTGGTGTCGGTCCCGGAACAGTATGCCGTTTCCTATCCTCGCATACTATACGCCGGTCACTGCTAACCAACCCAGGGCGCCAGCATCGCACGCAAGTTCGCACTGGCATACTCCGTCGTAGTCCTAGCACGTAACCCAGCCAACTACAACAGTCTTGTCAGCGAGATCACCTCCGCTGGCGGCCAGGCCCTAGGCATCAGTGCGGACGTGTCCGACTCCAGCAGTCTAAAGGCAGCCTTTGAGAAGATCTCTCAACAGTACAAGGACAGTCCTCTCGCAGCCGCGGTCTTCAACTCTGGCGGCGGGTTTGTCCGGAAGCCATTCCTGGAACTCACCGAGGACGAGTTCGCGGCTGGGTATAAGAGCCAGGGGTATGTTTATTTTTATCCTTATCACCGAACCTGCTAGTTCATAGATGACATATTGACAACCGATAACAGGATCGGCGCCTTCAACTTCGCCCAAAGCACGCTCCCGCTCCTTCAAAAGTCCACAGGACTGCAACACCCACCAACCCTAATCTTCACCGGCGCAACAGCAAGCGTCAAAGGCTCGGCGAACTTCGCGGCCTTTGCAACGGGCAAGTTCGCCCTGCGCGCGCTGGCTCAGTCGCTGGCCCGTGAGTTCGGGCCGAAGGGCGTCCATGTCTCCCATGTTATCATTGACGGGGTGATTGATATCCCCCGGACGAAGGACTGGGCGAATGAGCATGAGGATGGGAAGTTGGATCCTGGTGCTGTATGTTTGAGTCCCGCCCCTATCCCCACTCCTTCTGGGTATTTGGTACTGATTTGTGGATGTAGATTGCGGATGCGTACTGGCACTTGCATACGCAGCCGCGAACGACGTTTGGATTTGAGTTGGATCTTCGTCCGTATGTTGAGAAGTGGTAAGAGATGATCTTAGGTCCTATTGGAGGAAGTGTGATTGTCTAACTGGATGTTGCCTGTAATCTCAATGAATTATTTTATGCGCTATGAATATTCAGAATTCCGTTACTGTCCATAAACAAGGCTAAACCACGTAGTAAAATAATTATGCAGTTCTACAATTCTGTAGCAATGGTATGCCTATTGAGTTACAAACGCCGAAGCATTTGAAGCACTGAGTTGAGACGCCTTCGAGCTTGGAAGCTGGTTTTTCTATAATTTAGTAACTAATGCATCACTGACTTGCATACAGTCAAACACCGGTACGAACACCGAGACACACAATCAAACGCCGAATCATTTAGACCCCGTAACCCTATCCTTTACAAACTGAACGCTGACCGCATTCGCCTCTTCAGCAACAGGAAACCCCGGTACCGCAGTAAACCCGTGAGTAGCCCCAGGATAGATCTTAACAATGCTCTCCGCACCAGCGATACTCCACTTCGAGCCCATGAGGATTGTATCATCAACGAGGGGATCATCTGTCCCGACGACAAACAACGCAGGAGGAAGGCCAGTGGGTGACTTCGCAGCAAGTCCAGCTAGATCCGCGTAGATTGGGGAGATAGAAGGATCCCTGCATTGCTCAGGAGTTTTACCAGGTAGAAATGCGCCGCGGAAGCGCTCCATAGCTGCCCGGTCGATCATGACTGGTTGGGTTATTGTCGTGAGAGAAGGAAGGCCTAGGGTCGGGTCGTATACTCCATACTGGAGGGCTAGACCTTCGATGGCATGAGACGGTCGGCTGGCCAGGAGGTGAAACGTAGTTAGGACAACGAGGTATGCTCCGGCTGACTCTCCGCCCATGAAGCGGACAGGGCCGTACTTCTCGGGATGGTCGATCAAGTACTGGGCCGCATCAATGCAGTCGTCGACGGCTGCTGGGTATGGATTTTCAGGCGCGTGACGGTATCCAACGGATATGGCAGTCAATTGGCAGCCATTGGCATACCTTTGTAGGACTTTGTCAGAGCTTGGAGGCTGTTAGTCTAGTGCTTCGTACTCTGATATCTATAAGCAGACGCTCACATCTTCTCGTCCCCCAGGACCCATCCGCCCCCATGGGCATGAAGGAACACACCTTCACTGGGTTGGCCGTTGTCGGGCTTGTAAATGCGTATCGGTATTAGACGAGAGGAGTCTCGAGAAGGAAGGGTAGCATCTGTGGCGCCGGGAAGAAACGTCGGCGCCGGTAGCGCGAGTTTGCCTTGGAGATGCATCTCACGGTACGTAGCAGCGCCAACTTCGTGCCAGCGGGGTCCCTTGGTTGTGATATTTCTGACAAAGTTGTTCACTTGTTTGGTGGTTTCGCTGACATTGTCAGGACGAAACCTGGAGGCATCGATGGTCAAGTCACTCTGTATAGACATGGTCGTAGATGCCAGGGAGATAGAAAATGAAGATATTGACCCATTGTGGAACTGTCTTGCATACTTATAATACACCAAGTGGCTTATGGTTCCTGACTCGCAAGAGAAGAAGAAGAAGTTGTTTGCACTGAATCCCGCCCCCACGAGAGCTCCAATGATCGTCCGGAAAGCTGCCTAAACAGGCCGTGCAAACCATAAAATCTGACCGTGACGCACCGACAAACACGCCGAGACCGACAATGACTCAGCACGAGCTCCCCACACGGAGATCCTGCCGACTCCTCCGACTCCGACTCAACACCAGCAGGTGACGCTGCTATCAACAGCTTCAATATCGGGATACTATACCTCCGTTGCCGTCTTCAACGAGCAACCGCAATGGCCACCAACGATGGGTCCCCACAGACAGGGGAGCCCTCGGCACCGCCCAAGACCTTCTCCCTTCCTCCCGTCTTCGAACCCGGCGTTCAATTCAACCCCAATCTCATCTACCGCCCCGACCCGATCACACTGCTCACCTTCCTGGGGACAGAACGATGGCACCGGAGAGTGATCGGAACGACCGCTCGCATTGCCGAAGTTAGCAGTATAGATATTAACCGGTCTCTCACACAGTCCGAGCTCGATTTCTACCTCGAAAACACCAGCAAAACCCTCTACCAAGCCCGCACCGGCGGCCCTCTGGGTTTTCTTGCCGGAGGCATCAATGCCGCTATGATTTTACAACGAGACAAGACGATAGAGCGGTATGCGTCGGCAGACCCGGGACTGTCCTTGGGAAAGCGGTATCTCGAGGGCATAAAGAACATGTACAAGCTAGACCCTACTGCCTTCCGGGTGGTGACAGCGGCCGTACTGTCTCGACTAGGACTTTGGACTTGCGGATTGTGGATTGTTTCAAATGCGTATGCGCTTTCAAGTGGCGTCGGCCGGATAGCGACGGACCCGCGGGTGAAGGAGATTTTTGAAGACCGACAGAGCCAGGACCCGAAGGTGGTACGGGAGCGGCATCGCAACGCACACTTGGTGAAGACTCAATTGAGTCGTCAGCGGGCACGGGGCGAAGTCCCTACTGCCCAGGAGGGGAGTGCCGAGGGGGAGTGGCATGATGGCCCAACAGATATACCCTCCCCGCGGACATCGAGCCCGGGAATCAACGACTATCACCCGCCGCCTGTTCAAAATCAGAGCAAGGGAGGAGATTTCTTCGATGACGACGCCAGTCCTATCGCTCCAGACTACCGAGATGCTGCTCCACAGGGAAGCGCTTGGGATCGCATCCGACGACAGAACCAGGTTCAATATTCCACTACGCCACAGCCAGAGACTTCAAGGATACGCCGGACTCCTTATGAAGAGAGCCAACCACCGTCAGACTACCAGGATAGTCAATCACAAGGGAGCACATGGGATCGTCTCCGTTCTCAAGGGCCCCAGTCACAGCCCAGCGGTTCTCGCTCGCAGGCTGGTGTATCCGACTGGAACACCGACAGCAGACAGGATAAAGAGCGCGCTCAGGCCGATTTTGATCGGATGCTCGACGTTGAGCGGAACAGGGGAAGCGACTCGGACCCTGGCACTAAGCGCACGGGGTGGTGGAGCTAGATGTTTGACTACCAGCTTCGTTGGCAGATTGCAGATTTGGGCACGGTCAAGGGTGACTTAGTTACTGGACATACTGTATTTCTATTCAAGCAACAAACTGATTTGTGCTGTATCTCCTGAATACCGCTGCACCTATGGTATGTATTACTTTACGTCAATTAACCCAGCTCTATACGTAGTCTCGTTGTGAGAGGCTCCTTTTACGGACTTGTTACGCATTCCTCTAGTTGGTTGGCACGTAGTGTATTTTATGTTGTAAAACCTGTGAGGAGTTATAAACCATTATTGAAATAACTAATAAATGACAAGGGGAGGATGAAGATTTAATAGCAAGTTTGCTCCTTTCGTAATGCGTAGCCCTAAGTCGTCAGGGAATCAACCCACAATTGAGTTAACCGCAGACAGAAAGAACAATGAACAAGAGATTATTATAACGATCGCCCAGGGTAAAATCACTATTATGTCGGAGCCGGAGCTTATAGCCTTGTGGGCACGGCAGGAGCAATGCTGGATCCACTGTATGTATGGCAACTACATGCATCTCATGTCAGCCGTTCTGCTTAGAATAACCATGATCATACATTTAACCATCATCAGGTACTCAAAAGTTTGAATATTCGTTGCCCCCGGAAATTCGTCCCGCAGACTTGAACCCTTGTTCACCATGAAACTGGCAAACCTTCTTCTCGCTCTGAGTCACTCGTTTACCTTTGCTTCTGCAGCAAGGTTCCGATACCCAGACAGCGACTATGTTATTGTTGGAGCAGGACCAGCAGGGTACGTCCTAGCCAATCGCCTATCCCAAGATCCAAATATCACCATCACACTTCTGGAGGCTGGGCCGGATGGCAAGGACGATGCCGATGTCTACACCCCTGGATTTGCTGGCAGACTCCAGAACAGTCAGTATTCGTGGAATTACACCTCTCAGCCTGATCCACGGCGTGGCAACATTACACCCCCCTTCCCACAAGGGCGTGGCCTAGGTGGTGGCACTTCTATCAACTTCATGTCGTATTCTCGAGGAGCAGCCAGCGTGTACGACCAGTGGGCGAAGGAGTCTGGCAACGACAGACTGAGTTTCGGAAAGCTTCTCCAGATGTTTCAACTCTCTACAAACCTAACTATGCCGTCCCTGACTGATTACCCCACCGCCGCAAACCCTGCCGTATACGGAAACGGGCCACTACAAGTTAGCTACGAGATAAATGCCACCGGGACTGAACCATTTTGGGGTGATGCGATGGCCACAAGTATCTCACCGAATGTACCTCTTATTGACCCAACTGATGGGCGTTCCATTGGCCGAGTCAATGGTGGCCCGCACACCATAAACCTCCTGACGGGGCATCGATCGTCTGCCCAAGCTTCGTACGGTTCGGCCTTATTGGCTCGGAAGAATGTAAAAATTATAACTGGTGCTGAAGCTACCAAGATCCACGTCTGGTATGGGAAGGCGGCCTTGGTTGAGTACATATCATCGAACGACGGCTCGAATAATACCGTGTGGGCCAGGAGAGAGGTCATCGTCAGCGCAGGCGCAATCGGATCCCCCAAACTTCTTATGCTCTCGGGTATTGGTCCCAGGAAGCATCTAGAGGACCTGGGGATCTCAGTTGTAAAAGACATCCCAGACGTGGGCGACCATCTGCATGACCATCACAATGCAGTCGTCATGGTACAGATCCCAGAGAACATTACCACTTCGTTCACGCTTCAAAACAACAAAACTCTCCTCGCAGAGGCTGAAGAACAGTTTAAAGCAAATGGAACGGGCCCATTGTCACATATCCTAAGCTCCAGCTATGTAACGGAACGGCCACCAGATGCTTTCCTGGACGCTATCAACTCACCCTTTCATAAAGCTCTTCCCAAGGACCGACCCATACTGTACTACTCCTATACAACATCGGCAATGGCTGCCAACCCCCAGAACGCAAATGTGATATCCGGATATGTTAGTCTGATACAGCCAGAAGGGCACGGGTCTGTCAGACTAGCTAGCACCGACTATCGTGACGCACCGCTTATTTTCTCCAACTACTGGGGATCCGATGCGGATCTGGCGTTGCAGTTATACGGGTATAAGAAACTACGCGGTGCAATGGCATCCAAAATCATAGCCCCTATAGTGAAAGGTGAACTGTTTCCAGGCCCTCAAGCCCAGACTGACGAGGAGCTGACCCGGGCAATGCTATCAAGTGCATGGTCATTCCACCATCCCAGCGGAACATGTGCGCTGGGAAAAGTTGTCGACTCCCAGTTTCGCATTCCGGGTATAAGGGGCTTGCGTATAGTGGACTCCAGCGTGCTCCCGTCCCAGCCAACCTGCCATATGTCGGGGCCAGTCTATGCTGTAGCCGAGCTGGCAGCACACATGATCCAGGAAGATTGGAAGGATCGTGCCAGTAACCAAACCGTGCTGGCTTAGATGGTGGATTGAGATTATGGTGGGATGATTGGACCGGATTGAACATCAACATCTCTAAATAGTAATGCATACGCAGTGTAAAGTCAACTCGTGCCATGGTACAACAGCATTATGCTTCCCAGGAACAGCATTATACTTTTCCAGGAACAGCTGTCTTAGTGACGCAGTATGAAGTTCGTCTCGCTTCTCATTCTGCATCCTCCACCTTTCATCATACTCTATATTGAATACTCTATACTAAATAACGCTGTTCTGGAAGTCGCTGAAAACCATCACTATACAAGACTATCAACTATCCAAATATATCTACTATACTATATAAAAACACCACTGCCAAATGGCACCTGTCAAGCTCTCTCAGAACCCTCAAACCTCTCCCCAGGAGAGACGAGCCCTCCTTAAGAACACCGACCAAGTCAAAGGCGTGATGCCCATCGAAACCTACCTCGAACGCCTGGAGCCCTACCGCTCGTCAACACTCAGCTGGCCCTATCCACACAACATCCTACCAGCAGAACCAACCACAACCAAACAAATCGAGCAGCACCGCAGCGCTATACTCGAGATTCTACACTCCCACAACTTCCCACCACCCCAATACCTCCAGTTCTCTATCCACAGCGCAACAAAACAGCTTTACCACAGCAAACCCGTCCAAGTCCTCCGCCTCGCCTACATCACAGACCCAGAAAGCAAGACCGCTCCCACGGTCCCAGCAAACCTCGATCCACCCCGCGACGAAATAACAACCCTCCTAAACAACGACGGAATCAACGTACATACCGAAATCATCTTCGTGAACCAAGTCTTCGAACCAACCTGCTTCCCTATTGCGAATGACGACCCCGCTGCAGAGGCATTTGAACACGCCCGCCGCAGTATCAATAGGGTTGTTTCGAGACTTAGGGATAAATGGTCCATGGTTAAGATGTTTAATGTTGGTGTTACAGTTGAATCTGCTATACCTACGGTCGTTGTCCAGGTGAATCCGCGGACTGAGGCTGATTGGGAGGGGATGGTGAGGGAGATGCTTTCCCATATCCCAAAGACTGAATATCATGACTGTAATGAAGTTATGGATATGAAGATGGAGATAGGCGTCGAGTTCGTGACAGGGAAGGTTGTCAAGCCGATTGAGTACCCGGAGCAGAAGGACGAGGAGGATGAGGCAGAGGATCCTGTGGATAGTGAAGAGTGTGAAGTGATTAGGGAAAATGCTGATGTGATTGTTGGACGGCTTCTTGAGCTATCTGGGGAGAGGAAGGACTGGGTTATTGAACGGATGGGAGAAGTGGAGAAGAGGAAGGTGGAATGATATTGTGCCATATATTTGCCTGTCTCTTTGTTCCATATGTTGGTTACGCTCGTTATGTGCCTGTTACATGCCTGTTATATGTTCGTTATATCTTTTTATACCTTGTATACATGTCCAATGTATTATATTTGACCCAAGTTGAATGTCCAGCCTCATGTACTCGAAATGAGCCATAACTTCAATGAAGCTGTTTTCATCACCCGATAGTATGAGAGGAATAATAAATGACGCAGTAACAAGTAGATGTTTTAAATACAACAGCTCGGCCAGCTAACCCGTGGTGTCCATAAACAGGACCCCAGATATACATCAACGCCGCGCCCTCGCTTTTCTCCCTCCCCGTGGCGTTACCCACATTAACCACATGCCCATCCGTATAATGCTCAAGTCCAGTGTGTCATCCATCAGATCGTGCAATGGAGATAGCGTGGGGTCTCCAGTAAGAAAAGTACACTTCTTTAGGTTGGTAAATATCAGACTTCTTGGCCTGGGCAGTTCGTATAATTGATGAAAGTGGTAGGCGATAGGGCTATCTATACCTAGCCCGGGACCGAGGTGGGATTTAGCGGACAGGCTGGAAAACAGCCACTGGATGCTGATTTGTATTGTAATCTCCTATAGGTATACTCCGTACATAATTCGTCTCATGGTCGAGAGCGATGAGATAGGACAGTTCTGAACTCATTGGTACTGACGCCCATCCTCAGGCACCTCGACCTCATCAGCAGAGAACGTGCAATGCCGCAGGGCCCCTTCAAGGGGAAGCGCCCCCCATTTAAGCGGCATGAATTCCATTCCCTCGGGTGGGTTCAGGTCCTGCCGGTGGTCAAATTCGTCGAGATTCGGGTTATACTTAGGGTGGCAAGCCGCGGCAATAGCCAGGCTGCAGCTATCGGCAACATACATGCCCGATGCAAATTTCATGCAGCTCAGGGCGACCAAGCAGACGAACATGAAGGTCCAGACTGCCATGCTACTGACGATTGCAACGGGGGTATATCCACACGTCGCAAGGTCACGGTCTGGATTGCGTGCAAAGCCTTCGTCATAGGCTTCGATCCCCACGAGGAACAAGCTTTGCGAAATAAGCCAGTGCAGGACCGCAGAGGCGGCCATGAGGGGCATGGCGTAGCGGTATGGCAGCGAGAGGAAATACCTACTACGCTGTGCGTACTGTGGATTCCAGGACACGCGGAGGCCTCTCCGTGATACGGCGTATTGGCTCCACTCTGCGGCGAGTGCCATGGTTGTTACAACGCCATTTAGGATGAAGTATAGCGTCGAGAACACGAGCTGTGGGATATTGGCTATGATGGTGTTTTTGATCATGGATGTTGGCCAGTCCGCGCCTTTGATTAGGGCTTGCGCGTTGATGGCCCCAAACTCGGCGTCCCAGACCCCGCGACCATCTGAGCCCAGCCCCAGGGCTAGAAGAAACCCACATATGCCGAGGGCTATAGCCCAGCTGGAACGGAAAGATGTTAGTTATAGCGTTTACGGATTTGCAGCCCACAGGCCTGGGGATTTGCTCACAGTATCACAACGCCCACCCGTTTACCGTGGGATACAGCAGAGTACCACCTCTTTCGATGTGCTTGATAAACCAACGGCCAATGACGCAGGTTACAGGCAGTGTACCCGTCGTGTACTGCTCTTACCTTCCTTGCAGACATCAAACATTTGCCCAGGCTGTGTCCGTCGGGCCGGCGTAAGAACGAGGCCACGGCGTCTCCGGTCGTAAGCAGAGGTAATTCCGACGTTGTAACAGACATATAGCATAATATGGCGGCTTTGATAAAGTTGACGGCAATAACAGTTATCGTAAGCGGGAGGGAATACTGCAGCTTGCAGTGCTCTGGTAGCGGCGCGCTGAGGCAGGAAGTCACGGTGTAGTTCCGACTATCCCCGTGTACAACCCAGGCATCCTGCTCTGCCTCGGAGTAAAGGTTGGGTAGATACGCGCTGCACCAGTTGGTCGGATCTTCCGGGCACATCCACCTGTATGGATCGCCTCCGGGCGGAGGCTGCTGAGACGGCACATACACATCCTGGAACCCAACCCTCTCGTAGCCAGATGTTGCATTAACGTCTTCGGTGATGAGTATCAGGCCACCATGCTTTGTCTGATAGGTAGTTGCATAAGCGGTGATGCAGTCAGCTGCGTCAAGTCGGATCAGGGTTTTATTTTGTGCGCAAGAATAAAGCCAGGCGAAAGCATCAGCATATGCCCAGCCCATCCCAATGTCCTCTGGGGCCGGAATATCAAGGGAATCAGGACCGGCGAACACCGTATACGAGTAAGCTGCCGTGGTAGAGAAGATGGTGGAGTTGTATCTAGCGAGAGAGCCGGAGCTTTAGTTAAAAGCATTCCAACCCAAAGGTCGTTCCTGATACTTACACAAGGTGGAGAGGAAGAGACGAGAGCACCAGGCACATCCACAGAACTGTGCGCTTAACAGGGATGTAAAAGAGATTGCGAACACTAGGAACACCGATATCAAGCCAGATACCTTTTTCATGGGCCTGGTCAATATCCTTTCTTGTTGGCGCGCAGAGGCATTGCTGCTACACCGTCAGTGCAACCGCCTCACCCAGAAGTCCTCTACGTACCATGCCATAGTTACTTGCACCCAGGAGCGTGGTACTGAGGATATTGATCAGAAAATGCAGTCCTGTACCCAGATGGCGCACGCGATCGCAATCGCCCTCGTAGAGCATCCCACGGCCCTCCGTGAGACGATCTCGCGCGACAACCCATAGCAGAAAGCCCAGATTGAACGCGAAAACAAGAATGGAGGCAGCCGATGCGAGGGCCAGCGTGAGCCTTGCCCCTGAAAACCACCTGCGGAGTCGACCTTGCCTCCGGCGGGCTTTATCGCGACTCGCCCCTTGCGAGTGGTTTAATGGTATTAGTTCATGGTCTTCTTCGCGCATATCGTCAAGTTACACTGGATGACAGGACGCAGAGTAGGTTCGTAGCGACAGAAGCATTCGGGGGACTTCCTGCTGGGAAATAATTGAGGCTCGCTTTGGCTTATTCGCAGCCTCATCTCGCTAGGTTGGTGGCTGTTTCAACCAAAGGCTGTCGCATAATCGCACAGACAGTGGCTTGCCTGCGCCCCTTGTCTCCTATTAAAATCCATATACCTATCAAAAGTACCTTATTGCTCAATGGCTCGCAAGAGCTAACCCGCAAAGGCTATTAGGTGGAGATTGTGCAGCGTTATTTGATAGTACAGGTATACACTAGGAGCTGAGAACCGCCAACCGAGGTCGCAATCACTATTCTCTGAAGAATAAAAGGTTACAATGTCCATCATCATCTTTTCATCTGAAAACCGGTTGACCCATAGTCTCGTGCTATCTTCACCTGTTCCCTTCGTGCTCGCCTCTCCATTTCCGCCACCAAATCTGTATCATTCAGAACCGCTTCTGCCTCAGGCCCTTGGCTGAGTACTGCAAGAGAGCTGTTCTTCCATGTGGGTATTTCCCACAGAGAACTGGCTTGATTCCACACCGTCACGTAGAAGAAAAGCGCCCCGCCTATCAGCATCATGCCGTGAAGCACAATCCAGCCCCAATGGGTCTTATAGTACTGTGTCCGTGTTCCCGTGTGCCCGAGTACAACAGTCCCATATAAGTCGTCATCGACGCTCGCGCGGATCTCATTTGTTGCAACTCGTCAAACTCCAGGCTTGCCAGTTCACTATCAGAGTTATAATCAAAGAACGGCAGAGAACAGAGAGCCCGAGGTCTAGGTAGTGTATTTGGGGATTGCAAGTACGAGTAATTGTATACTTTCCAGGTCACTAAATAGAATATTAACTAGAAACTTCTGCCGACAGATACATGCCCTAACTTGGCCATCCATACACTGTACGAGTGCTACAGATATCAATCATCAACATCATCATGAGTCTCAGCACCGACAGCAAAGTCCCTACTCTGACCATGCATCCTAACCCCCCACTCCCTCAACCCCTCCTCCAACCCCCTCGTGAAGCGAGAATCATACTGCAATCCATCTTCAACAAACCCCACTCTAGCCGTCCTCCAAACCGCCCAGTTATTAAGCATAACACCCTCAGGGGCATGCAGAATCCCAGTCGCAACATCAACAATCCCAGGCCGAGTCTTGTGGGAGTAAAACACCGTCGTACCGCACGTCCCACAGAACGTCCTCCATACCCCTTCACTCGACTCATACGCTTTAAGCGACCCAAATAGCAAATCCGCAGGTGGACGTGGCGTTATATGATCCGTAGGGACGAACATCCACATAATCACATTCGACCCAGTCACAAGTCGACAGTCAGAGCAGACGTCTACCAGTGCAAGCCATTTGCTCGTGTCGGATGGATCGATCCACTTTTTGGATGATGGGGAATTAATGTATTCCTTTCTTGGTCGGGAGATGGTAAACGAGACACCACCGCAGTGGCATTCTGCTAAGAGCTCGTTAGATTCGGTAGGAAGAGACTCCTTTGACTCTGGGTCAGGATTCCAGATCTCGATATCTCTGCCATTTACCATAGGAAGAAGACTTGATATGCCTCCATCCCGGGTAGAGTGGGTGAACGCATGGGACTGAATCTCGTACCAGCCCTCGTTAGAATTCGCATCGAAGAGGGCAGTTGAGATGAACCAGTCCTTGTTATCAAGGTCTCGATCTCCAATATGGCAGCCACAGGTGGTACAGAAGAACCGGGCGGAAAGTGCATTGGGATGCACATAAGCAGTCAGATTGTCGATACTGGACGGCGCGATAAATTCAGGTGCGATTCCAGATGGTAGAGGGGCATGGAACGAGCAGGGTGCACCATGGGTGCGACGGCAGACGGTGCAGCTGCAGAGATGCACCTTTAGTGGGAGCTGATCTGTGGGGAGGGTAAGGGTGTAGTGCACGGCCTTGCAGAGACAGGCGGCGGTTAGGGTTTTGGAAGCCATTAGATCTTCTGTCGAGACAAGAGACAAGGAATGAGGTTGGAATATCAAGCCAGATGTAAATTGGAGTGATGTAATATCTGGTGAGGGGGAGGGGCAGCTCGTATTCAACGCAGTCATATTGCTATTTTAAGATTCAGCCGCATTTGAAAGATATCTTGTTAATACAACGAGAGAGATGACCTGGAGAATTTCCTTTACGTGTTATGCTATTATATGCCACCGAACCATACTATTATAGTGGGCCTGTTTGCTATAATAGCCCAGGCCACCTCCAGAAATACCTTGCAACTCCTTTGCCTCAAATCAACTATACCTCCAGTATCTTAGCATCGCCATATTCTAAACGTCCTTAGATACATAAAAGCCCGTTCTAAAAAACACCAGCCTTTCCAAGATTCCCCTTCCCAACCCGCCTCAGCCGCTGGCCGAATATGTAGATCTAGATATATCATCAGCACATTTCACCACCCAGGGTTAGAAACTTACAAGAGGCAAGAACGGCACCCCAAGTCCCAAAGAGAGAAAGGCGAGGAGCCCAACTCCCCAGTCAACACCCAGTGCATCAAAGAGTCTCGAGCCAAAGAGAGGGAATGCTTGGTGTCACAGTTAGTACAGCTGCTATTAGCATCTCACTTTCGAATACTTACCACCGGCAAACATGAAGCGTAGGAAACCAACTATTATATCCAGTCAGACGGCCTTGAATTTGTTTAGTTGCAAAATGGGATAACCTACCAGCAGCAATGGCGGACGCGGCGTACTCGAAGCAGTCGACGATATAGAGTTGGATGGCAAGCTAGATGGTCAACATACCTGATAGTCTTGTACTCAGGTATTCAAGGCTTACAAATATATTCATTGCACCAAGTGAGAAGATCAACAACCCGAGCAGTGGCTGTAAGTCGAGTCTGTTAGCGGAACGATACTGGAGGCGGGACCATTTGACAACCAACCACGATGAAGTGTACACGGAGCGCAGTGAAGCCATAGATAAACAGTCCTGCAGCCAGGACCAGTGCTCCTGGAAACGCAGATACCAATCTAGAACCGGATATTAGTATTATGTGCGATAGTAAAGAAAGTAAAAGGAGAATACCTAGACTCCGGATTATATCCCTTCTCAGACCGCATCTGACGCTGATAAACATAATCTAGTAGTTTCATTGTTGCAAATAGGCCGATAATGTTCCCGATTCCCTGGGCCAGGAGGTCGACACCGACGATGCCAGCGCTGTGTCCGTAGCCGAGGGAGAAGATTTCTGAGAACTGAATCAAGTATCAACATTATGCTTTGTGAACACTAGGGTATCCATACCGTTGTGACTAGGAGGTATAGCTCTCCAAAGACAAAAGCATAATATATCGATAGGAGACAAAGAACGGGGTCAAGGACGAGATACAGAACTGCATAGCGTGAGAACTTCTACAACCAGAGTACATTCGCTTGATGCACTCACCAGGCCGAATAGCTTTGGATAGCACTTGGCCAGCCCTAGGCCTTTTGCTCTGATCGTGACCGAGATCCAGGTCAAAGACTGTATAGAAATTCCTGCCAGGTTCAGCTACACGCGCCTTGCGGACCTTTCGCTGTAGGACGGTAGGTGCGTGGGATTCATGCATCCATAGCAAAGCTACGGCTCCTGCAGCGGCTGCAGCCATAGCCTGGACAACTGGTATTAGTGGAGGACACAACGATATTCGGGGATGCTCACCGGAATCCAACAAGTCCAGCGCCATGAAGCTCGCTCAGACATCCAGCCGCCACAGACAGGACCGAGAACAGGGCCGATGATTCTATTAACTCAGTAAAGGCAGAAAGTATGGTTACGCCAAGACAACTAACATTCCAGTAGTAATAAGACCGGAGGCTTTCACCCGTCCTTTGATGTCCCAGATATCAGCCAGGATTCCGCCGAAAATGCTCATGCCTGCAGAACCACCGAGTCCGGCTAGTAGACGGCACACTGATAGTTGAGCTACCTAGGCAAATTAGTATTCGAGGCAATAAATAGAAGAAATACGAACCGTCTGTGAAAAACCACTGCCAATCGAAAATCCAACGAAGATGAAATTTCCAATATGAACAATAATAGTCCGTCCGTAAAGCTCTCCCAACGGCGCAAGAAAGAGAGGCCCAATGGCAAAGGAAAACAAGAATATGGAAACCTGGAGGGCTCCAACGGTGGCATCGGAAATGTCAAGGTCATCCATGACGAGCAGGAGTGCCGGGGCAAAGATGGTACCTAGGAAATGTCAAGGTGGTTGAATCAAATGGTTGGGATAATCTCACTGGCAAAGGGAGGGATAAAGCAGAATATTGCTGTGAAGGCAGTAGTTGCCCACTTGCGTTTCACTGTCCATTTCTATCATGATCAGAGAGGTTCACGGATATTGGACCGGTGTCTTACTTGAGGGTTTTCGCCTGCATCGGAATCCAGCGTGATGAGGTCTAGAATAGTCAGATATGGTCCCTGATGGACAGCATAGAACTCACCTGGATCCAAGCCGCTTAGATCCTCTCCGTCGTAGAATGCCTTTGCAATAGTGGTACCAGGGACTGTTTGCTTCTGATATTCTGCCGAAACAAGAGCTTTCCTCGAGGCAGGCTGGTCAAGGGGGTTCGCCCGATCTATAGCGCCTGTTGCCATGGTAGCATATACACCCTATTTATATGAAAGCAAACTGGAAAGAGTACTGTTAATAGATTGTGAGAGCTAGACTGCAGAGTTGGCCCCTACTTATACCCGCCCTGGGCATATATTCACTACAGCCCTCACCCGATGTCCGACACATACATTCCGTGACAATTCTTGTAGGAAGGCAGTATAGATTCTTGGCTATTGCGATCTACGAGTCCACAATTTCTGAAAACAGGGAGGCGATTGGTGCTGAATACGAGGACGGACTTAACAGACCCGATATTGTGCGCCACCCCGACCCTTCGGCCGACCTCACGTATACAAGTCCGACCCCGACCACGGAAAAGAGAAAATGTTGTAGACTATTTCTGTTTCATTAATGTGACTATGTTCCAAACCCCCCGTGAAAGGAAAATCCTGGCGTGTCAGGCCTGCCGCGTGCACAAGCAGGGCTGTGACCGGCAGAAGCCCCGATGCTCGCGGTGTAGCAATCTCGGTCGCCAGTGCGTCTATCAGCGTCAACCGGATACCGTTGACGGTCCGATTCAGGAATGTGCACTAAATGGGAGTGTCGAGTGCCGTGCGCCGACAGTCCAGGTCAGTTTCCTGCTTCTTAGCTACCTCGTATTCCATCTGATATCGTCTAGTACGAAGTATTACCGACAAACTGCCAGCGAGAGTGTGACAACCGCATCAGGACTCGCACCAGACACAGATACCCAGTATCCTGTGCCCGCTGTCGCCGTCTTAAAGTCAGATGTGATCGCGAGTACCCCTGCGGGCGCTGTTCACGAACTGGAAAGCAGGATGAATGCGATTACAGCCACCACAGCAAGACCAGTAGACAGTCCCCAGAAGGGTCCAGCAATTCCGGCCAATCCCCATGGCACTCGCGGTTCCTGACCCGGTCCCATTGGGCACTGTTAGTTGAAGATGTACAGTAACCCGTACTGTCTCTGTCTAGCACGCTGCTGACATCCCCAGATCCGCGAGTTGACGATGCCTCACTCTGTACATCCAACCATGTCTGCTGATGAAGAAATGACACTAGCCGGTGTTGATCGAGTGACGAATTTTCCCTTCTCGGAGAGACCGGGACGCTCGAAGATATCACGGAAATCACTGCTGTCGATTCTCCCTGAGCGTGCGACTGTCGAAGTGTTTATTCGCATCTATCTTGATACTATCGAACAGGCTTATTCAGTTCTCCATCTGCCTTCTTTCACCTCGGAAATTACAGGATTCTGGGAGGACCCCTACGTCGTGAGTGACAGCTGGCTCGCAATGCTCTTTGCTATACTCTCTCTGGGATGCCACGCCTATAACGCTGCCAATAAAGGCTCCTACCCTGGACTGGACGTACAGCTATTAGATGCATCTGAAGCGTGTCTTAAGATGACGCCCTTGATGTATTGCCCCGACAAATGCAACATCCAGACCCTGTATTTGATGGTCATATTCAAGCAGCTCGACCGCATGTCGTGCCACCAGACCGGTGCCTGCTGGCCACTTACTGGACTGATTGTCCGTCTTGCAATGATGCTTGGTATACACACGGAAAGCCCTGGTAACAATACATTATCAGAGCTGGAAATCGAACACCGCAAAGAGCTATGGGTCTCGATTATCCTGCTCGAGATGCGCCAGTCTCTAGTATCAGGAATGCCCCTGCTCCTCCAATTGACAGACCTTCCTAAAATTGAACCAGCGAGCAACGATTCCATATCAAGCTTCTACAGCTCAATACCACTAATGGCACAAGTACTATCCACACTCAGCCTCAACGCAAACCAACTCGAGCACGATAAAGTCCTCGAATACGATCTCCAGCTCAGACAGCTGCTCAAAGATCCCAACCTGGCCCTTGACTGCACATCAAAGAACTACCCAGCTCGGATCCTCCTAAACGTCTTCTACAGACGCCTTCTCCTGGCCCTCCATACATGTTTCGCACAGGAGCCACGCGCCTCGACCAGATATCCCGTCTCATACTGGTCCACGCTAGATAGCTGCCTGGGCCTCCTAGCGGTCCAACGCGATCTATGCGAGGACACAGCCAGCAACAGCAAATACTGCAAACCCGCACATCTAATGGCATGGTTTGCAGGACTATTCAGAGAAGATTTCTTTACGGCAGCCATGACACTTTGCCACCATCTCGTCAAGGCGAACTCGCCGCTTGAACCCTCGGCTTCGGCTTCGAATGGATGTTTCTGTCAGCAGCAGGCTAGGGATACAATTATGGAGACGCTGGTGTCCTGTAGTGGGCTTTGGGCAAGGGAGGAGGGATTGTCGTATTGTCATCGGGAGGCGTCGAGGGTTATGAGCTCGGTTATTGAGTATCTAAGCGTGCAGGATTCGTGTTGAGGTTGTTGGTAGCATTATTCGCAATATCCTTTATATTGATGATGTTCCAAGTCCAACTAGGATGTTGAAAAGCATATGTGCGTGCTACCGTAATTGGGTCTCTTGAAGAGACCAACCATGCATTAACCACGGATCAAATAGAAGTTCTTTTGCAGTGGCCCTTTTTTTCTGGTAGCCAGCACAACATTTGTCTGAGGAAACGTAGGAATTCGTCCTTTTCATTACCTTGGGGTCTTTCTTCCAGGGTTTCGAGGTTATAATCTGAGATTGGAGCTGCACCATTCCAGCGGCCTGGAAGAGATTTCAAAATTGTTAACCCCTCCAACCACTTCTAAAGTATCACACCTACTCCCAAGGCAAACATGTGCACATAGCCGCCTGGCCCTTCAACGGCGAATACACCGGCGGGCCCGAACCCTACTCCGTCTCCCGCGAAGCCAACGAAGTAACCGCCAGCCGGACCTACGCCCTCGAAGGCGGGGTCTTCGTTCTCTGCACAAACCAGCCCCTCTCCGCCGCAGGGGCAAAGCTAAACAGCGAGGGCTAGGCGGGGGCATCGAAGGGCAGTTTCATGCTAGGCCGGGGCGGGGGGTCCGCGTCTGTTTTTGGGCCTGATGGGAGACAGCTAACTGAAGCGATGGATCCGCATTTCGATGGGCTTGTTTATTGTGATATTGACCTGGATCAAATTGATTATGCCAAGAATTTGACGGATCCCGTGGGACATTATTCGCGGCCGGATTTGTTGAGGTTGCTTGTTGATGACGAGCCGAAGCATTTTGTTGTTAGGGTTAATCCGGATGGGCCTACGGGGACGAATTATTCTACTGCGGATAGTGGGAGGACTTTGTTGACTACTCATCAGTCGCTGGATCTGTTGCTTGCTGAGGAGTCGAAGTAGATTGCTGTGCTTGACGTGGTGTGTCTGACTTTCGATAGATATTAAGGAGGCTTGTGATGTCTGGGCTAGTTACAGTAGTCAAATGGCAAATAGTCTTCAATGGGATATCTTAACAAATACAACGGCGAAACCTGTTCCATTACATAATTAGTCGAATGAGGTGTCCACTGGATATCTCTTCCGCCAGTAAAACCGCCGTAGGGTTCGGAGTACGCCATCCCGATGGCCATGCTCTTCGGCAGCAGATATGGCCCTCAGGAGTTGAGGTTCGAACACTTCGAACGCAATCTTCTGGGCATCTATCCCGCGCAGTAAAGGCATAATTGTACCGCTCCAGGTGTCCTCATATTGTACAGCAGCGACTAGGGGACAGTTCCCCTGCGCATCTTGAAAGCATGGGCTCGCGCCGCGGCTTACCAACACTTCAATGCTGTCATCTGTAAACAGCGTGGTTTGCTTGTGCAGGATCGACAGCAATATAGTCTGGCCGTCATTATCGAGTGTGTTGATATCCAAGCCCTCCCCAAGTAGGAAATCCAGGCTGGTCTTCGCCACCTCCATGTCGGTGATGGTGACAACTTTGTGTAAAAGTTCGAACCACAAATCGGGACACCGGGGGGAAATGTCTAGTCCGCGTGAAATGAGATGTTTCAATACGGTTATGTTTCCAGCACTAACGGAAGAGCATGCGGTAGCAATCTCAGCTCTCCCTCCAGCTTTAGGGAGGCAGTCCGCCTGCACCAAAACATCGAGTACAGGCCCGTCGGCTTCTGCAAGTATCTCTGAGGACCTGCGGAAATCTTCCAGTATGAAACCATCTCTCCAAATATACTCTCGCTTATCAATTAGTATTTGTACTGCGTTTTCATTGCCTCCTCGTACCGCCTCAGCCGCCAGGAGCTCCTGATCAAAGTGGCGGGGAGTACATTCCATTGCTCCACGATCCAGTAAATCCTTCAAGATAAGGCCGTATGGGGCGGCGTGATATAGTACCCCGTCCCTCCCTCCATCAGAATCTGCGAAAGGAATGATGGCACCACGGTCCAGCAGTACAGTGACAATGTCCGCCCATCCTCCCCGTACTGCGCGTGAAAGGGGGCTCACTGGGCTATTACTAAGTTCGTAGGCGCGATATCGCATCCCATTGACGTTGGCCCCGTGGGAGAGAAGCATATGCACGATATCCAAGTGCCCAAAGGAAGCCGCATACGCTAAAGGTGTCCAGTATTCATCGCCACCCTCGTCATATTCGAAATAACCACGAATAGGGACGGAAATCACTTCCCAGCCTTGCGCCATCACTTCGTTCAGGAGGTCACTCAGTCCACAGGCAGCAGCAGCACTGGCAACTGTAGTCAGCTCTGCCTGATTCTGAGCAGAACGGGGATAGTCGAAATGTCGCACAAGCAGCTTCAATACTTCCACCCGCTGATATCTCGCACACGCCGTCAGCATTTGCATGCTATTCCGCGCCCCATAGCCGAGCAGGCATTTAACTGTCTCTGTATGCCCACCCGCTGCAGCGACTGCGAGAGCAGAATAGCGACGCTCATCCTGGTGATACACATCTGCGTGATTCTCAAGCAAAAACCTGACGATCTCGGTATTCCCGGCTCGGGAAGCCAGATGAAGCGGCGTGGCTTGGGTGATATCAACGGTCTCAATGTTCGCCCCATGCCTCACCAAAGCTTTGACAATAGTGAGATATCCCAACTCTGCAGCAAGCGATAGTGCCGTCCGACCCTCGACGCCTTCCGACTCTATATCTGCGCCGTAGTCTAACAGCAGCCGGACCACAGATTCATGTCCGTACTGGGCCGCGAGCGTCAGAGGCGTCCCATTTAGTTTAAGGTCAACATTAACAGACACCGCAACCTGCTCTCCCAGACTGGTATGCCGATCAAGATCAACCTCCTTGCAGTGCCGATGTTCGCACAGGCGTTTAACAATCCTGCTCTGTCCATATGCCGCAGCGACCGGCAGCAGCACCGAGTCCAGCCGCGAACCAGCCGCGAGAACCTCTGCCAGTGTCGACTCTACACCGTGGACAGCTACCCAGAGAAGCGCGTCTCCATATCCTCGGCCGTTGCGGACGTTAGCTTTGTACAGCTCGGCATTCAACAGCTGACGGAACTGGCGATTCACGCGGGAGAGGGCATTGATTTCGTACTCATAGTCCAGACAATTTGCGACGTGGAGAATTATTTCCGGAGGAAGAGAAGACAGGCCACCGTGCATATTGATACTGCAGAGAAGAGTGACAGCAGCGGTGGTCGGAGTGACTCCTGAGATTCAGATTGTGCTATACCAAGACCGGCGAAGTGGAACTCAGCCCCCACTTTCTCATCACGGCATCGCGGTGGTTTACAGAAGGGACGAGAGTTTGTCTTCTGTTCTTCTGTTAGATTATTGGTTTGATTGATTGGGTTTGGTTGTATGATAGAGAATGTCGAGTATGCAGGAACCGCTGCAGATGCATATCTGTATGATGACGTCATCAGTTACCACCTTCCCAATCCGGCCTTCAAGTTAACGACTGCATTGAGAAAGAACCATTTATATTGAATTAACACCATTTAACAGCCATAGTGGAGTAGGTAATAGACTTGATGAAGCCATTATGTCTCTATAATACGACTTGTGGTTGAATTTGGCTGTTCTTGACAGCCCCTCATGCCCTAGCTGCAACTTCCAGAACATCGCCATATCACATAAACTGGTCTCCGCAAGACAGACTGACTACCCGATGACCCACTCCCAATCTGAAAGACTCGGAAGTCTAGGGCTGTTCTTTTGTCTCATCTACTTTGATACATCATTTTGTTATGTTGCACAATACCAATAGGCCGTGAAGGAGATAACTAGTTACACTTGATTGATATGACTTTTGTGCCTTCGCAGGCGATATAAGATATAAGTAGAGATATACGCTAATCTGTTTACAAAGGAAAAAGGGGAAAAAATGTAAAATAAAATAAAAACATAAAAATGAAACCGAACTAAACAAATAACTCATGTGGTACCGTAAAGCCGGTCTGTCTGTCTTCTTGCCTGTCTGCAGGCAGTCATACTGGGTCTGAGAGGGGTATAGAAAATAAATGCTGCGTGAATCAATAACAAAAAAAATAACAAATTGCAGGATATGACAAAGCGAAATATGCTAGAAAAAATACCAGAAATACAACAAAAGAAATTCGTGAGTCGTAAATCCTGAAAATCAATAGGAAAAAGCAAGTCGCAAACGAAAATGAGCTAAAGATATAGGAACTGAACTAGATACGGCCCTCAGCATCACCCGGAGCACCATCATACGAATAATGCCCCTCGAGCGTCGGTCCAGAGATAGAAAGTCCGCCAGGGCCAGACGATGACGATCCCCATGCATCCGAGCCCCGACTACTCCGCCTAGCCAAGTTGCGAATCTTCGACGAGAATGACTCGTTCACGCTGCGGTTTCTGCGATGCTCAAGCGACATGCGGCGGCCCATCGGCGGTCTAGATTCGGTGGTAGCGTTCGTGCTGAGAGCCGGTCCGGCAGTCATAGCGCGCGGCAGCAGGCGGCCGAGATTCTCGTTGTCGATGGCAATATCGATCGTTCCTGAGGATTCGCGGTGGGATCCTGGGGCCATTGAGACTGCTGGAAGGGGTGGCGGCGGTGGCGGAGTGTTCATGTTGAGGTGTTGCAATTCCGGGAGGATAGGCGGCATGGCCTTTTCCATTGCTTCTTCGATGCTCACAGTGACGGGGGAGGAGCCGAAATTATAGTTCCCACTGGGGGCTATAGGGGAAACTTCACGGGAACTGTCGTGACGCTGGCGCCGGTCTGAGGAGCGGCTTCGAGGGAGATTGGGGTTGAAGTGGGGATGCAGTGGCATGTCCGGTCGACGAGTCGGAGGTTGCATGTCCATAGCCGGGACTGACATTGAGCGAGGGATTGGCTCGGATTCCCCTTCATACCTTGCACTGCTCAGTAGGAGCGGTGCTGAATCGTTCTGTAGAGGGGCCGACGGAGGGGGTGGTGGAGGCGGCGGCGGCGGGGGAGGCACTAGTTCTGTGTCGGAAGAGCCGCTATACTTCGGGTGACGCATTGCACGAGGTGTCGCAGGGAGCCCTAGAGGCGCGTCAGATCTCGAGGAGTTTGAGTCGGAGCTACTTTGATAATCTGGCGATGTCTTGCTGGGAGGGATCGTAGTCCGTCCAGGCGTTCGAGGTGTGAACGATTGGCTAGAAAGAAGAGGGGGGCTTGCCATACCCCGGTAATGATGTATTTCTCCAGGGAAGGGGATGTTCGGTGCAGAAGGGTTACGCGCGAGCGAGAGACGCCGTGCCTCGAGCTCAGCAGCAGCAAGTTCTTTCCTTCGTATTTCAGCTGGGGACAAAATCGGAGCTGGTATATTGGCAACATCCGAATCGGGCTTGATCTCAGCTTCCTGCGGGTTCACAGAAGTAACAGATTCATTCGTCTGGTTCGTCTCATAATCTCCTGCCTGCCTCGAAGCAGACTCCCCGCGATTCCTCGAACCCTGTCGAGTACGTCGGTCATCAGTAGACCCCTCACGTCTCGACGCAGACGGGCGACGGCTACGGCTTCGCTGACGGCTTCTCCTTTCCCTATCGCCTGCCACGAATTTGAGGGCGTCCTCCGGGTTAGTCATGGGAACCGGGGATGGTGGGGAAGTATTGCGCAGGCCTTGCCTGTCACTGCTGCGGCCACGGTTAGATTCAGTCGTATCAAGCCGGCTAGCAGTGTTTCGGCTGATAGAGCGATTGTGACGCCGTTCAGAGGAGTTCCTGGACCGTGGCTTGCGCACTCGACTTGTACTACGACCCTTCGATCTCGCTTGGGTACTGTATTGTGCCACCTCCTCCGGTGACATAGGAACTGGAGACGAAGGCGAGCGTTTTGCAGGTGGTATATGACGCTTCTCATTCCTTCCACGGGCCGTATCTTGAGACGCCGTTCTTGACTTCGACTTGCGCGTGGTTATATCGATGGAATCATCCGTATTCCGCCTCGGACGGCGGTGCCCGGAATGCTTTCGCGAGTGGTAACTTGCCTCATCCAAGCTATGGATGTACTGGTCGATACTCCGCCCGCTGACACTAGGGCTTTTAGCCGTGCTCAAGCTATTGCCTGTGGAAAGCCCGCTTCTGAAGCTTGCTGCGAAGGAGCCACCGGTGTTCTGACCTTCGTCGTGAGAAGAATCCTCAGACGTTAAATGAAGCTGGAGACTGTCAGGTTTGCGGTCTCTGCCACTCAGACGACTATCCGATCGCTCTCTCAGAGCCTCAAATACACCGGGGGTTGGAGATGGCAGGCCTTTAATAGCCGCCCATTTGTCTGCAGACGCCTGGACCGCTGTTTTGGGAGTCGGCTTTTGGCTATCTTCTGGGTCGTATCGCGCAGAGGTCAGTAGGCCAAGGCCCTCCTCCTCTGAATCTTGCGGTTGACTTTGGCTGGTGTCCTCGTTCTCAGACGTGGAGCTATAATCGACCAGTTTCTTGGGCTCGTTGAAGAGGAATGTAGGCGGGTGTACATCCACGGGTGTCTCTCCGATGGACGGCAGACGCTGTTTGGGGAACCCTGGTGTCCCAGTCCTGGAATTCATCGCGTTGTTGAGACTCTGGATATTGTTCAACTTGGACGACCCAAAGCTACTAGGTGAGATGGCCGCAACGTCCGCGATCGGCGTAATGCCCGGCGCATTTGTCGGGGTCCTGTCATCAGACACAAGGCCAGGGAAGCGTGAGTGGCTGTTTGATTGTCCGTCAAACTTGGTGATCAACTTCAGCGATGGCGCTCCCAGCGGCTGCCTGTTACCTGTGGAAGAGGAATTGGGGTGTAGAAAGCCAGCAGGGCTCGGCTCCGGTGAGGTAAGGGCCGACATTCCAGGCATGATTTCTCCAAAGTTGGCTTGATGGGCGGCCGGGGAGGCCCATGGATCCGCAGGCTCCACGCCCGTACACATAAAGCAGCGAATAGCCAGTTGTTGCTGTGAGTGCGCGACAACGTGCTCTCCCCATCGTCGAACAAGGTATGACTGGCGCTGCCAGTCGGTTGGCATCACGAGACAAGTCATCAAAATTGCCTCCATGTAGTAATGCTGCGACACGTAAACTTCGATAGCATCATTCCTATCCCCAAGCCCGACCAACACCGTGGCCGCGGTATGGACGTCGCCAAGCTCAAGCAATTTCTGCACGAAGGCTTGACCGACTTTGTTTGCCTGGGATTGGCCGTTCATCTGGCTCAGAGCTAGTAACATCCAGTCACCAACAGACGCCGGGCCAGCACTGAGCATTGAAACCATATGGTCACTATCCGATTCGTCAATCCACTGTCCTAAGAGGATTGCTGCTGGGCTGCCTGGAGGGTGGCGGTATACTGTGGAAGTTAGTCTGGCTCTTCAGAAGTAGTAATAAAACATACACTCGTCCTTGATCAGTCCCTCAATGTCACCATCCCATCCAAAGACCATGCTCAGCATCTGTCGGCGCAATTCATCAGGCATCATGCGAGATTCATTAAGCGGCTGTTGCGTCCGATAGGGGACATCATTCAATCGTGCACGCGTAAACGGGAACAAGTCGACATTTTTGTCCGCCGGGCTGAATTGAACCTCATTCCTCAGGCGTGATCCAGCGCGAGAGCTCTTGGCTGATGACATCGAAATCGATGAAGCGTACGTGTAAGATGGCTGGGGAGTCTCTCTGCCTCCGCCGGCCGATGTTAAGGAGAAGGAGGTTGCAGTGTGCGCTGACCTGGCCGGTGGTGAAAACGAAGGCTTGTATTTGTCCGAGGAAGCTTTGGAGCTAACGGATGCGGCGCGCCCACGAGATGAACCAGGGCTACTTCGCTGTTCGCGCTGCTGCCTTACAGCGTCGATGCCATTGGAATCAAAGGGTGTGCGACGTCTGGATGAGTATGGGCTGCCCGATTCCCGCATTTCCGGCGGACCCTGCAGGGCCGGCGGAGATTTTGTCCGAGCTCTCATCTGGTCCAATGCTGAAGTCATGGAGTTTGTCGGGGCGTGCTGTACATTGGCCACCATTGCTGGGTTTTCCAAGTCATATTGCTGGACAGTGAAATGAGGTCCGAGCGTGAAGAGGGTTGCGGTAGGTCCATAGTTGGCGATACCAAGGGGGTTGTCGATAGTTGGAATCGGCTCGTAACTGATATGCTTTGTTTTCACGTCCCAGGCCCATGTTTCACTGTCTTAAGTTAGTCATCGTATAACGATACGAAATATGTTTGGCTCACCCATCCAAATACTGTATAATTTTCCCATTCTTTGACCAGGCCATCCACTTAGGGTCTGACGGTGAGGAAACATCGGACCTCTTCAATACTCGGATAACTCGCGGGGTCTCCTTCCCCGGAGGCTTTGCAACACTCCACACTCTGAGGTCTCCATTGGCAGACATAGTCGCCAGCATATCGGACTTTTGTTTCGACGACGATGCGTGCCATGCTATTGAGACTATCGGTGACGGCCCCCGAGAGGTTGTCATAGTATGCAGGATGTTAAACGTCGGCAACAGCGTCGCAATCAATATCGACCCATTTTGGTACCTGAATTATATTAGATTCGTCGCGCAACCGGACATCTGACAGGTGACGCACCCAATGGCATAAGTCCGACAATCAGCCGCTGGCGCTAACACGGTGATCGGGTCGAAGATGGTACGGCAGGAGACATTGTCTGAAGTGGTAGGTTCAAACAAGATCACTTCACCTTTTTCGTTTCCTGTGTAGTAGCACATGTAAGCACGGGAATATAAACTTCCTGAATCGGGCGACATACCAAAAGCTACGTTGCCATTCTTCATCCACGACGCAGTCTTCAACGGCTCAAACGACGCAAACCGTGCAATGACGCTTCCCGTGAACAGGTCCCAAATCACTGCCGTCTTACTCGCATCGTAGCTAACCACCAGCCTCCCTGAGCCGCGCTCACTAACATTATCCACAGAGATGAACTGGACATTATCCTTGTGGCTCTCAAACCGACGTTCCAGGGCTAAAGTGTCATGGTGGAGACATAGAATCGCGGATCCCTGTGCGTAGAGAAATAACGATGCGGTCGACGCACAAGCTTCGAACCGCGGCGGAGCTGGGAGCGATTGGGATTGACTCGGCACGGACGACGCAGCCGCAATTTTGGATGCTCGAATGTCCGCAATGGGATCTCGATCCCAGATGACTTCCACCATTTTCTGCGCAGGCCTCGATCAGGCAGTGAGCCCTTAAGCTTGTATCAACCTCCGCTCGGCCTAGTAACACGGTTCAAAGGTTCTGGACGTTGGGACTGAGAGAGGGCGGGGGAGCGGAGAAAGGATTGTCTGGAGCATCACCACTTGACGAGAAATCGCATCGAGGGAAAGTCGGTATCGGTCGAGGAAGGATCAGTGTGCGGTGCTGGAGACTTGTTCTAATCAGCAACGGAACAGCGGTATGCGGAGGTCGGGGCGGAGATAATACTCAGACGGAAATTTAAGCCAAAAAAACAAAAACCAAAATCAAAAAGGAGACCCCTAAAATCCCAACATGCAAGGAAAGGCGACACAAATGCAGGAGATGGGACGAGATAGCCGGGATGGCGGAGGGGTGCGGAGGGGAAGAAGTGATGAAGATCGGCGGGAGGAAGTGATACAGCGACCAAGCCGGCTCTGATACACAGACAAGGACAGCAATGCCCTTATGAAGATATCGCGAGTCGCTTAAGGAGTTTCGGGGAGAAAAGCCCACAAATTAAGATTTCCAGCAGGGTGTCGACAAGGACAGACAGGCGACGAAGGCAGCGGCAAGAGTCGATCAAAATCTCCAGCCATCAAGCAATGAAACCGCTTGCCAAGGGCAGGATGGCGCTTCTGACGGGACAAGGATCTGACACCAGCATCGCAGCCAGGTCATTAGCTCGTGAGCGCCGGGCTCAGGGCGACGGGCTGCCATAGTACGAGGCGGTGCGCGCAGTGCGTACCCAACGAGCATCACGAAGCCACCGGTGCAGACCGGCGCACAGGTGTTTGCTGTCCAATTGTCGCACCAGCAGAGCAGCCTGCCATTGCCCTCACAACTCGCGCGAGCTCTGATTCACGATCGTCAGACCGCGACGTTCTGCGCCTGCGAAATCACTCGTTGAGCATCCTGGTGCTGCGGCTCATGATTGGTCCAGTGGCTTTCTTCACCTGCAGCACTCATCACCTGGCTGGCCAATCATGTTATGTCATCATTGCCTTGGCGGTGTCACGGGACCCAGCAGGGCGCGTAGAGAAACAGCGGCCAATCAGCGAACTGCACCCGATGTCGAATCACAGGCGGCCACTCACCGTTCTCTCCAACTGCAATCAACCAGCACAACCAGCCAGACGCCCAGATGACATCAAACACTCTGCATCCTCCCCCTATTTAACGGCAACCAGCACTCCGGTCTGCAAGGAGAAATCCGAAAACCAGTTCTGGCCCACGTGATGGGTCTGATATCTCCACCGAACAGCCAAGCTGCCATCTGCGGGGATGGCCGGGAGCTTGGACCGTGACGAAACAAAATTCTCCTCAGCTCGACGGGTGTGATAAGTGATAACGGCGCTCAGCTCCACTCTCGGACAAAGAGCACGAACCATGCATGCGCGCTAGCTGACCGATATCGTCACTGACCTCATCGAACTCCTCCAGCCTCATCTTTGCGCCGGAGTCGGTGGATCGCGCGGCACGACATTATTCACCGACCGTTGAGAATGCGCTTGGATTTTGGAATCTTGCAGCGAGAGCCGCTGATAGTGGATACTGACCGAAGCTCGACAGTCGACAAGTCGACATCACATTGCTTTCACACCTAGCTCCGATCCTTCGAGCTTCCCCTCCGCAGCCGTCAGATCCTGCACGCAAGTGCAAGTGCAAACACCAGCCCGTTAAGCTCGAAGCTCGAGCTCGATCTGCTCTTGCTCTCGCTGCTCGCCGCTCGGCCGCTTTGAAAATCAGTAGCACGCTATTTTAGCTCCCTGTGACCAGACGAACATGATCCCCAGCCCCGATTCTCCACGCGGCCGAGTCGGACTTGACCGCTAGAGGTTTTGATCAATCTCAACCGAGAAACTGATCTAGTCACCGCGAGTCACTAAATCAGAGGGGACGTCATATCACATTGGTCGGCATTCCTGAATTGTACAGTGGACGCCCTGTTAAGTGTGATGGCTTTGATCCCAAAGTACCACGGGCACAACTCGCAAGGCAGTATTGTAGCCGGCCCGATAATTTGAAATACTTCTTTAATATATAGGAACTCTAAATCACAGAAGCAAAAATTAGCAGTGCTCTCCCTGCTTTCTCTATCTGGTGGTGGTTATATATTGTTGATGGCAAGACTGCAACTTCCGACAACAGAATATATTTCCGCTCCAACATCCACATTAAACCATTTCATGACAAACCATCACTGTTCAGCAATAAAGGGGAACATTTAGCACGCCCTCGACATAATCCATAATGATCAGCCGATGTTGTACTGAGGCGATCCCTCATTGCAAGCTCTGATATTCAGTTGATCGGCAAACTCGCAACCAATTGCGGTGATAAGTCAAATCAACGGAAATGCTTGCTTTTTCGTTTCAGGATTGATGCCTTTAATTATCGAATTGATGGGAAACATTAAGGGGTTTGTTGCCAATCAGTCTCCGCGATTGACTTCGCCAGCTAGGTTATATCCTCGATATTCAAGTTCCATGGCAGTACTACCTAGGTATTTGCTTTATTGTTGCAGGTTTTGTTGAATAGGTATAGCAGACAAGATGTCAGAGTGTATGAGTAAAAGGCCAGATAATACCGCAAAGTTATACTCTGGGGCAATTGAAGAATGCCGGAAGTTCTTCCTAGATAGACATTGGGCAGAGAGGATAGAGAAGGGAGATTGGGAGGTTGATAAGCACGGCGTTAAGGGCGGGATTGAAAAGTTTAGGGAGGCGGATATTGGATTCCGCCGTCTTGGTGAGGTCCAGTTTTGATGTTGGATCTTGGATGAATTAGACTAGACTTATTTCAAGCTTTCAAGCACTTTTCGTACTTTTAATCCGTCATCTAGTCTTAGACGCCGTGTTCGCGTCCTCTCGCGGCGAATATGGGGGTGGAGGGCCGATATCTGCTGCCGTGGCAGTTCTCGTTACGACAGCCTCTTCACGCGGAGCATGAGCATGAGTATTATCATACTCTGGGGCGGCTGATTGATCTACGGCTCTCTCCTCCTTCCCTTTAGCAGCCCTTCTCCTGCGTCGCCTGAGACATATTACAAGCAGAGCCAGGACCAACACCGCGACTGGAACGACGACCCCGATTGCGATTTTCCCACCTAACGACAGGCCCGACGAGTTGCCGTGCACTGATGAACAGATGATGGAGTGCTGGCCTCCTTCTGGGATCTGGGCAGTTTCGCTGATTTCTCTGATGAAGCGGTCGCAGTTGAAGTTCGTGGTTGAGGCCACGGTGATGTGGGTGAACTGGGTGAGGTTTGGAAGTGAGGCGCTGGGATGGCTGTTAGCGGATGATCCAAGGCAATCGTCAGTGGGTGACGGTATACGTACTGCTTGATGGCCCCGAGCAGCTCGATGGTAGAAGCTGTGCGGAGAGGAAGAGAGAGGGAGAGGGGTTGGGTGCTGTCGATGTGGATGGCTGCTGTGGTGTTTGTAAGAGAAGGGAGGTTAAGGCTGTCCGGGGTCCGTGTTAGCTAAACCTGGGAGACACAGTAGGTGCTGGGATAGAACAACCTATCCACTGGGCCATGAACATAGAATTGCGTGTCCACATATTCGAGCATGGGGAAGTTCAGGGCAAATGGGATCCGGGGGACCTGATTCCACCTCCCCCCGAGATGAAGCCGCAACCCGGCCTCTGTCGAGATGGCTCCTTTGGCATGTTTTGGAGACCCGGCAGACATGAGCTTAGGCAGGGAGATGCTGGGACTGGTAAGCATTTATTTAACCATGGGATGGAGCAGACATACCTTGTGAGATTGCCCCCTAATTTGAGAAAACCAACCGACGTTAATGATGGAAGTGTGACTGCAAGGCCGTCCACCCCCGCGAAAGCATTATCTAAATCAAAGTCATCGGCAACCGACTCTAGCGAGTCCATATGCAACCTAGTGTCATCTATATCAGTTCTTAACGTGCGTCTTGGGTGCCGCAAGAGGTACATACTGAAGCAAGTGCTCTTCGATAGTGACAGAGCCAGCATGTTCCAACACCGGAAACTCAGCAGTTGCATCTCGTGTCGTATCCCTAAAGGATATGCGTTCGGACACGTTCCGCAAGCTCGGAAATGAGATTCGGTCGAGGCCGCCCACCATTATGTTGGCAAAGTCTAGCGCGTTCGCGCTCTCAAGATCAGGCGCACTGATGGAGGTAATCTCACGCCAAGTCCGCTTGAGCTGCAGCGTGCCATTCAGGGTGACGAGGTTGGGGAGAACAACTGGGCCCTCGTCCGGGTCAATACCGATTGTGCCATTGATCTTGCCAGTCGGGCAGCTCTGGTAGTCTCCGAGAGATGTCGGGGGGTACCAGAACCAGCCGGAGCACAGGTCGTCCTCTGCTTGCGCGGCGCCTGCTGCCAAGGATCAGTATCATAAGGCAGACAAGGATAAGAATACTCCGAAGCGAAGGGAACATAACATACAGGTCGACAGACCTCCAAGGGCGATCGCGATAGAAAGCCAAGAAATACGTGGAGTCATCGCTGCGAGCCTCATGTGCGGAAGTGGCGTGAAGTTTGCAAATCATTTCTGTATTATGTATAGGGCGGCGGCGGTCTTTTTATAATTCAATTTCAGGTCGTTTTCCCGACTCGCTTCGAACAAGGCGCATTCAGAAATGGATCATTGGTGGATATCAAATACCCAGAGTTTTAGTAGAAATGGGGCAACAGCCACCCAACCAGCCTTGTGCCAAGTGCACTGGCCAAGGCGCGGACTGAGACATTCATCGAGCTCGAACTGTCTTCCTCTTCTTATCGAGCGGGTTGAGAAAAGTTGTTGGTTTGCTGTCATTCAGCTGTATAGGGCTGATGAGAGCATCTGACTTGGCATGTTGACGGATCCACCTGTGCTTGACTCTCACGCCATCGAGAAAGGCCGGCAACTAGAAGGGCACAGAAAACGGCGAACAGGAAAGTAGGGTACACTTACAGGGACAGACAAACCATCAAACATAACTTATCCCTTGGAGTAAATCCAAACGACAGACGGGGTTGCTCATGGATCTATATTAACGATACCTCCCACTGGTCGGCCCTATAGCTGCCGATGTTTGGTCCATACGAGCCTGTATGTTACTTCTGTGGATGCGCCCTTGGGATCCATTTAAGAAATAACCATGTTAGAGCTGAGCTCGCTGGAGGATGATTCTAGGTAGTAAGGAAAGCATGTCTTATTAGGCAACGAAAGCAGGCAACTAGTGGTAATTCTATATGCGTGTTAGAGATATAATTTAAAGAATAAGAGAAAGTGTAGAACTAGACAAGAAAGGATAGGTTATAGAAGAATTAACATAAGATGCCTCAAAGCTTATAGGCCCTAATCGCCTTCTTATATCTCTCTTCTGGGTCTATTACCGTCTTGTATCAGCAGAAGCAGCAACACAAAATTCCCTTATCTATAAGATTATGACGAGTCTACTAACATACCCACATGTACCTGTATATACTGGGCTGGACCTAAGCTCTAGTATCCAGCCCTAATCGTATCTCATCACTATAATTCTAAGCATCATATACCTAAGAAATGGAAATAAAACAGATATACTTTCACCATTAGCTAGTAGAATAAGATAAGAATATATGACTGGATCTATCTACTGCATTCTCTTTGTTGTGTAAGCCACAGATCACGTGCAGCCCACCAACACCAACACCAACACGTTTCACGCTTCATGAATTCTACCCAGAAGCAAGCCAGATCTGATTGCAAACCATGGAAAAGCCCGCAAGACTCAAGAAAACACGGCACATCCGCCTCCCCAAGTCCAAAACGGGGTGTCGCACATGCCGGTTCGTGAACTCCACCAACCCCACCAACCCGAGTTCCACAGCTAACAGCAACAGGACCCGCCATCTCAAATGCGACGAAACACCAGGCGCCTGTCGGAGATGCACATCCGCGGGCTTCAAATGCGACGGCTACGACCTGGAGCGGCTCTCACACAAGCGCAACCTAAACCCGTGCTCTACCATGGCCCTGACCGAGTACCAGTTCCGCGCCCTGCTGCCGGACAAAACAGCCGAGGAGCGGCGCTTCTTCAACTACTTCCACTCATTCACCATCCCCATGATGAACGGCTGGTTCGACCACCGGCTGTGGAACTCGCTCGTGCTGCAAAAGTGCCAGTCCGAGCCCGCCATCTGCCACGCCGTCGTCGCCCTCAGCGCCCTGCAGGAGGTCTCGGAGGTTGCAGGGGTAACCATCCTGCCTGAGGACATGGGGAACCGCACGCATCGCTTCGCGCTGTATCAGTATAACCGCTCGATCGAGAACCTGCGGGCCCGGATGTGCTCGAATGACCCGCAGGTGCGCAGCACGGTCTTGCTCTGCTGTCTGCTCTTCATTGCGTTCGAGCTGATGCGGGGGCGGCTCGACGAGGCGATTACGCATCTGCATAATGGGCTGCATATCCTAGGGACGAAGAAGTTGGATTACCACCGTCTGTACCAGAAGCATCCGGCAGCGGAGCAGGATATCGAGCGGTCGCTTGCGGCGGCAATGGTTCATCTAGACTTGCAGGGGGCGCATTTTGGATTCTCCGAAATCCATGAGGCGCTGGATATCCCTACCCTGGAGAAAGGGTATGCTTCGGCTGGGCCAGGACCTGAGCGGTTTCACAGTATCCAGGATGGATGCTTCATGCGCGACCGGGCACTTCTCCACTTCTGCCTCTGGACGGCCTTCTGCGACAGCTTGTCCGCTGCGGAGATCGAGGCAGAGCATGATGTGTTGATACGAGAGCAGAAGAAGCAGCTTCTCCAGCTAGCAAACTTTGAGTCTGCGCTTGATCAGCTAGAGCAGAGACTCTATGCCGAAGGACCCGTTGCGGACAAGGACCGGCGGTCCCTTGAAGTCCTGCGCATGCACCAGAAGGGTCTGTTTCTAATTACGGAAATCAGCTTGATCAAATCCGACGAGGTAATCCGCGACCTATACGCCGACCGCTTCTCCGAGGTTGTGGATATGGCAGCGAAGATTACGGCCGGTGTCCAGAGTACAGCACGCGAGGCAGGTCCTCGTCCAACACTCTTGATGGATACGACGGTCATTGGCCCGCTGTACTATTTCATTGAGAGGTGCCGGAATCCAGTAATCGCGAAGAGAGCAATCGAGATTCTCGAATCGTGGCCGCACCGCGAGGGGATGTGGGACTCGACTCTGGCCGCGGGAATGGCCAGGAGTTCAGTGCAGCTGTAGAGAATCATCGCAGTCGGCATCCTCAGTCCGCCGTTCGCGCTGGAACCACCGACCCAAGCCCCGATCAAACAGCGCGTCCGTGCATCGTCCAGCAACGGACGAATCAGGCCTCCTGTCGATCGATAATAAAAGCCAAGCACGGATATGACTGGCCCGTTGGCATAATTCCAAGCCACTTTGATCCAAAGTCTTGGGCTTTGAGACAGTGTCGAACATGGCAATTCATTGCGCTCGACTGGCAGAAGATGTATATATAGCTCTCTGTTCAGCGTGTGCTCTCTCAGAGTCATGATTCTGTTCTACGTTCCATTACTGAATACAATGTCTTCCTTTACTCCCGCGCTCACCGTTCACTGCCTCCCGTTTACCAATGCAATGATGCCCTCTGGACCAGACGACAATGCACAACCTACAAATGCTTCAAGTGACCAGGGCCAGTCTACTCCATCGAGCTCGCAGTCCAACAGCTCTCCAAGCCAGCAAGGCTCTGGTGCCTCCCAAACCGCCAGCCCCAGCTCCCAGAGCTCTGTTACGGACAATTCAAGCTCCGCATCACCTCCAAAACACTCATAACTTTATCAAATCACCGCCAGCAAACGATATGACAGCCTCGAAACCATTCGCCGTACGTCAATGACTGCTAGTCTGCATCCTTGCTATTCATACAAATAACCGGGGTGACCAGGCATTTCTATCCTGTGGCTGTGTTCGGCTTGACATACTATAATGTGAGCCGGGTATTTGGTTGACCGGCGGAAGTAACTTCCACATCTCTGGCCTATCAGACCGGCTTCTTGTCGCGTTGCCGATCGAGTCTCGCTTAGATGAGACTGTTTAACATAATCCGAGCTCGGGAGGGGCCGAATTGGCAGATTCATCTTCTGATCTTACTAGCTGGGTTACTTGTTGGATTTTCATTGGGCTTGATTGGCGTCGCTATAATTAGATAACTACGAAGGAGATTCGATGGTCTCGGTGTTGTTCGGTCAAAATACAGTATTACTTTGTTTACTCGAATAAGGGTCTGGTTTAATTAGAGTATGATTGTACATCTACCTAACGATTATCTGCTTATCGAACCATTAACCATAACCAGCCCGTCCCATGAAGACATAACCCCTGCTTAGAACAACATGTCCAACGCCCACCCTCCAGCAATCGCAGCAACCACAACCCCAGCAAGGCCAGTGCGCGACAGGCCAAGCTGCACCGACCCATCGGTCGGCGTGCTGTCATCGCCAGACTCAGAAGGCGAGGGCGTAGCATCGCTATCTGTCCCCGTCGCACTGCTCGACTCGGTAGGCTCGGCACCAGCACCGCTCGAAGAAGCAGTCTCTGTCGGACTCGTAGTCTCATCCGCGTCACTGCTAGTGCTGGTGCTGGTGCTGGTCGCCGGCTCAGTCGGGAGAGTGAACGTCTCGTCGTCGTCGTCGTCGTCGTCATCGGTAGAAGTCGAAGTAGGAGAAGGAGTCGCACTTCCAGAACTAGACCCAGTACCAGTGCTAGTACTATCGTCATCGTCCTCATCGTCATCGTCATCGCCATTCAAGCGCACAACTTGGAACCCGCTGAGGTCGCTTGATGCCTCCTTAACAAACGAGACGGATGCCTGGCCCGACGGCTCGCCGGAGCACTTGTCGTTGGTGAACAGGAGCATGTTAATGTTGGGCTCGCCCTCGCCGTCAATGTCGAATTCCTGGCCCTTGGCGTGGTCGATCTGGATGCATTTCGAGGGGCCGTGGCCGCTCTTGGTGCTTTCTTTGCCCTCGGCGTTGCGCCAGGTGATTGTCCAGGCGTGGGAGAGCACGGGGAGAGAGAGGGTGAGGAGGGTTGAGGATTTCATTTTGAAGACTGAAGTCAATTGAGAATGTGAAGATTGAGAGAGAGAGAGATGAGGTAGATCTCTGGTTATTTTGTGGGACTCGATCTGGGATGGAGAGTGGAGGTCGAGGTCGATCGGGGGCGAGACGGTATTTGAACTCTCGCAGCCCCTGTCTTTGAGCCCAGATTCATTTCGCACGACCAGCTCGCCTGCGAGGCTGAAAATTGGCTCCTTGGCGGGCGGGACACTCCTGAGGCTGTATTGGTCCGATTGGTGTCGCGATGCTGCCGTGCTGCGAGGGATGCTTGTGCGTGCACCCCAGAGTCAGACCAGGGTGTGAGACAGAAGTTGCACTGACGATCCGGAATGAAGAGATATTCTTTATTTCAGATCAGCTGAAGCTCAGTTACAGCAGAATGTCAACTTTCCAAGGCTTGAGGGTGGATGTTTGGCCGGTGAGGGATCTGCAGTGAATACGAGGTAGGGTTGCAGCACATGAGACTAACACGAGCGCTATTCTGGATCAGGAACAAGCCAATTTGTCTGCCTGGTCTGGCCGGTGTCAGTGTCCGTGCTTGGGCAGTCTGGACTGAGTGAGTGAGTGCCTGCTCTCCGTGCCTAACCGGGAAAGCCATCCCTGCGCAATAATATGTACGAACACGAATGCAGACAACAATGTGTTTCAAGTCAGCTCCCATTTCTGGGGTTGCTCCTGTCAGCATTTCAGTGCAGATTAACCCGCAATTATTTAAAAATAAATCACTCCACTGAATATTTGGGGTCTAAGTGGTCGGGTATTCTCGGTAATAACTATAAGCAATAAAGCATTCCCTAGTTTGAGAGAGCCCTAATTACTACTGCCAAACTCCGAAACATATGTTTATTACAACAAACGAGATATATCATTCTTATTGATACTTCCACCCCCCTAAACTAAATAAACTAAAACTTGGGCACAACCTTAAAATCCTTGATATCCTGTGCATTCGTAACAACAACCCTCGAACTCTTTATGTCCTCTCTCTCCAGAATCGCCTCATAAACAGCCGCAAACTCGGACGCACTGTTCACACCATGCACAGCGGCATCCTCATCAAACTCAACCCTCAGCGCAAGATACACCTCGTTAAAGCGGACATTGGTATCTGCATTCTCGCGCGCCGCAGCGGTGGCAAAGGAGAACAGCGCGCCCTGGGTCATGGCGGGGAGGGCGTGCGTGGCGACGTCGCCTTGCGCGCCGGTGCAGAGGGTCCATGTTGTGGTATTCTTTTGGGATAGTAGGTAGGGGATTGTTGCGCGGTAGCCATCTTAGAAGTTGGTTAGCTATTCCTATTCTTGGGGTATGAATATAGTGAGAGGGTCTTACAGAAGGCAGCCTCGAACATGGAGGTCATGTTCAGCCGGAATCGCTCGGTGGTGATTTCAGTTAGAGGCGTTGTCACGTACTCGCCCCCGACTGCATAATCAGTATACCTCCATGGTACGTACAGGCTAAAAAATTGGTGGGTGGACTAACCGCAGGAGTATACATGCTGGAAGGCAGGAAGCTTGCCAGCGCGCACCTGGTCAACCACGCCCTGGACGCCCGAGTCGGAGAGGACATCGGCTTCGACAAAAGTAATGCCCTCTTTCGATCCGAGGTGGTGAACAAGCTTATCGGCCGAATTCTGGTTGCGGACTATAGCCAGGACATTGCGCTGAGTGCGTAGAGCGGCCTTGATGGCGGAGACGCCGATATTGCCGGTCGCGCCAAGGACGAGGACTGTTTGCATGTTGATATATTTAGGCAATATGCTTGTGTATAGTTCCTGTCCTATGAGTTCTGTCTTATAGTTGTCGTATACTTCGCAAGATCAACAAGATGACAAACCGGCTGACAAAGTTCGCGTCTTCGGACTCTCGCAACTCCGATGTCTCCATCTGTTGTGGTCGGCGCCGACAGTCCGACTCCCATGTTCCCCGTCTTTTGATCAGAGATAATTTCCATCTCTTTCTCAGTTCAATTAGTAAGAAATATAGCGTGGCTCCTCGATCTATTCAATGGCCGGCCTCGAGAAGTTGCTGTCTTGGAATTTCACTTCTTACCGGGAAATGGTTGGTACACGTCAGCTTAACGCCGATGTTCCGTGTCTAGTCATACTGTTGGATATACTCCCTTGCGTGTATATAAAGGATTCGAGAGTTAGACCGGAGGTGGATATTGGGTTTTGGTATTGGCTGCTAGTATACAAAGGATACGAAGTCAATTGTCAAAGGTCAATGTAAGAACTACAGACCGTCCACATTTAAACAGACAAGAAGCGAATACAGAAGTAAAAGCTAATAAACAGGAACCTTGAATGCCGGGAACTCATACGTCCAGCTCTCAACCGACTCCTCATCACTCACACAGTCAAAGTCATCACTGCCCTCCTTCCACAACGGCCGTTGGGGCCACTGGCAAAGCATCTGCGTCTCACCCTCATAGTCACCCGAGGAGACAGTCGAGTTCAGACGAGCCGGCTTCTTCCCGTTCTCAACCCAGTCAATCATGATATCCATGTTCGACTCGGGCCACGGGCCAGGCTGGAGGGTGTTGGTGCCGCAGTGTGCTGCGCCAGGGATGAGGTAGAACTGGTACCAGTCTGCCAGCTGCTCCAGGGCTTCGGCGTCTGTAGCGTTCGGGTACATGATCTGTCTCACGGACTGCCAGTAGTGCACTGAGCTAGCGGCGGGGATGGAAGGGTCTGATTCACCGTGGTAGTGGAGGAGTTTACCCCCTGCAGCCTGGAAGGCAGTTAAATCAGGGAAAGTAGTTTGGAGGGTATCGTAGTAGCGGCCCATGGCGGTATCCATCCAGGAGACAACAGTGTCGTAGGTAACGCCTTCCAGGGTGGAGAGGTTATCGAGGTCAAGCAGCTGCACGAATTTGGCAACGTACTCGCCGCCCATGCTCGTGATGCTGAGCTCCCATTTCCCCGTGTCCGAGTTGTACTGGGAGGTTGCGTCGGACAATTCCGAGGCGATTTGCCAGGAGAGGTATGCGCGCTCGCCGTCGGAGTTGTGCAGGCCGTCGTAGATGGCTGCGGCGACGGCGACACCTTCAGCGGAGACAGTGCCGTTCTGCTCGGGCTGGTACGAGGTTGTGCTGCCGGACTGGCGTTTGGATAGTGGGCTGCTGCTGCTGCTGCTGCGCTTGCTGAAGCCGAAGCCGAGCGAGGTCGAGTTCTGGGCGGCGCAGTGGTATGGTTCGCCGACGATGGAGGAGAGGTCGAAGTTCAGCTTGCAGAGGTCTGTTCTGGAGACGACTCCGTCCTTGCGGCCGTCGAGGCCGTCGCAGGCGGCGATGGTCGCGTTGACGATCTTGGCCAGCTCGCAGGGCGGAGGGTAGTAGTCCAGTGTATGTTCGACGACAGAGGAGAAGATGTGCTGGACCTGCTGCTGGGCGTAGCGGAATGCAGGCGCACCGGTGATGGCACCGTCATACTGCTCTCCCCAGCGCTGGACCTGGCTCATTCCCTCGCGGCCTCCGTCTGAGCATCCCTCGTAGTAGGTGTATACCTTCTTGTCGGCGTCAAGACCGTAGAACCCACGGGTGAGTTCCTTGCCGACGAGTGTCATCTCGCCCAGAGCCTGGTACCCGAACATGTGTGTTGCGTCCCAGTTGACACTGCCATTGCCGTAGAGGACGACCTCATCGTAGTCGTTGTTGAAGGCATCGTATCCAGCGTCCGTAGCGGCCGAGACGGCACCGTACTCGAGACCTCCGGTGGCATCGGCGTTGAGCGAGTATCCGCCGCCACCACCAACGTAGAACCGGTTCTTGAACTCGGACGGGCTGGGGAAGGCGAGCTTCACGACCACTTTATCGTCACGGCCGGTGTGCGCGTAGGAGACGGTCACGTTGCAGTAGTTGTACTCTGTCGTGCTGCCTCCCATGCCCATGCCCATGCCGCCGGAGCTGGAGCCGGAGCTGGAGGAGCTGGAGTTGGCATTGTAGACGCTAGCAGTCACAGCAGACGGAATCAGGTCGATTCCAAGGAGAGTACCATCGCTAGGGAGGATGGACTTGACGTGGGAGACGGTGCAGACGTCCGCGAGGGAGGCCGCGGTCGCAGAGGCTGCGAATGCAAAGAGAGCGTTGTGCGACTGGCGCATGATGAACGAATGAAAGTAAAAGACAAAACGAATGGCGTGAATGATGGGCGGAATGATCAGCGAACCCAAGTCTATATAAGCACCACCAAGCTCAGTCTCGCAGTTAGCAGGAAATTAGGGCTCGGTGGGCCGGACCCGCCCTCGTCACAGCATTGCGTGGCCCAGAAGCTGAGCGGACATTGGCCGGTCGGAATTGTTTGAAGAATGATGTGGACTCAAGTCTAACGTTCTTGCGCAACTTCGTCCGAGCGATGATCTCGGGCTCACTTCGGGATACTGAAGCTCGGAGATTGATAAGACTGCAGGGTCTACACAGCTTACAAGATTACAGATGAATTTTTAGTTTCTAGATAATATTTTGCACCGGACGATATTTCACAGCGAGTGAAATACTAGAAGGTGATATCAATCATATTGGATAGCTAAATCCGACCTGCGATGTCTCCCTGCAGGGTGGATTGTTGGATTGTTGGGTTGTGGTGGTTGTGGGAGTGTGGGAAATTGTGGGAAAGTGTGGCGATTGTGGGAGGTGGATCGCCGCAGCCTTAAGTATTCCAGTCGTACGTCCCTTCAGCTCAAACATCCGCTCCGCCACTGCGTACCTGCATACGTGTGCTGCTTGGTCTGGTGGGATAATCTTTGCCTATTGACGACTCGGCCTTACTTTCCCGCTTAACTATAGGTAGTTCATGGACCCATATTTTGACGGAATGCATATCCTCAGGATAACTTAATCGAAACACCAATTCAAGCCTCCGGGTGGAGCTGCAGTATTCGAAGATGGTATATCGATATCTAGTAGCCTAATGGTAAAGTTAGGTGGTTAACTGTAGTTAAGGCATCGGCAAAGGAGCGCTCCTGAGAATAACTTACGCAGTTGCAAATTCTGATAACTTTCAACACCTGATTGTATTTAATTCATTCGATTTCAATCAAGGGCGGTTGAAATTATGTTGCCAGTGTTATATAATGAAGATAGAACATGTTGTGTGTATAAATTGAAACCCGGGTGGTGATGGTATAGAGATCGTAACTGTCACATACAAGGATAATATGAACGGTCCTTGTTTTGTTGCCCCTAGTAGGTAGGCTAGACATAAAATAGCCTGACCTTCTTCATAATATATCAAGTAGGGAAATCTGGGCTGTTTGGGGTCGGATTTCCGCTTACATCAATCTAAGTAACAACTACAAGTTATACTTTCAACGAGTTCAATTAAGTTGAGTTTTGAAGAGATGTTTTGCCTTTTCAATTATTTACATGTGCATTAAGGGTGGTAATAATACCAGATATTCATATTGGAACTGAATGCCTCTATCAGATACGACATCCCTGTCCTGCCTAGACAGACTAGCTGATATTAGTATAGCTTACCTGCTGTCATCTGACTGCCCAACTGGGCCTCTGCCAGAGTGCTGCGTGCCTGATTCGAGTAACAAGTACGGAGTAACGACCAGGTGGATCTCACCCAAACCTGACAGATCAGCCACGATGCGATCCAACCTGCCACTCCGAAAACAACGAAGTCGCGCCAAAGATGGGCCTGCATTCGTCTTTATCAACGCTACAGAGAGTGTCTCAGACACCCCGCAGGAGGGGTCGACGCCCAGGGCCCTGATCAGACGTCAGGCAGCACGCTCAGGGCGCAAACACCAACGGGCGCAGAATACAAGTAGAGAAGCAATTAAGATCGCTGGCCCATCCAATCTCACTTCACTGGTTCTTCCCGGCGTGGGAAAATTATATCTAGACGAAAACGGTGCCTGCCAATTGATCGACCCGATTCTTGCCCCGCAGCCTTCGCCTACGGGTTATGAGGCCCTGCAAACCAAGTATAATTTCGATATTCGATATCTTACGAACTTCTTTGATGTCTCCCTGGGGAAGCCCTCCTCCATGCTGCACGAACAGCGCACTTTCCTGGGAAATCTCCTCCAGAAACAGCCTTCGTCTTTTCTTAACCACCTCCCCAGTCGATATGGTTGCAACCAGCAACTTGACGACGCGATCAACTGTCTTGCTGCCAGGCTTGGGTCGATATTTGGGTTTCCAACCAGACCAGCAACAGTAGCAGCGCTATACGGAAAGGCACTGCATAGCTTGCAGGTTGCCGTGGCTGACAGGACCTTGATGCTAAACCCGGATGTATATTGCGCGACGCGACTCTTGACGCTATACGAGGTGAGCTTCTTCCGCTATCTTGTATCATCATTATAACAGTTGCAGCTGGTTAGCCGCCCAGAAGATAACCACTGGGTACTTCATGGGAGAGGCGGACTTGATCTTATAAAACATCGAGGCCCCAGTAATCATACCACCGAGTTCGACTGGATGCTTTTGAAAAGCCAAGGGTTGTTTCTGGTAAGTAGACACCATCCACCTTGTCCTTGTCGTCGTTAATTGACGCTGTCCAGGTCCTAGATGACATGTTCAACCTTCGAGGCTCAATCTTCGAAGCCCCAGAGTGGCAGAGCGTCTTCAAACAGGCCTCGCAAGCGGCAGCAGAACCAGACGCCCGCCTCTGGTGGGAGATGTTCGGGCTGATGTGCTTCGTCCCGGGGATGGTATCCGAACTGAAAGCCCTCTTCATAAAGCCGTTTCCACAGTCCGACCACTTTAATCAGACTTCTGACCTGCTAGAGCGAGCAAGGTGGCTTTATGATAAGATGAATGACAGCCATTTACACTACCAGAAGAACACCCCCTCGCTCTCCCTACTCAGTCTCCCCGTGGGGCCGGAGTCTCTGGATCGCATCCGACTCCGCCTATTCTACCTAACCTGCCTGATCCAAATCTGTCGCGCGATAGCCACAGCGTCCGAGGACAAGAACGAAAGAGCAGCTCGCGAGGACGAAGCACAAGCTCTAGCAGAGCAGGCATTGCTCATCCAACAGAAGACCGCAGACCTGGATCTGGCGATGTCCTTCCATCTACAACAAGGCAGGGTTCTTTTCGCATCCACGGTACGGACAAAGACAGCGTGGGCTTCTGGGGAGCCTGAACTGGCTGCCGAGCTACCGGGATATCTAGCACAGCGTTGGCTAGAGTGGCAGATCCTTGTGGATGGGTTTATCATTGAGTCTTTGGATGCTTGACCCTGTATAATTTGATGTTGTGCTTTTCCTATGGCCCATGTTTGATGAGATATCCAATTAGCATGTTGAATACCCTTTATGCATATATATGATTTGAAAGTATAATGGCATTGGTTGAATCTCATATTTCGAGTGCTCAATAAAACTTCTCTGGAGTGTGATAGAGCTCTGGCAGCTAAGCGGACGCCTGCACGACCTGTGCCCACTCCCCATATCCATACGCCCCCGGCACACTATCACCATCAAACAGACTCGCCAGCACCACGCGGTCCCCCTGCTCACCCTGCCACGGCTCCCGTCCATGCTGCGCAATGACATTGTCAAATACCAACACATCCCCTTCCTCCCATCGATGCAGCACTCTTATCTCATCCGTAATGCGCGCCAGCGTCGCCAGATACTCCTCCGGAATGGGCGTCCCATCACCAAACAACTGCTGGGCAACATTCTTCCTCCCAGCAGCACTCCCCTTCCTCGCCTCAACCGTATTCTTATAATACGCCGCCAATCCTGTAAACAGCGTCGGCAGATTCGTTCCCGGCTGCGCACGCACAACAGGAAGTCGATGCGTAAGAACAATCCCATCCTCCCTCCCGTCCTCATCTTTCGTCCATTCCCACGTCGTCCACTCCCCCCTTCCATACCGCTGAATCTGCTCCTCAACCTTCCTCTTCCTGGTAGTCTCATCATCCCCATCAAGAATCTCCTTCCCAAACGCCTCTTTCAGCGTCGACCCACCCACATACTGCCGTCCAAATTTATACGTAACCTGACTCTTTATCCCCTTCTGCACAAGCAAATCCACAAACTCGGGAATCTCCGCCCTGGCACGATGAAACAGCTCCAAACTCGACGAAACAGGCGTCTCCCCTCCCTTCCCTACACCGGGAGATTTCTTGCTATAGAAGAAGATATACTCCGGCGCGTGCGGGACCTGCGGGGATTCATTATGGTTGTAGATGCGCACTTCTTTAGGCGCTTCATTTGCCGGTGCGACGTTTGGTGCAAGGAGAGGACGCTCGACGACTATGCCGATGATCTCGTGTGGGCTCCAACCGAATGCGTGCGCGAAGGCGCTGAAATCCGTTGCGGAGTGGATGGGCAGGCCGCGGAAGAGGAGGGCGCCGTGTTTGGAGAGCAGGGTGGTCAGTTCCTTTCTTTCCTGTAGGGATTTTATGCTTGATATTGCAGATTCGAGGGTTGGGTTTTGTTCTGATGGTTTCAGCGCGAGAGGGATTGTGGTGTTTGGGGGGTGGGGAGGGCCAAGGGGGCGTTGGTTGCTGGGTGGGAGGGGGAAAGGTTCGAAGGTGAGGCTCGGATCTTCGATATTGATAGAGGAGATATTGACGGTTTCAACGGTGGTTGCCATTTTGCATGCTCTGTGTGATTTCTTGTCTTGAGGGCAAGTGGGTTGTTGATAAAGCCCCTCTTGATAGTGATATTGCTCATCTTCCCCTCATATCACGAATTGCAACCATAACCTCGGAACGGCGTGAAGAAAGTATATTGGTGTCACTCTATAATCCTGCGACTGACGTTATCAAAATATTCTTGCTCATTGGGTTCCCTCGTATTTGATTTCCTCGCAGCAGCCCTAATACAAAATCACATCATTCCCCCCAGAACAGTTCAAATTCATTTACACTCTATGCAGCAAAATGTCCACAGCTGATACCAAATCCCCAGGCCCAACGGCCAAACAGCCCCATTCAGACTCATCAGGGCAATCAAGTACAAAAACACCCTTCCACCGCACAACACTGTTCCAAATCCTCACAGTCGGGCTATGCGCCTTCTGCGCCCCCGGAATCTGGTCTGCCATGAATGGCCTCGGCGTAGGCGGCTCCCAATCCCCCAACCTCGTCAACGCCGCAAACGCCCTACTCTACGCCTTCATGACAGTCACCTGCTTCCTCGGCCCATTCCTAACAAACATCATCGGATTCAGGTATACCCTCGCCCTGGGATCAACAGGATACCCTCTCTACGCCGCGGGGCTATACCTAAACAACCGCACCGGCGCAACATGGCTCGTCTACCTAGGCTCAATAACGTGTGGGATCACAGCAGGATTCTTCTGGAGCGTCGAAGGCGCCATTGCAACGGGATATCCCGAGGACCGCAAACGGGGGCGGTACATCGCGACGTGGTTCACGTTTCGGAATTTCGGGAATATCATCGGCGGCGCGATTTCGTTGGGGGTTAATGTAAATACAAATAAGCAGGGCCAGGTCGGGTATCAGACCTATCTGGCGTTTATTGCGATTCAGTGTCTGGGGTTGCTTTTTGGGCTTATGCTTCAGAATCCGGAGGGCGTTGTTAGGGATGATGGAACCAAGGTTGCCAGCCCGGCTACTAACCAGGCGAAGATATCGTGGAGAACGGAGGTCAAGGCCATGTGGGCGAGGGGGAAGAGTCGGCCGATCCTCCTGTTAACGCCACTGTTCTGGTACTTTGGCTGGATTCAGGCGTACCCTGGGACGTATCTAGCGACGTACTTCACCGTGCGAGCACGCGCACTGGGCAGTTTCCTGTCTGCGATTGTGGGCACGATTGGAACCTGGCTTGCGGGCTCGCTTGTTGATATCCCCTGGACGAGAAATCGGAAGACGCGCGCGCTGAGTACCTGGATATTCATTGCTTTGCTCAACAGCGCAACCTGGGTCTGGGCCGTCGTTATCCAGAACGAGTACCGACATACACAGCCCGTGCTGGACTGGGCCGACCAGCGCACTTTCGGGAGGGGGTTCGGTATCTACCTCTTCGAGCGGATCAGTCTGACCATGGTCGAGAACTATATCTACTGGTGCATTGGAAACCTGGCGGACTCGCCGGGCGAGCAGATCCGGTATAGTTCACTGCTGAGGGGGATTGAGACAGCGGGCGTGGCAGTGGGTTTTGGCGTGCAGGCTGTTCCAACGGCGTTGATTGCGACGGCGAGTATCAACTTTGGGCTATGGGCTTTGGCTCTGCCGTTTAGCTTCTGGGCGACACTGTTGGTTGTAAGGAGGTTTGAGGAGTTGGCTGCTGCATGAATGGGTGCTGAAGTAGCTCTTTTGCTGTGCTGCGCTCTTCGGGCAGCCATTTTAACATAGATTTGATAGTAGAAACAGGGCTTTCTCTTCACCTGCGAGGCATTTCTCTAGAGTGTCAAGAGAGATGGACGGTATCAGCGCTTCATCTTGAGCAATCCAGGTACCTGCTCTATTAGTACATTCCATGTAAATAACCAAGAGGCAACGAACCACTGCCATCAAAGCACTGCTCAGTTGTCTCACTCCGGCGGACGAATTCGCTCGGCGGTGACCCAATAAATGCCACCATAAGAGCCAGGTGTTTGAACGGATCATGCCCTCCAGCATCGAATATGTCGCCAAACAAGTGCTCCCCTTCAAACAAATCCCATATCTAGTTCACCATTAACAGCTTGGTACATATAGCAGAGGGAGGGTCGTAAATTAGTACTCACAAGACATGCAAGATTCCATATATCAATCTTACTATCCCACGGCATCTCAAATATAACCTCCGGCGCTCTGTATATATGCGGCTGAACAAACGGCCCCGTTTCTTGGATCTTCCAAATCCGGGCTTTGTATGTACTTGAGATCCCGACATAGCCAACTCGTCGAATAAGCTCCGTATCCCAGTTTCCCAGTAATTATGTATCGATCATGATACACCGCTCCGATCTTCACAGGGTAGTAATGCGTCGGATTATAATGTAGCAGCGTCTCCTCGATTCGAGTGTCCGGGGATAAAACGCGCGGGCTGCTAGAGATCGTACGCGTGCTCGGATAGCGTTGCCGAAGAATGCCTCTTACAGGATTCAATAAACGCGTCATAATCATGAGTAGCAGGGATAGCAACTATGTAATAATAGGAGTTCAATGTACGACGCGATGTGGAAACACATGTCACACGGCTCGGACATGCTCGGGCATATCGGCCTCTTCGGGCGTTAGGGCTGGTCGGCCGAACAGGCATACACCGTAAATCCTCTATAAAGAGCACCAAAGATGCAGTCTAGCTCGCCGTTTTACCCAGATATCATACCAAAGTCTTTAGTCAACTTATACAGATTAGGAATATGCCTCTCAAAATCCTCATATGCGGCGCCGGCATCGCAGGCAACGCCCTTGCGTTCTGGCTCTCCAGACTAGGCCACTCCATCACCGTCATCGAGCGAACCCCTTCCCTCCGAACTTCAGGATTACAGATCGACCTACGTTCACCGGGAATTGAAGTCCTCCGTCGGATGGGCCTGGAGGAAGCCTTCCGAAAGAAAACCGTTGCCGAGCAAGGCCTGCGTCTAGTCGATAAGAAGGGGAAGGATTGGGGGTTTTTTCCTGCAAATAGATCCGGGGAGGGACTTCAGAGTTTCACGACTGACTACGAGATCATGAGGGGTGATATGTGTCAACTGTTGTTCGATGCTTGTAAGGACAAGGTCGATTTTAGGTTTGGGTGCTCTGTTGTTGGTATAACCCAGAGTGAGAGCGAGGTGGAAGTTCTGTTTTCAGACAGCAATGTTGAAAAGTTCGACCTTGCCGTTGGAGCAGACGGCCTATGGTCACGAACAAGAAGACTTATGCTCGGCGTTGACGTTGCCAACGATGATGCGAATCCAGGCTACCACCCGATAAACGTCTATGCAGGATACTGCACAATTCCGCAGGCTGTCGGCGCAGGCGAAGGATACAATGCCACTGCTTTCCTTACCACCGGCGGGCGGGGAATCATGACCCGGCGCCACGATCCACAGTGGTACCAGGCGTACGTCCTCTGCAACCCTGCGTCGTCTGTGCGATTACAAACTGCTGAGAGGGGCGACGTCGAGGCAGAGAAATATGGAATGGCCGACGTATTCCGCGGGGCAGGTTGGGACTGTGATCGGATTCTCCAGGGTGTTGTTGACTCTGATGACTTCTACTGCGAGCGCATGGGCGTCATCAAATTGGATCAGTGGTATCGCGGGCGTGTTGCGCTGGCTGGTGATGCAGCGCATTCACCCTCTGCGATGACTGGGATGGGTACATCAAGCGCCATGGCCGGGGTGTATATCCTTGCTGGGGAGATCGGCCGGCACTGTGGAGCAGCTTCAGGTAGTTCTAAACAGAACATCACCGCTGCCTTCGAGGAGTATGATCGGAAGTTCAGACCTTTTATGGACGAGGTTCAGAAAGGGCTGACGGACAGGGAGAACTATATGGACAGATTTCCCTCCTCGTCGTTCGGAATTGGCTGTCTATATTATATGTTCTGGATTGCCTCGTTACTGAGACTGGATGTTTTCGCTCAATGGCTGCTGCGAGAGCGTGTCTCGGGCTGGGAGCTGCCCAAGTACCCAGAGATGGATGTGAAGAAGAGTAATTGAATGTCTCCTAGTATTGTAAAATAGAATTGTAGCGCCATCCTCTATCTTAGAATGATGTTTCCACAGGCCACTGCATAGAAAATTGCTCACTTGTGAAATCGAAATTGAAAAGCCTATCCAGATCTTCGTCAGGGTTAGTATCAAGATGTGGAGGCGAGATCACCCCATTAGTCCAGGCCTCAAGGTCCGGATGTCTTGTATCTGTGGCACACGCAGACTCAGTCGCCTGTAGTATATCCCGACAGATACTCAAACTGTCCCGCGTCGCGTTCTCAACAGCTTCCTTCAGCGGTAAACCCTCAAGTCGCGCCTCAGCCTGAGCCAGCATCATGCAAAGACATACATAGGTCTTGACATTTGTGTCACCATGCGACATCCGGTCTTTGGAGTACCGTACCACGCGGCGGGCGTCATTTAACAGCGATTCCTGGCGTGCGTGACGCCGTCTTTTCGCGAATATTGACGTGTCCTCGCTTAGGTCTGGGCTCAGTTCCAGGAATATAAGCAATGCACCTCGCGTAATGAGATCGCGGAACATTCCACCGCCGATGCAGAGTATTCGGCTATATAGGTTGTCGTCCAAAAGTGCCACTACGTCCAAGGCAGCTTCCAAACAAACGTTTCTGGAGTGGCTGTACAGCGGGTTTGTCTTGGCCTTGACCGCGGGGCGATAGTGAAGACATAACGAGAACCGACGAAGAATATGGCTGCAGAAGCTCGATCCAAAAGTATTTGTTGACGGGCTCTCGCTTATTGCCTTTGCAGCTTCGGAACTCGCCGCGGCCAGTTCATTTCCTAGCTCTAGGACCTTATCATATGACGGTTCTTCTTGCATGCTGTTGATGATTCTTGTGATACGAAGGCGCAAGGGAATAGACTTTGCAAGTAGGGGCTGAAAAGAACATTTAGTCAGGGCCGAAGCATCTTGGCCATCTACTTCTGTAGTTTGATCCCTGGTCGAGGGCGGCCGCGTGTTATAATCATCATCCGTGATCATGGGCGACATGCCAGAGTCAATCGCCGAGTGGGCATTCATCTCAAGGATAGTATACCAGAGTCTTCTCCGCAGCTCCTTCTCCTCGATATCCATCTGGCCGAGAAGGTCTGGGTCTTGATGCAGTCCCATCTGCATAGCAATTCTCACCAACGTTCCCACCGATATCCAAACCAAATCCGCTCCAACGTGATTAACCTCTCTCGAAAGCAGTACCAGACAATAAACCTGAATTGCCTTTAGAGTCAATCGATCCTTTTCCATCGGCGCTGATAGCCAATTCTGGGCAATATGAATCCATATCCGGGCATTTGCTACCATTTCGGCGCGGACGCTCGCATCGCTATGCAAGGGACCAGCAACGGTCATGACCAGTAAGATCTGTAAAAGCAACGGACTTTCTGCGTTTTCTGGTCGTTCCAAACCCGCGTCATAATCTCGCAAAAACGACGAATACCACAGAATCCCATAGCAGGATTCAAACGTAGCAAAGTACAACCTGACCAGTTCATCCATGATAGCGCGGTCCGGGAAGAACCGATGGATATCTGCCGGGAGACATTTCCGGCTGGGACGCTGCTGCTTGATACTCTGCGCCAGGCGTTTGCATTCAAAGACGGTGTTTGTTAAGTCGTCTCTCGAGTTACTGTTTGGTCTGGGGAAGAAGGCTTTATAGCACTCGCCGAAGGGGTCGAGGGGACGTAGCCCTTCCATCTGAACGGTCAGCAACCAGACAACTGGGATTATCATGGATGTATACTTACCAGTAAGAACGAATTCATCCAATGTCCGTGTCCATACACTCTAGTCTTGGATATGGTGCCTTGAATGCGGCGGGGCGTAGGAGTACTAGTAGGATGTGCTTCCTCCGGCGTATCCCGGGGTCTGGGAACCTGTTGCTCGACGCTAGAGGCGATCGATTCCGCGCGATGAGCATTCTGCGTGCGAGTATGCTCCTCGTATGCGCATGATGTAGTCAGGCCCAGAGCTCTGCATTGGCCGCAGTGTGGTTTGACTCGGTCGCATCGGACCTTGCGGCGGCGGCACTCGGTGCATGAATGGGAGGGCCGATGGCGTTTACGGACCGATGATGGTCTTTCTGGTGTTACAGGCATCGACAAAGCAGTTGTGGTGGACGTGTTGGGAGGATGCAGCTGGCAGGTCGGCTGTATCGGGAAGAAAATGCGACGACCGATACGCCCGAGACTATTCCCGATACGGACAGTGTTAATCGGGTATAGCGTGCAAGACCTGTTATAGACACAGCGTCTCACATAGTCTCACTCTGGGACGAGGTTCCATCTTTATCATGGTAGTATCATTTATGACTTGTATGTTCAGCTCTTTAAGGTGTATTGGGTTTTCTTAGTCCAAGGACTGCTCGTTCTGAAGCTTATTACCTATCTCCATAATAAACAACATATATTGGCAATCTACAGTGTATACAGTATTCTAGCTCTAAATTAAGAAAACAAAACCAGGACTCCAAACCCAATGCATCATCGAGACATTACTTTAAACAAAATTCCACCCAAAACAGCACAACCAGGCCAAGAAACGGAGTCAAGACCACCTCACCACAGTCCGAAACGCCGCCCACATGCCCATAAGCCGACTCCACACGAACAAGCCGAAAACACTGAGGGGACTCTTCTTGACATACGTCAGTAGAAAGTGCCTCCTTTGTAACAAGGGGCTCTGGTCTGGGCTCTCTAAGTGCCACCTCCTGTCCCGTTTGCTCCTCAGACTTGTCTTGGATACGTTTCACCGCGAAATACCCCCCATTGGTATCTTCACACCAAGATCCGGAGAAGATACCTTTCCTGATTGCATCGCGTATAATTCCAGATCTTGTGAGAAGCATAGTTTCACTTTCGTCAACCTTGGCAAGACAATTGTGCCACGCGGTAGGAATTTGGAATTCATAGGTGGATTTCGATGATTCGGTGGTTGAGAGGAGAGACTGGGCATCTAGGACTGGGCGAACTGTTCCTTTGGGAAAAAGACGGATGCCAAACTTGGGACCGCAGTTGGAGTGTCTTGACGGTGTTAGCTGGATTAGGTATCGGGAAAGTGAAGGCAGACTTACGCATGGATCGAGAGACGGATGTGATGGGGGAACAGGAGCTCAACCAGGTTCGAGTAGGCGTGATTCCTCTATTGAAATTAGAATCATGATATGCCTGTAGATAGGATGAGATACATACTGCAATCATCTCAGCAGCAACACTGCTTGCAACCCTCTTCTTCTGCTTCCCACCCATATTCCTAGCAGACAAATAGCTGGCCAGGTCCTCGAGCATAAACCGCGATTGTCCTTGATAGAGAGCGAGGGTATCATGGTGTTTATCCGTAATCAACTGTCTCAGATGGTCCCGGTCAATCCCTCCAACTTTCTCTAGCAGGAGCCGACACTTCTGGGCACTGTCGGTGCGGATGGTCTCAATAGGCTGGGGGATCTCGACATCAGTGAGCATGTCTGTTGAAAAGGCGGCGGTTGTTTCAAGAGATGAGAAGAAGAGGTCTTCAAGCCCCGTGAATTTGATGTATCCGTTCCCAGTGGACTCTTGCCGGCGACGATATTCGATCTCGAGGGTCTGTCCGTACTCGTCAACTAGGGAATCATCTACACCAACTGCCTCATGTTAGTAAATAAGCTGCAATAAAAGTTATATAGAGACTCACTGCAATCGGAAAATACATGGCCATCGCTGATAATCCACAGCGTTGCTCCAGGGGTATATATCTTCGAGACTTGCTCCACGAAACTGTGTAGGTGGTTGAGGGCAAGATACTCTGCAGCATCTGGAGACACACCGGCAACTTTCTCCGGGTTTGAGGACTTGCATGGGAACGCAGGGAGACAAAGCTCGATGTGCCGACTGTCTTTGGTGAACGAATAGACCTTGTTGATGAAGTATTGGCGACCTTCTGTGGACCATTTATCGTCCTGACTGGTGTTTTTGATGGATTCGAAGAGATCGGCTACCTGATCAGCAATCTTTAATGCTTCTATATTTATCGAGTCGAATGAGACGCCAGTTGTGAGCATACGGGCATTCAAGAGGAGAAATGTTTTTGCCCAGTTGAAGAAGACAGGCTGGAGGAAGGATGAGGGTTCGGATGTGATGAGTCCACGGACATCATCACTATCAGGTTCCAGTAGCTCGTGGATTTGGAAGGTCTGTGTCTGCTCAGACTGGTCCCTTTGGATGTTGAATGGAAGCGTAGTCTGTGTGGAGTTGACGGCCTTGCCAGAGGACAACTCAGTCCGTTCAGTCGTTTCTCCTTTCAAGGCAACGTTGGATATGTCAGACCAAAATGAACGGATCTGTTTAGCATATCTACCCTCAGCAACCAGCAGTCGACCGCTTTGGTCGCGCTGGTAGACTCCAGCGACGTGGTGATAGACAGATGATCCGTAGTTAATGGACATGTTGTAAATAGACAAAAGATGCAGTGCTGTAAATGCAAAAGAAAGCTGAGACAGTAGATGTTTGAACGCTGATAGAGATGGAGATGATCGATATGGTTGAAACAGGCCTGCTTCGTCCAGGTTCGGCTTAATATATTGATATCTACCCAGGCTGGGACCAGTTCTATACACTGAAGGATTCACGCTGTCTCTGGTACCCAACTGCTCAGCCCCCCTGTTACATTTTACTTGTCTATCTGCTGTGTCTTCTATTTACATTCACTGGTGTTCTAGAAATAGCCATAGCCTTGCCATCAACTTCCGGCCCAACCTCTCAACGTAGACGGCAGCTGACAGCTTGGAATCTAGAAACAGAAGCTATAATGACTACACGGTGCACGGTTATGATCCACCGCATGGCTGGGATGCGACAACAAGATGTGACGTGGGCTGGGGCGGAGCATGGCGCGCCTGTCTGAGTCGCGATTCAGATATGGCCCCAACAGCCAAGAGATCTCGCAAGGGCTGATGGTCTCGGCCTGAATCTGATGAGCCCTGTTTGATACTATATTTGGATTGGTTGTCATTGGCTTATTCACTTTTACTGCCCATGTACGGTGGTTTGAGAACTGTTTTGCTGCCAGCCGGTATAGATATCGCCTTTCCCGTCTTTGTCTGCTGGCGTTCCTTCTGCTATACTGAACCTGAAACATAGCACCATGTTGCTCACGGTCTTTATTTTGCTTCTTGGCCTGGTCGTTATTGTTACCGCTGGGCTAGTCTATCTGTTTACTCCACCAAGAGACTTCCCCAAAGACATCCCCACAATACCATTCTACTACACCCTGCTCCCACTAATCCAAAACAACGACCAAGTTGACCTCTACCGGAAATACCTCGAACGCCCACTCACCGAATACGGCGCAGTGAAGCTCTTCTTCGGTGGGCGCTGGAACATCCTCGTCCGCAAACCAGAGTACATCGCCGAAGTCTTCAAGCACGAAGACATCTACGCGAAGAGCGGGAACCAGAAGAAGATTCCTCATGGCGTGCTCGCGGAGTATACTGGTGATAATATCATCAGCGCCCATGGGGAGAATTGGAGGCTTTATACTTCTATTATAAAGCCAGGCCTGCAGCAGGACTATGACCCGGTGCAGATATGGAGCAACTCTCGCCTGCTTGTTGACCTTCTCCTGGAACAACAGGTGTCTGGGGGGTCTGTAAATGTTAACCCGCTTCTTCAGCGATATACTCTGGCGAATCTGTCAGAGGTGCTACTCGGGTCTAGTTTTGAGGTATGCGTTATACAAGGGAAGGGAAGAAAAGTACTAACCATTGTATAGACACTGCAAAGGCCAAACGCACCCCTCCACGCATTCCAGCTCCGAATCAAGCCCAAGATATTCGATCCCATCTTCTTGAACTTCCCACTTCTCGATCACCTAAACCTCCCAACCCGTCAAGAGGCACGCAAGCTGGTAGTTCAATTCACCGATGAACTCTGCAACACCGTCAAAAGGGGCCACGCAGCCTGCCACAACCACGAAAAGAGCGTCCCCAAAAACCTGGGCTGCCGACTTCTAGGCGCATTCGAAACAGGCATGCTAACAGAGCGACAACTGCGACACAACATGATCAGCACATTCCTCGCAGGCCACGAAAACCCACAACTTCTACTCATCTCAGCCTTATTCCTCCTCGCAGAACATCCTAATATCCAAGAAAGTCTGCGCGCTGAGATCACCTCCCTGGACAGCAGCGAACCAACACCGCAAACCCTGGCATCCCTCCCCCTCCTCAACGCCGTAATCTACGAAGTCCTCCGCCTCTACCCACCAATCTCGCAACTGATAAACCGACAAACAAAAAGCCCAGTCCTACTGGGTGGGAAAATCCCCATCCCATCTGGGACATATCTCGGATACAACGCCTACTCCACAAATCGGGACATCACGTTCTGGGGAGCCAGCGCGGACGAATTCAAACCTGAGCGGTGGGGCACAAATATGGATGAGATCAATGCGCTGTTCCGACGCGCGAATGCTAAGGGTGCATTCATCAGTTTCCATGGTGGGCGAAGGGCTTGTCTAGGGCAGAAGTTTGCGATGCTTGAGGCAAGGGTTGCGTTAGTTGCACTGTTGGGGAAGGTAAGGTGGGAATTGGATCCTGGGTGGCCGAGGATGATGACGCCGGTATGTTCTCCTTCCTTTGGTATTTGGATTGTACTAGAGTGGACTGGAGTGGCTTACTGACTGACTGTGGGTACAGGCTGGGCCTCTCTATGCCCGAAACCTGCGGCTTAGATTCTATGATATCAAGACAGGGCGAAGTGACAAATTAGCGTAGTGTTGGCTTTTTGATCGGTTTAATTGGAGTTATCATGCTAGACGTATCAAATGAATTATTTACTGTTGGCTCTTAAACTCTGTTTCTATAATTTTAGAACCAATGCGGCTTACAACGCCTCAAAGCTCAGACCAAGCACCAGCACCAATGGCAGCAATTCAGACACTGCGCCGGAGAGACACGTGTGCTGCAGCTATCACGCCACGAGGCTACTCTAACGCTACTGCGACGAGAAACATGAAAACAAGACATCCAACCCGCATAAGGGCTTAGACCGGACTCGCAGACCCGAAGAAGGGCCTAGGGCTTACAGGATCCAGATGCACCACTCGCATTCAGCCTAAAGCAGACTCCGCCCAGCCAAGACGGGACGTGAATAGATCTTGCTCGGCGGGATCTGTTGGGCTAAGATAGTTGTGTCGGATGCTGTCTGGGCGTGTTTTAGGCCGTGGGGCTGTGACTCTGAGCCAAGAGCGCTGCCATGTTGGGTTGGCTTATGCCATAGTGTGGAGATACTGGTGACCGCTATTTCTGTCCGTTCAGATATGCGAACTACCAAGGTGTTCAGATACTACAGACTGAGGCTGATGTAACTGTTGTCTTCACCCACTGATAATTATAGTATGGTTGCATCTCGTGATAACTCATATCTGACTAGGCCGGTGAATGCATTGCTCAGCCTTGCTGGCCTACTACACGTGGTATTCTGTCGAATCTACATTTGTATGTGAATGTTCCCCAACGAATATAACATTAAACCTGCTTGGCCGTCGATATTCTCTCCCACCACAATCAGTTATGGAGAGTCCAAAATCCGAACAGCAGCCTCTGGTGACTGCCCCAGGGCCTGCATATTCAGCATTCTCAGAGAAGAAAAAGCAGTTTTATCTGGGCATAGTAACGGCCGCCGGATTCTTCGGTCCGCTTTGCGGTGCAGTCTACCTGCCCTCCTTGATTCTATACCAAGATATCTTCAAGTCTTCAAGGAGCGTGATCAATGCCACAGTCTCTGTATACATGGCCATTTTTGCTGTTGCTGTAAGTCCCTAACCCAGACAAAGTACCTATCTAACATAAAAAGCCCCTCGTCGGAGCAGCAGCAGCAGACCTCGGCGGCCGCAAAACAGTCTACATCGTCACACTGGCTAGTTTCTTAATAGCTAATATCCTGCTCGCTTCTATCCCCGCCAACATCGGGGCGCTCTTTGTGCTCCGCATATTCCAAGCCTTCGGCGCATGCATCGTCACGTCGATTGGAGCAGGCACAATCACAGATATATTCGAGCCTGCACGCCGGGCATCTGCTCTAGCTATATTCCTTCTCGGCCCTCAGCTCGGTCCTATCCTGGGACCTCTAATAGGAGGACAATTTGCGACCGAGTCGCGGTGGCGGTGGGCGTTTGGGTTTCTAGGTTCGTCCATGCCAATCTTTAAACGTGTGTATACTGATAGTGATAGCCCTCGCCTGTACCCCTGTCTACCTCCTCATCCTCTTTTGTCTCCCCGAGACGCTCCGCTGTCTCGTTGGGAATGGCGAGGTATTTGCAAAGAGAGGATGGATTTCTTTCCCGCGATTTCGGCAAAAGACACTCGTGGAGGAAGGGAAGTACCCTAAGCCGCCGAAGCCCAGTCTAAAGAACTGGGTTAAGATGTTGACGGAGCCAACGCAATGCATCGTCTTTGTGAATGGGGCGCTATCATTTGCAGGCCTGTACTTGATGTATGTTAGCTTCCCCGATGTATGGGGCGAGCGGTTCGGATTCTCGACGCAGGAGGTTGGATATGCTTATTTGAGTCCTGGTATATCAATCCCCTCCGCCTATCCTTCATCTGCGTTCAAGGTATTAATTTTCATTAGGGGTTGCGCTGTTCCTGGCCTCCCTCGCAACAGGCCGCTTCTCCGACTGGCACCGTGCAAGACTGGCAGCACGAAACCCAGACAAGAAAATCAAGCCCGAGACTCGTCTCCCAATCCAGATCGTAGGGTTTATCATTTCCGCCGCTGGGAAGGTCATGTATGGCTGGTTCACGCGGTATAACCTACATCCTGTTGCTGGATTAACGGCGTCTGCATTAGGTATGTCCTGTTTTTTGTAGCTACAATCTTGAGTGAGGGGCTATACTAACACCGCAAAGCCGGAATCGGCACAGCCATAATCTTCGTAACGAGCACATCCTTCCAAACAGAGTGCGCGCCATCCCAAGCCGCAACAATCGTGGCTTTGGGCGGGCTGCTCCGGAACATCGCAGCAGCAATTTCAGCTGCGATAGTCGATAGTCTTGTCAAGAGCATGGGGTACGGGTGGTGCTTTACGGGTCTGGGGATGTTGGATGTGGTATGTGTTGGAGGGATACTGGCGATTATGTGGACGCGAGGTGGTAGGGATGGGTTTTGTAGGTTGTAGGTCAAGAAGATTAATGTAGGCTGGTGATGTTTTGCGTATTTGATGTTGCTATGCAGTTATGATAGGGTTAGATATAATAGAGGATGCATGATTCACTTCATTTTAAGTCCACCCCATGAGGTGTCAGAGGCAAAAATGACGCTGGCTTTGCAAACAATCTTGTCACATAGAGGCTCTATAATACCCTCTACTACTATCTTCATATACCTGGTTTGCCACTAATGGGAATGATTGTAATAACCTCTCTAGCATATTTTCCTGCAATGAAGGGGCTTGACCATGATACAACACCATGCATATCAGATCTGCAGTCGTAATGATCGGTGAAATATCTTTTCGGCATAATACACCCCGAATCAATTGTATACTGGAGTTCGACGAACATCAAGCGACGTCATGTCAAATAGTCGATCTATACTGTGTTGATATACAAACGAGTCAGGGGAAGCCGGGTATTAGGGAAATTGACGAAATATGCAGTCCCCAGGCATCCTCGAAAATACCCGACTTAGTCTGCTTCACTAATTGAACTATTTCCCCGCGTCCGCTATAAAACACGCTATAACGCAGCTGATCCATACTCTTGAACTCCGCATCAAAATCCCCACTCCAGTCCCACCATCAAGTCTTACTACGCATTCCCGCCGCCACAATGCCAACCCACACCCATCTCGGCGCGGCAATTACACTCCTATCCCTCATCCCCAGAATCCACGGCGCAACCTTCGACGGCTCCCGCTACCTCTGGTACGATACACCGGGTACACGCTTCAACGCAAGCCTTCCAATCGGCAATGGCCGTCTAGGCGGAACACTCTACTGCCTGCCCACGGAGATAATAACCTGGAACGAAGACTCGGTATGGAGCGGGACGTTCCAGGACCGCGTGAACCCTAACGCACTCGAGTCCTTCCCCAAAGTCCGCGACCTGCTTGTTGATGGCGATATCTCGGGCGCGGGGGATCTGGCCCTGTCTGATATGACGGGGAGCTCGATAGACCCGCGCGAGTACCAGGTTCTGTCGAATCTGTATGTTGATATGGGGCAGGGGGAGGATGCAACAGATCTTGTGCGCTATCTGGATACGATTGAGGGCCATACGGCTTGTGAGTATCAGTATGATGGGGTGGGATATAAGTAAGTCCGGAAAATTCGGTGGGAGATGTTTTGATGTAGGTGGCTAATATTGTATGCATTAGGCGCGAGCTCATTGCCAGTGCCCCGTCGGGGGTCTTGGGTTTCAGGGTTCAGGCTGATACTGAAGGGGCGCTTAACTTGAGTGCGTATCTGCAGCGCGAAGACTGGGTTCAGGAGAATGTTGCTAGTGTTGAAGATGGTGTCAATTCTATCCTCCTGAGTGCCAACACGGCAGAGACGGATTATTCTACTTTTACTGCAGGGGTGAGAGTCGTTGTCGACCAAGGTAAGACCGCCAGGGAGACCACCTGCGGAAATATGAAATCTGATTCTTGCTAGGGGATGTCACCGCCGATGAAACCACATTGGTTGTATCGGGCGCCACTACGGTGGACTTCTTTCTCGACGCGGAGTCCTCCTACCGGTATGAGAGTAGAAGCGCCCAAGAGGCAGAAGTGAATAGCAAGCTCGACGCTGCTGCTGAGCTAGGTTACGAGGCGCTGCGAGAAGAGGCCATCGCTGACCATAAAGGGCTTGCAGGTCGGGTTACACTCGACCTAGGGGCGTCTGTTGACGATGCTGCTTCCTTGCCTAGCAACGAACGGATGGAGAATTACAAGTCGTCACCAGACGACGATGTCGAGTTTGCCACACTCTTGTTCAACTACGGCAGACACTTGCTGATTGCATCCTCCCGTAAAACCGGCGAGCGGTCTCTGCCTCCTGGTCTGCAGGGCATCTGGAACCAAGACTACGAACCAGCCTGGGGTGGGAAATACACCGTCAATATCAACCTGGAGATGAACTACTGGCCTGCGGAAACCACGTACCTGAACGAGCTGACCTCGCCGCTGTGGGATCTTCTCGAGCTGGTGCAGGAACGCGGCCGCGACGTGGCAGAGAGAATGTACGGCTGTCCTGGGTTTGTGCTGCACCATAACACCGACCTCTGGGGCGACGCCGTGCCCGTCGACAATGGAACAAGCTATTCCATCTGGCCGATGGGAGGGGCATGGCTTGCCCTCCACCTGATGGAGCACTACCGATTTACCGGCGACACGGACTTTCTTGAGAATCAAGCGTATCCGATCTTGGAAGATGCCTTTGCGTTCTTCGAGTGCTATCTTTTCGAGCTGGATGGATACCTCACGACTGGACCTTCCTGCTCTCCAGAGAATACATTCGAAATCCCTGACGACATGACGAATGCAGGATCAAGCGAAGCACTGACCCTCAGCCCAACAATGGACGACAGCATTCTCTTCGAGCTACTCACAGCCCTAAACGAAACGCATCAGGTCCTTGAAATCGACAACGACTTCGCAGACACAGTCAAGGAGTCCCTGGGCAAGATCAGACCTCCACAGATTGGCTCGGATGGCCAGATCCTAGAATGGATCGAGGACTTCGTCGAGGAGGACCCTGCCCACCGCCACTTCTCCCCCTTGTTCGGTCTATTCCCAGGAACACAGCTCACGCCTCTCACCTCGACAGAGCTAGCCGATGCCGCAGGAGTTCTGTTAGACCGTCGCATGGATAGCGGCAGCGGTAGTACCGGCTGGTCGCGCGCCTGGTCCATCGCCTTGTACGCCCGTCTTTACCGGGGTGACGACGCCTGGACCAATGCGCAGACGTGGATCCAAACATTCCTTCTGCCGAACCTGTGGAACAGCGACAAGGGCGGCTCTAGTTCCTTTCAAATCGATGGGAATTTTGGATATACAGCGGCAATCCCGGAGTTGCTCCTACAGAGCCATTCCGGGGTTGTGCATATCCTGCCGGCTCTACCTGCGGCGATCCCAACGGGTTCTGTGACTGGGCTTGTTGCGCGAGGCGGGTTTGTGGTGGATATTAAGTGGGAGGACGGTGCGCTTTCTGAGGCGACTGTCCAGTCTCTGCTGGGTAATGAGCTGACGCTGCTTGTTGGTGGGGATGACTCGCTTTCTGTTGATGGGACAGAGTATTCGGGTCCAATTGCGACGGACAAGGGGGGGAATTACACCATCACTGTCTAACCTTCTGATTAAGGCTGATAAATCAATGCAAACCATGCATCCACTGCAAACGTCTTACACGTCCAACTCCGTGATTGGCTGCGGGATGCTGACGGAGTGAGATTATAAATCCAGATCAATACAGGATCACAGTATAAGAGCACAAGCAATTCAGTCTTCTCAGCATAGTTATTCTTCTTTTCAGTATCTAAACCAATTCTACTGCAATAATGTCTCAACCAGTCGCTCTCGTCCTCGGCGCCGGTCCCAGAGTCGGTGCATCTGTTGCTGCCACATTCGCAACCAAGGGATATCACGTCGCCATCGCATCCAGAAGCGGCACAGGCAATAAGACGCCGGAAGGCTATCTCTCGGTCAAGGCCGATTTCGCCAGCCCCTCCTCCATCCCTGGGGTGTTTAGCGCAGTCAAAGCCGCATTCCACGCCGCACCAAGCGTCGTCGTCTACAACGCAGCAAGCCTGACTCCCCCGCCAGATGCAAGCTCAGTCCTGTCCATCCCAGTAGAGAGCGTCACGACCGATCTCAACATCAACACCGTAACCCCCTACGTCGCAGCCCAAGAGGCCGTCAAGGCATGGGAGACCTTACCCGCCGAGGCAAAGAAATCCTTCATCTACACGGGCAATCTGCTGAACGTGCAGATCCCGCCTGTTCCGGTTTTCCTCAATCTCGGCGTTGGCAAGTCCGCTTCTGCGTACTGGATTGGGGCTGCAGATGCTTTGTATAAGGAGCGTGGTTATCGGTTAGTATACCCTGGCCTACTGGCTGTTACATGACTTTGTGCTGATTGCTTAGCTTCTTCTACGCTGATGAGCGTTCTGAGGATGGAAGCTCGAGGGGCCAGGGCATTGATGGGCCTGCGCACGCGGAGTTCTTTGCCCAGCTGGCTGACCACAAGGATGTTCCATGGCATGCGACGTTTGTCAAGGGGAAGGGATATGTTACGTTTGAGTAATTAGTTAACATTGGTACTTAGGAAATAATTAATTTAGCTGAACGAATATGCATTTATCGGTAATGTTTGATCGTTCCCGGGACTTGAAATAGAGGCGGTAGTTAAGTACATTTCGGTGCTTAAACATTGAATGAGATGCAGCTGAAACATCATCTAAGAGTGGACACTGGTATGCAAAGGCCGTGATCGGATAGCAGCTGCATTTCACTCGCTGCGTGTTCCACCTGTATTGATTTATCATCTGCACCTGCTACGTATATGCGAGCAGATATGTGATTCTGCATGGTAGGCTGACTGGCTGCCACGGTCTAATAATGCAAGATGTTAGCTATCCATTCGTTCCCATCAAGAATTTAAAACCCGCACCTGTGTCTATCTTCAATGCCTGTCGAATACCTATCTTCTTTCTTTGTGAATATCATTGGCATGTATATATACTGTATTTCTGACATACATTAATTTATTAGGGTCAAGATGCTCACTCAATATCATGATAATTTGGAGACTACCGACACGCGGGGTATAACCGAGGCTATTCGCCCTTACATATACACCGTATACCCCCTTGACCTCCCACTGATCTACCTTCACTGAACAGTAGACTTATCTTTATACTCAACCTACAATGCCATACACATACACCCACATCGTGGTCGACATCCACGACCAGATCGGCGTCATCAAGGTCCGCCCCACACCCGCCACCAATACCCCCCCGGCAGTTATGCTTACCCCCGCAGCTAAACAGACCCAAATCACTGAACGCATGGAACGAGACAATGCTGGCCGATATGGTCACTGCCTTTCGCGAGCTAGATGAGCATCCGCATACCATATTCACCGTTCTTACCGGTGAAGGGCGATTTTTTTCTGCTGGCGCTGATATCAGACGTATGCTCCATCCCCAATATCCCACTAGTATTGTATACAAATTAACAATGAACAGAAGGACTGGCAACACCACCAGCAGACTCAACCCCAGCCCAGAAGAAACTCTTCTACATGAAGAACTTCTCCACCCGTGCGTCTCTCACCCCTCAACCCTAACACCTTTCCACCACCACCACTAACCTTAGGTCTGAAAAGACACCGAACTCTTCCGCCTCCTAATCGACCTCCGCAAAGTCTTCATCCTGGCCCTAAACGGCCCCGGCGTCGGCGGGGGCGCCGCCTGGTTCACCGGCCTCGCCGACATCGTCCTCGCCTCCTCAGGAAACTACCTGCAAGTGCCCTTCAACTCGCTGGGCCTTGTGCCCGAGTACGGCGCGGCGCGCACCTTTGCGGAGAGCATGGGTGTGCGCCGGGCGAACGAGTTCCTCATGTTCGGGCGCAAGTGTACCGTGGAGGAATTGGAGGGGTGGGGGGTTGTCAATAGGGTTTTCCCGCTGGAGGGGTTTGGGGGGTCTGTTTTGGAGTATTTAAAGGGGCAATTGGAGGTGAATGATGGGGGGAGTATGCTTGAGACGAAGAGGTTGGTGAATGGGCCGTTGAGGGCGGAGAGGGTGGTGGCGTTGTTTGATGCAGTGAGTGCGCTTGCGGAGAGGTTTGTGGAGGGGGTGCCGATGGAGAGGTTTCAGAGGAGGACGGGGGAGCTGGCGAAGGGTGAGTTGTTCCATATTGTTTTGATCTTGTGCTGATGGTGTCTAGCGAGTGAGGCGAGAAGGAAGAAGTCGAGTCTCTGATGTAGATTCGCTTGAGTATGTCTGTCAGACTTGATATGAGCATAGAATATAGCAGTACATTGCCGACAAATACTAGTTGCACACTAATTACACCTATTAAACACATCCAGAGTATGCTCCCACACTTTCTTGTCAATCTTCTTCTCCTTATACTCATTCAACACCTTCTGATTCCCACGCGCCTCCCCATCCGAACCCACCAGATACAACTTCCCACTCCCATCATCCTCACGCTTCAAGTTCGGCAGTCCCGCAGCAGCATACAAATGTCTCTCCCCACTCTCCTCAACCGGCACCATCCACGGCTTCCCGAGAACCATAGCCGCCTGCAACGCCATTCTAGTCACAAGCCCCAGCTCCCGCATGACGCCCGTCTTCACGCCACCCGGGAAGGAATGGATGAACGAGACGGCTGGGTTCGCCTTGGCCAGATACCCCAGCGAGAGCGAGTTCATGGTGATGGCGTGCGTTCTGGCATTGGCGAGGCTGTAGGTATTCTTCAGGTCGAGGTCGTCCTGGTTCAGCGCTCCTTCGCCGCCGGCTTCGAGGACTGATACCACAGATGCTAGCCCGGTATTATTACCTCCAGCAGCAGCAGCATTTAGCTGTGGGAGGAGGTTCGAGATAAACCGCATCCGGGAGTAATAATGCAGCGATAGCTTCCTATCAATTCCCTCCGCAGTTTCTGTCAAGCCAATCAGTCAATACCCAAAAAGAAAAAAAAAAAAAAAAAGTAGATGAAATCACCATCCCTCCCCTTCATAGTCACCATCCCCGTAGTCATAACCAACAGATTAACCCTCTCCTCCCTGCTCTGAATCTCCTTACAAGCCTCATCAACCCCTTTAAGAAGCGAGGTATCGCACTTGACGAAATCCACTTTACTCTCTGCATTAAGCTTCCCCAGCTCGTCGATGATTCTCGACGCCTGCGCCTCGTTCCGGCCGAGCAAGTACACGCGCGGGGAGACGGCGTAGCGGACAAAGGCCCGTGCTGTGGATTCCCCGATTCCGCTGGTTCCGCCGACTAGTTTGTTAGCAGAGCCAGATAGCCATATCCTAGGTGAGAGTACCGAATACGCCGACTAGGCCGGGGCCGTATTCCTTGATAGAGGCGTTGCTTTTTTTTACGACGTTGATGGCGACCATGATGTTGATGTTGTGACGCTGATGGATGGAATGAGAAGACGAAATCAAGGTGGAGTGAGGTTGTTCTTAGCGTCTTGGCAGTCTAACCCGTTCACTAAGAAAGCACGCGGAAATATCAGACGTGGTCATACATATTGCGAAATGCAAACAATATCAATTTTTTAGTGAGTTTGCTTGTATGGTTGAATTAAGTGAATCCTCAGTCTACAGTAATTCAAATCCTTAGTTCATAAGGACAAGCTGAATACAAACCATGTATCCAAGAGAACAGCAACCTAACAGTCCTAATGTATAATATCATAATAATATACATTTATTACATACATGCCATAGCAATACAACCATATCCATCCCGTATACACCACTATCGAGCCAGAAACAACCCACCAACAAACACCAGCCCTAAGACAACAAACGCTCCCCGGGGCGAAACCATCCCTGCACCACCATCCCCGCTATCACCACTCCGGACCCCAGCACCGTCACTCGAAGAGGTAGGGAAAGGCTCTCCATCAGGCGAAATAGTAATCGTCACCGTAGCTGTCACTCTGCTATCACTGCCACCATCATCACCCCCAGACGAAGTCGCAGTAGGCGTCGGACCCTCGCTCGTCTCACCCGTAGTCGACGTAGATGTAATAGGCCCCTCACCAGAATCCGTATCCGATTTAGTCGGACTCGGTATAGCCGTGGTAGAACCCCAATCATCAAAGCTCGTAGAGGTAGAGGTAGTTGGATGAGTATCACCCGTGGTACTCCCGCCATAGACACAGATAGCTGTGCCGCGCGACGAGGTACAAGCCGCGTCGCAGCAGAGTCCCGCGTTCCCGCAAGGAAGACCCGTGCATTCGCCCGTGTCGCAGGCGACCTCGCCGCGGATGGTGGTGCAGGGGGCGCCGCGCTCGCAGCACCCGAACCCGTCGGCGCATGTGGTGTAGTCGCCTGTAGGGCAGGTGTATTCCTGGCGGCGGAATAGCTTGGGGATTTCCGGGGCTTGGGTTACCCGGGCTGATCCATCGGCTTTTACAAGCTGTAGCTGGAGGCTGGTTAGGGCCAGGGCTAGGAGGGATGTTAGGATATGCATGGTGGAGGTTCAGGGTATGGTGGACATAACAGCTCTGGGGAGGACCAGTTTTATAAACTAAGTCTACGAACTATACTTTCCCTCAAGGCTTCGCTCGGGCTTGATCCTGCAAGGCGGTTGGTTATGCTTTGGACTTATCATTAAGACGCCTGAGTGGGGGAATAAAATTAATTATACAAGGAGTAACTTCGCCCTTGGAAGTGCAAAGGACGCTGCACCAAGCGCCCTAATAGCATGCACTTCTGTGTGCAGAGCTCTTACACTCGTCAACACAGTGGATAGAGTCTAAAGTATAAGGTCTACGCCACCTCGTATTGCTGGGCCAAAGCACAACTCAGAGAACAAGGGTTGAGTTTGCACGGTTAGCTCCTGGTTATAGTTCCGCCACAGTTCTCCTAGTTTCGGCATTGGTTTTGTCCTGGACCCCTTGCAATCTCTCGGGCGACCGGGGTTTCTGCTGCAGGGTGGGGTGGGCTGGAATTGTCGGGTGAGTTTTCTATACAGCTCGGTATACTACATGCTAACCTAGAAGGGCTGGGGATGGGCCTGTGAGAGAGTCAGGGCTGTCGATGTGATGACCGCCGACGGCGCCCTAGTCCACTGCGACAAGGACCAGAATGCAGACCTGTACTGGGCAGCTCGAGGCGCGGGACCTGGTGACTTTCGTTGCCTGAATACTATTATAGGATCTCAGCTAACAGTCTATAAGGCTTCCCTGGAATCGTAACCCAGTTCCACCTCAACCTAATCCCCTAGATGCACCTGTAGCTAGGGCTATTATTAGTTGGTAAGCTCAACAGCTCCTAATATTCTCATGCGCGCTGATTCAACCTATACCTAGATGCCCATTAGACCAAACATGACATTCGCAAATCTGATGCCGTCAAACATAAACATGCATAAATAAATTAAAATATAGATGACCTGTCCCAGTTTCCGAGGACAACAGTCGGGGAAGTGGAGGGCAACGTGGTCCCGACTCCCGAACTTAGCCCTAACTACGGAGTCCCCGCAGAACCAACTCGGACCATCTAGCTAGGTATTTGGCTTTCTTTTAGAGTTCCAGTAAAATTCTACCTCCCTACCATATCCGTTTTTATCACAGTACCTATCCTGACACAAAATGACGACCACCCCCTTCGAAGTCCTAATCGTAGGCGGCGGCATCGGCGGGCTTACAACTGCACTCGCCCTGCACAAACAAGGCCACGACTCACAGATATTCGAGCAGTCGCATCTAGCGATAGAAACAGGCGCAGCACTGCATCTGGCGCCGAACGCAAATCTGCACGGGGTGGAATATGTCAAGAAGGACGGCGGGGTAGCCAAAGGCTCACACTCTACAGCCCGATATTGCCTGGTAGTCTAATTTGGAACCTTGGTTATTTTGGAGGCACCGAGAGGAAGGCGAGAATATATTCTTCATATAACAGCATCTAGGATGATGATTTAATATACATCATTAGAGACATTCAGCGCCCTAAGATTATTCTCCACTGTTGTTGACGATGTAATATCGAATACCGTCCTTTGCTTGGTCGCTCTCTTCAAGGCTTTCACAGGCATTGTTTGAAGGGTTTCCATTAGTGATCCAAGCATCTTCGCTGCCTGGCCCCCCGTTACAGCCAGGATTGTGCCATCCATCAAGCGTATTCAAAGTTTTTGCCCAATAAACAGACTTGGCCTGAAAGCCGAAATCCAGGCAATCTGAGTCCGACGACACATCCTAAACAAAGTAAGCAAAGACCTATGTTGAGGTGGTAAAGGAGGTCGAAATTGTACATCAGCGCTGAAGTCGACACAGCCCTCCTTGCAGCCGGTATCCGTGCAGGCTTTGAGGCTGTACGCTGCTGAAAGAGCAGGAAGCAATAGGGTCAATGCTCTTAGAGAGAGCATGCTGGAAGTTGTCTGGGAGAGAGGACCAGTCCACAATATAGAGAAAAAGGATTGTTTATGAGCTGAGAAGAAACAAGGTGATCTTGCTATCTTCTTATAGCTCTGTCAGAGATCAACCTCCAGGCAGTGCCCCAATGTGGGGAAGCTTCCTGCCGCGTCAACAGACCTAGGTCACATCCAATGGCTGCTGGCAATCTACCAACGGCCCGAATCACCGTGGATATTGTCGATACGGCTCTGTTGGTTTGAGCCATTTATCCACGTTGGTATAGTTGGTGATCGGCAGCCCCTTCCAGTTTGGCCCCTGTCCATCTACCTTGGGAAAAGTGACGGTCAATCACACACATAGTACGCCAATTCCATGATTTCTAGGTCGCACCATAGTGGGCCTGCATTGTGCAGCTACAGTTCAACCCCACAGAAATAGTGCTTACTGATTAGTGCTTACACCTCAAGCTTCGCTAGTATTCGATCGACCGACGACGACACAGTTGGGGAATGTCCACTACTAGCTCAGGCTTTCCAAGCTTTGAAAGCAGAAATGGTGGTGTTGACTAAATGGCGCGGACAGTGTTGGTGGAGAACGCCCTGGCCTGCTGCTGCCGTCCCTATTTTTGTACTTGTACGGGTCTACCTACTACTGTACTCCTGTGGTTCTTCAGCTTGAGATACAAATTTGTGTTTGCATTCTTGATAATCTTAGCTATCAACTAAGTCAGGAACTAACTAGTTCATGAACTTATCTTCATATTCGTGTGGTCGAGCACTCAGTGTTGTGGTGGCTGCAAAGAAATCCGTTTACTTCTCTATATTCACGCTTCTCACCCTCCATCATGATGCCTCTCCTACTGCATCTGCCTTTAACTCTCCATCCATCATCCATCGATCCAGTCTCGCTCCCATCTCTCATCTCTCCAATCTATCAACCCCCTGCTAAACCAACCCGTACCCAGCCCCAGCTATCTTCCCTGCAGATCTCATCTTTGCTGGATTTCTTGCCTTTATCTTAACTCTAGCTGCCTTGGATCTTAACATCACTAAGATAGAGGCAGGTATATAAAGAGTAGTTATTAGTCTAATCAAAGACAAGAAATCTATATGTTTTTAGGGTTAGGGAAAGCAGCTGTTTTGTTTACCAGGAGGCATGTTTCAATCGATTTTATATTGATTTCCGGCCTCTGTCTCTATTCGTCTATACATAACCGTGAGCCGCGCGATTCTCCAGGAATTAACAACAGCTACTGATCAGAATGAAATAAGACGGCCTCCCTGGAGCACGTTACCAAGTGATTGCTGCACCCTTTCGAATCTCATGAAGGAGCACGATTCACTTTCGAGGTGGTTAAATAGCCCAGCCAAGGCAGCAAACGGTTTCGCGCATCCAGAATTGGGACAATGGTAAACCTGCTGTTTATGAGCAGAAGAATTCAGATGCTGATTTAGAGCCGGCAGCGATTTGAACTGCCGGTGACATAGATAGCACTCATAGCCGTTGCCGTTCCAAGAGCGCAGGTTAGCGGAGTAGGTGGCGTTTTTCTCTTCCACCCATCCAATCTGTTTGTTGGTAATAACGCCGCTTGGATCTCGCTCGCGGACCATCCGGTAGATCGTTTCGCGGCTCAAAGAAGGGGCATTGGGGCAGGAGCTTGTTTCAAGATGGTGGCTGAGCCCGCTCGCAGTGGTATACCCGACCTTGCAAAAGGGGCAGGAGACGTCGCGACCCCTGTGGATCTTCGAACGGAGATGCTACAGAGCATTGTCAGGGACCGTCGTTTCGGAAAGGGGTCGTCACTACAGCTTTATAGGCATACCATGCGCAAGTTATTTTCATTATCGAACCGTCGGTCGCAGCTTTTGCAGTAGTTCCGGTAATGACTTAATGCCTTCATATGCTGGTCGGCAGCAGACTGGGTCTGGAACTTGTTGTTACAGGTCTCGCAGGAGACTTTCGGCGCCCAATGCTTCATGGCGTTCATATGCTTAGTCGCTGCGCTTTGGAGGCGAAAGGAGCTGGTGCAAGTTTCACATTCGTAGCGAGGAGCCCAGTGTCCACGCGCGTTCATGTGCTGGTTGCAAGCACGCTGGGTGCGAAAGGTGGCAGGGCAAACCTCGCATTCAGGCCAATGGCCATAGTCATCCATATGGTCGTGGCAGTCCTCTTGATATAGAAAGACCAACTCACAAGATGCACACTCATACTCATAATCGTCCGGGTCGTAATAATACATGATGTCGAACTCCTGGATTGGAAATGGCTGGGACGAGCTGGCAGGCGGAAAAGAGAGAAAGATGGAGGGGAAGTTGGAGACGAGATGCAGAGAAGGGAGCAGTGAAGACGGAACTTGCAAGTTAAAGTGGATGATGGATCACATTCTGAGACCTACAGCATAACTATCAAAAGAGGATTACTCAGCAGGGATCAAACTAGTTAACCATTCAATATAGAAACTAGATTGAATTGAGGCTTGTCCTCTAAAGGAATGACTATCTAGGGTTTTATATAGCTTTCTAGTAGCCTCGGTTCCCTTTTCTAACTAGACCGTGGGTCAGCTATCCAGAAAACTCTGTATATCGAAATATTTAGACATGGTGAAGGGCGAGGTGCTGATAAAGCGACGATCTCCGTTCCTCCAGTTGACACATTCACTCCAGTACATGATCTGGAAGGAAGGGCGATCGGAGGTGTCATCTATACAGAACGTATCTATACTAGGAATTACTTGAAATCCTGCGGGCTAAAATTAAATTAACTTACTTCATTTTAACTATTTAGATAGCTACTTAGTTATACTACTCATAAAGCAGGTAGATTAACACTGAAGATAAATATCTTCGTGCCCCTGAAATTCACACGCCGTAAAGGCAGCCAGTCAATCCACGGCTGCCAAGCAATCCGTTTACTTCTATATTCACGGCTTCATCTCCTCTCACTAACACATCTCTCCCCATTATAGATCCTCTCCCACCAGACAATCTCATCGCTCTTTCCGCCGTCTACCAATTCAGTCAAGTCTTTCTATCTCTCGTTTCTTCAACCCATCAACACCTCGCCAAACGACCCCTACTCACCCCCCCGGTTATCTTCCCCGCAGTATGAACTGAGCTCATCTCATCTTCATTATCTTGTCTTTATCTCAACTCCAACCTCTCTGATCATAGCATCGCCAGGATGGAAGTATTTCTGCACAATATTCCCCCGGACCTCAGCAAGGATGGGTTAAAGGGTCAGCTTGCACCCTTCGTCAGGGCTCTCGCTATCCTCGACTGGAGTTGTGAGAAACCACGAAAGAAACGTTTTGGCCACATAGTCTTCCTAAACCAGGTCGACGGCAAGCGCTTCCTGACGTCTCACGGAGAAGAGTACTTGGAGGGCTATACTCGGCCCAGATCACGTCTGAAGTTGCTAGGATTCCATGTATTCTGCAAGCAGAGCAACAGAGACCCAGACGTTTACACCCTTCGACACCTAGCCCACGAAGCACAAGAGCGAGTCAAGCCAACCCGAATCATCGAAGAGCAAGGCAGCTCCATCTCATTCGCCATGACCATGGTCTCCTGTGGCTACACCGGATTCGACTGCGATGAGTTCGAATTCGTCTCGGAAGTGGAATGGCCACTGAAGAGCGGCAGCGTCGCTTTTAAAAGACGCAACATCATTGTTGAGTTCGGCGACGGAAGAATCATACGAATCCCTCTAAACACGGTCTTTGAAGTCGTGTGGAGCACGTCCGGTTCTAAGATCCTTGTTACCACGACCGATGTTCCCTCGTTCTTTCGCCGCGAAGGCGACTCCTATGTCCGTCTCCCTTCTCTTGGAGATGCGCACTCTCGTATCGTTGGCCAATATCTTGTATATGAGTTTAGAGTTGCCCCATCTGACTTCCAGTCTAAGATGATTCAACTCACCGAGTGGGACTTGGGTCTCATCCGTTATAAATATCGCTCGCTAGTCCACTATGAAATCACGCTGACGACCTTGATGGTGTTCCTAAAGGACCATCATACTCATGGCGGAGTTTTGCCTTTTTGCGTCCTTTTCCAACTTCAGGCATTGGCCTGCAATGCATACCTCCCTCCCCATATAGTCGTTGGCCTGGCAATAAAGTTGGAAGCCATCTTCAAAGCAAGAAAGCAGGCAGGACAACGGCCAATATCGGTGAATTCTCTCAAACGGCTTTTCACTCTGATCGGCTGGCCCTCCCCATTTGGCAACGCCGCTGAATTTGCGGTCAACGGTTTGCTCGAGATGATCATCGATAGCGAACAGGAGCTTCGTTATGGTGTGATCCAGGCCGACAGTCTCTTCCGTCCATCTCCTCATATGGCGTATATACACAAAGTGATGGTCACCTCTTCACGCATCACATTGCACGGCCCAGAAGCCGAGCCTTTGAATAGAATTCTGCGTCGATTCCCAAACCACCACGAGTATTTTATCCGCGTCCAATTCTGCGATGAGAGCGGGCAGGATATTCACTTCAGTCCCCGGGTCAACAATAAGGAGATTTTTGCAAGGTTTAAAGGTGTTTTTCAAAACGGAATTCAGATTGCAGGCCGCACTTACACCTTTCTGGGCTTTTCTCACTCGTCCCTCAGATCTCACTCGGCCTGGGTAAGCTTGATCCATTACTCTTCGTGCCACTCATCTTTCACCCAGAATCATAACTGACTCGAACTCTCTACCGTAGTTCTCAGCACCATTCGTCGACGATAACGACAACCTTCAGACCTACTTCACAATCATCAAGGCCATTGGCACTTTCTCTAACATAACCTCACCAGCTCGATGTGCCGCCAGAATTGGACAAGCCTTCTCCGATACACCCTTCGCTGTAGATCTCAAACAGCACAAGGTCTCCGTGTATTTAATGCCCGATGTCGAAATCGAAAGCCGAGTCTTCAGTGACGGTGTGGGAACGATATCCAAAGATGCTGCCACTGCGATCCATACCGTTTTACCACTCAGAAAGAGACTACCAACGTGCTTCCAGATCCGGATGGGCGGTGCAAAGGGCATGCTATCTCTCGATCCTTCTCTTAAAGGTTGCCAGATCCGAGTCAGGCCTTCAATGGTGAAATTCGACGCAGAAGACAAGAATAACCTAGAGATTTGCGACACTGGATCGAAGCCCATCCCCTTGGTCTTGAACCGACAGATTATCAAAATAATGGAGGACATGGGCGTTTCAGAGGACTGGTTCTTTAAACTACAAGGACTGCGTATAGATCAGCTACGGAAGGCTACTGCAACGACCAGAAACACCGCAAATTTTATCAAATCTCAAGGTGTCGGCCATTGCGTTCGGCTCTACCGACTTTTCCTACTATTCAATCGATTAAAGCTGGACTACAAGGAGATTCCTTTTCTCCGATCCATTGTCGAGGCCGTCGTCCTCCGCGAACTGCGGCTTCTAAAGCACAAAGCCCGCATCCCAGTGGGTAAGGGGATCACATTGTTTGGGATCATGGACGAAACCGGCTTTCTAGGTGAAAATGAGGTCTTCGTTACCTACGAAACTCATGATGGCCAGTTCTTACATCCACCAGCACAAAGCCGGCTACTCGTCACCCGCTCCCCGGCTCTGCATATAGGTGACATCCAATATCCGCATCACGTACTTCCCCCTGCGGGCCACCCACTTCGCGAACACAAGAACTGCATCATCTTCAGCAAGAAGGGTACCCGGGACCTTCCCAGTCAACTCAGCGGCGGAGACCTAGATGGTGACTTATACAACATCATCTGGGACCCGGAAGCTAGGCCAAAGTGGATATATGCTCCTGCAGACTATCCCCGTGTCCCACCCAAGGACATCGGGCGACCCGTAACAAGAGAGGACATGGCCGAGTTCTTTGTCGATTTCATGCAGACCGACAAGCTGGGTGTCATTGCCACAAAACATATGATCCTTGCAGACCAGATGGAAGTCGGAGCATTACACTCTGACTGCAGGAAGCTAGCACAACTTCATTCTACCGCAGTTGACTTCTCCAAAACTGGTGTACCGGTAAAGCTCGAGGAAATGCCCAATGTCAACCGCAACAGACCGGACTTGTAATGTCTTCCCCTCTAACACAATGTCCAAAAACTAACCCTCAAAAGTCTCGCCCCAGGGCCCCTCGCATGCATCCACGATAAACAAGATATCCAGCTAGAAGCCCGATATGTACACCCCTACCCAGACGATGAAATCGACTCCGCTCCCGTTCATATGTACTACCGATCCGAAAAGGTCCTAGGCAAGCTTTACCGCGCAATCGACGAGCACAAGATCTGGAAAGAGGAAATCCACTGTACAGAGGCACCAAACCCGGCGACTGTCTGGAAAACACTCATCAACAATCTAACAAAACGGTGCATGGACCTCGGTGCATCAGTAAACTGGCAGCACCACTTCGAGACAGCTCGCCAGCTCCGCGCAGCGTAACTATCCCTTCTCAATACCTCTCCCCCCTTCTTCAATCCCATGATGTTCACTATTAACGCATCATGGATGGAATTCTAGTTACGAAGACGCAATGTCCACCGCAATGGCCAACTTCTCCGAACACCCAGTTCACCCCATAACAGAGCTAGAAGTCTTCATCGGCCAGATCCTCAACAGCAGCGGCGTGCAAACCCAGCGCCAACGCGAGCGGTCCATAAAACTCAAAGACGAATTCGATCGCATCGCCTCGTGGATCATGGACCAGATGTGTCTGCCTGGTCCGCGTACTGGGTATGCAGGTGAATTCGACTCGCTCGAGCGCTGCCTTGCCTGTTTCTATGTCGCGGGGGAGGTGGACGAGCGACAGTCGGGGTCCGGTCAGAAACATAAACGGCGGGGGTGGGGTGGGCTGGAGAGTTTCCGTGTTCTTGCGGCTTGTGTGCTATTGACGGAGGTGGAGGCCTTTGAAAGGGATTATGCAGATAATGGAAATATCCCTTTATCTGTGCCGACGACCACAAGGGGATATGGATACGAAGATGAAGAGGAAGCGAAGCGGCTCGATATGGAGCGGATGCTGGATTCACTTCGTCGGGTGGGGCTCAGCTTCTGATTTTGAGTGGCTACGTCGAAACCGAGTTAGATATGGATTGATTGATGAATCTATACAGACATATTATCATATCATATTATTATAGACCCCTCAAATCAATAGTTACAAGTCTCCTCCACCCTAGGAAGCTGGCGTACTTCTTCTGTTCGCATCAGTGATCTCGACATCGGGGTCTGCTTTCCGGTACTGTATGTAGTATGCATTCGAGTCCAGTCTGAGTAACTCATGCCTACTGCCATGCAGTTTTAAATACAGCGGCAACCCCATACAACCCCTCCCCCCCACTTCCATAAACTAACTTTAATTAGGGCTGTTAGTGTAGGTGGCGTAACTTAGGGTTTGGTTAGCAAGGTTGCTTAAAGCTACAGCTAAATAACTACTAGGTGGGAGTATTCATGGTGGACAGAAATTTCAATTGGTCTATATATACATCTGCTTCAACAACTCAAACAAGCTGTAAGGGGTATTCGTAGCGACGGTGACTGTGACATCAAATGGTTCCAAAACTCAAAATCAGGAGCAGAAAAGGATAGATAGATCAACAATCACTCGCTTCACAAATCATTAAGATGGGTAATAGTAGGAAGGAAAGAGTTTATAAAATGAATAATAAGGAAATTTCCGAGGATTAAGTCAAGCTCGATCAAATCTCCATCCAGGGAGCAAATAATTAACGCATGCATGCATAGACGCTAAATCAGCTTAGCTGTACGAAGGAGGCTCCTCTTCCGGAGAGTTCGCCAAAGCGGTCTCCACCGCACTGCTGATGTCGATGTGGAAAAATGGTCGGTTGACGCCCTGCACCACAGCCATTTGGCGGGGCCTTCTGTAGGCCTTGCTATCCCTCAGGTCGCGCTGCAGCTTATCTTCCCCGCCGGTGCTAGAGTTGGATGATTCTTCTTCGATGCCGTGCGTCTCGCGCTCGACGGTGTGCGAGGTACGCTTCATGCCGGTTTCCAAGTCGTTACCGCCGTGGGCGCTCGCCTGGCGAGTCTGCTCGTTGGCGACCAGTTCGGCATGGGCAGCGGCTGAGGACCGGCCTTCAATTTCCGTCACGCTGAAAATGGGTTTCCAGCGGTGGAAGCCATCATCCGATGTAGGTGTATAGTACCCGAAGCCAGCGGCGACAAGGGCCCGCTTAGTCCAACGGTTCTTTACGTGAGCGAAATGCCACTGTACCGTGCGAGGGGCCGCATAAATATCAAGTTGGTTGCGAACATCGATCAGGTTCTGCACCGAGGTGACATCAACGTTGTTGACGGCCGAGAAGTCAAGAATGACCGCTTTAAGGATCGGAAGATGAGATCGATCCTCTTCCGCCTTCCCTTTGCGGGGACCTGGGTCGTTCCAGGGGCGGTCACCGGGTTTTCCGTAGGTGAAAGCGTTGGTACGGCGGGTCTGTCTGAAAATGGAATCAACAAGGTAGTCTGTGTAGTGATTGGCGTTCGGGTAGTTGAAGCCCTCGGACAAGCGGTAGATAAAAATACCCGGGAAAGGCTGTTCGACATTGATATCGGGGTTGGAACCGTCGGCATGGTTAAGGGGAAGGAAGATCGAGCGTACGCGGTCACTGTCACCGCCAAGGGCCGGTTGGGATTCCTCCAAATGGTGATCTCCGATAACGGAATGGATTGTGACACGGCCCAGAAATTCGCCGCGGGCCTTTGCAACGCGGAATAGAAGGACTGCTGCCGATACAGAGACAGTGCAGTAAACACCAATCTCAATTGTGGTGAAGACGGTAACAATGACACCAATGAAGAAGATCAAACAGTCAAGGGGCGAGACACGATAGAACTGGTAAACAACGTTGGGAGGGGTAATCAAGTCGCCGACAGCGTGGATGATCACACCAGCCAGGGATGCACTTGGTATGTACCAGAAGAGGGCGGGTAAAGCATAGATGGCGAGGAGAACCACAACGGCGGTAATGACACCGGCTATCGGGGTTCGAACACCTGCCTTTGACTTGATTGCAGTTCGTGAAAAGGATCCAGTGGCAGGGTATCCACCGAGGAAGGGGCCCAGCAAGTTGGTCACGCCGATAGCAACCAATTCTTGGGAGGGGTCAATGGTGTAGTTGTTAACACGTCCGAACGACTTGGAGATGGCAATGTGTTCAATGAGAAGGACAATGACAGCCGCGGGCAGTTCGGTAGCGAAAGTCTTGATGATCTCGGCATTGACGGTAGGAACAGCAGCGTGCTGGAAGCCTGAAGTATAGTAAGCATCAACAGCTAAGAGAGCATTTGTAGACGATCTTACCTCGGGGAACATTTTCCAAAACCTTGAACGTCGGATTATCCCTCCGATGAAGATTTACCGCGGCACTGATCATAGTATAGAACAGGATCACGAAGACAGTGCGTAGCGTAGAAACGAAAAACCAAAACTTGGCACGGTGGGGTTGCTTTTTGGCCGCAAAGTTGCAAGCAAAGCGGATAATGTATAACATGGCGCAAGCAGTGACACCCATGGCAGCATCCAGGCCAGCAGACGGAAGCGCCTTCAGGGTTTGAATGATCGTCATGTAAGTAGCTCCTCTCGTATTGACATCATCTTTCTCACCAAGCATGGTAGAAACCTGGCCAGAGATGATATTGACGGCGGAACCAGTCATGAAGGCGGTAATTGCTGGCAGGGGAATGAAATCAACAATAAACCCGAGACGGAGGAGACCCATGGCGCAAACTATTGCACCGCAAATAACTCCTAAACAAGAGGCAATAATATGAGGCTCCACATCAGTCTTATCCTGGGCCTCTATAACAATCTTTCCGACGAGGGTAGACATGACAGCGACAGGCTAGATGCGTTGATTAGCGAAGGGCAACCAAGTAAAGAGTAAGAGAGATACGTACGCCGATTGTTATATCTTTGGACGTAGCGAAGAACCAGTAGATCAAAACTCCCATGAAGGAGGAATACAGTCCGTATTCGACGGGCAGCTCTGCAAGTTTGGCGTAAGCCATTCCTTGAGGAACGACAACAGCGCCAACAGTTATACCAGCGACCATGTCTCCCATAAGCCACTGTCTGTTGTAACGTGTGATCCAGGACAGGAAAGGGAAAAGTCGATAAAAGTAAAGCCCGACTTGATGCCAGCTCGGGAAGACTTCTGCAAACCACTCCCCGACGGTTGGTTCGGGCTCGACATAAGAGTGTGTTTCGAAGGTGCCGACGGAGAATGTCGACTCGCCACGAGTGACAGGGTCAGGTTGCTGCTTCTCAGGAAGCTTGAGTCCCAGGGTCTTGGCGACTCCATGGCCAACTCTTGAGCCAAATTCGTTAGGCATGTTGGGTTGGCGGACCGTCAGGACTGCAAATGGGTGCAGTAAAGGAATATATGTTCAGCACGAACACGGGGGCCGACGTTCGCTGGACCTCCGAGGGGTCTGACGACAAATCGCAACCGGATGGTGAATCGCAAAGCAAAGGAGATAAAGTCAAAAACGAAACCGCACGATTCGCTCGTGATGGGGCCGGATCAAATAGTAAATTTAAGCGGACTGGCTGGCCATGTCTAGAGGGTGGATGATAGGAGAAGAAATTGCGCGAAAGTGGCTTTTAAATGAACCACGACAGACTAAGGCGATGTCGTGATTTAGAGCTGTAAATGCGAATTCAGGGTTCCCCCACGAACAAGATCTCGTAGTCAAACCCAAAAGAGACGATCAAGCCACCAGCTGAGAAGATTGAACAAGTCAAGATGCGACGTAATATACACCGGTGCAAGCTGAGTGGCCGGCAGACGGGGGGGCACAGGGCGTGGCGGATGGAGTACAGAGTATGAAAAGGAATGCCACAAAGTACTGGGACACTAGGGAGAAAGGAAGAAAAAGGCCGAGAGGAGGCAGCCAGATGTCCACAGCAGCGAGGTGTTGGAAAAAGAAAAAAAAGGTCGAACAGTTCAGGGACAGTGACGGACGGATCTATGTCTTTTAGGCTTTTTTTGGCGGCGTCGCAAGGAGATCTTACGAGACGGGAGTCTGTGGGGGGGAGGAGCAGGAGCTGCCGCACTGCTCAACCATGAGGCGAATCAGTCTGATAACGGCGGAAACTGCGCACGCCTGTGCATGTCCCACAGTCGTGGCAGTCCACTCTGGCGCTCGAGCAATGGTTGTCACACAATTCCGACCCCGGGCCACGCAGCAGAAAAAAGCAAGCGGGAAGAGAGCAACCGCGTGGAAGGGATCGTCAGTGGCCTGTAGCCGAGCGTTGACAGTGGACAGCAGGCGTTTAAGCTTGGTGAGGGCGCTGGCGTAATAAGGTCCATCCATCTGTGTTAGCGGGACTATCATTCATCGCCGCCGGTCTGGAGCGGAGCCCACCCATGGTTGCAATTTGCGGCTTGCACGTCAGGATCTTACCCAGGAACTGCGCTTCCATTGTGACTCGAGGCACCGGATCGTCTGCAGGCGCTCATCTGCGGAATCCGGCGTCATCGCGCAGGAAATCTGACTGGTTTGCGGTGGAATGAGGGGCTTTGGGAAGCAAATGTTGTTGATACACAGCACGAGCAGGGTGGAAAAGCGCTCATTCTGCCGGCTGCCACCGCCCTCTCAGGCCAAGTTACCCGGCCAATCAGCGCTCGCGAAAAGTCCGCCAGCCAATGGGAGGCGGCACAGAACACGCCATCAGCCAGACAGATGGTGAAAGCTCACTTTCCCCACGTGTGGAACTGCATTTTATTTTTGAATATTCCGATTATCTCGCTGTTCTGAGTATACTACTCGAGGCGCAACTGATGATGTCGACGGTCTGTCGACGGTCTCTACCACTTAGCTACCCGCGCAGTCTTTGTGCTTGGTGAGCCTTGCTCGAGAACACCTGGGGACTGGCCAACTGTGACCGCAGGCCTTCGATCGCAGCAACCAAGGCTTGGCACTGCACGCCCAAGCCACGGGGATCCTTCATGCTGGGCAAGAGACTAATTCATCTTCACGATTGTTGCCGCACACGGCATCGTTTACGAATGAGACACCGGCCAAATGAAACGCTCGGCGTCGCTGCCTCGTATGCAGATTGCAGACGCTTTGATTCATCTTGAGCAGTGTGGACTGGTGGACTTTGGCCCAGCCAAGCACCCGCAGGAATGGCTGGCGAACCCTGCGCTCTCCACCGCCGCCGGTCACCTCATCAACCCCGAAATCGCGTCATCATTCTTGTCTGCGCCGCATGCTCTGCGCTTCCCCGTTGGGATGGCCAAAATCACCAAAATTCAGAAAATTCGATGGTGATGCTCAGGAACAGCTGCGGCCAGCTTGACGTCCGCTTACTAGAGCCATTCCCCAGAAAATGCACCACGGGTGCGACATGACTATATTTTATGGACCCTTGCTGATCACATCGCTGCAGTGGTACTACAGAGCTGGACAATCCAGGCGACATTCTCCCTCGACAAAGCAATAACCACGAGAAATGGTGTGACAGAGCACCATCTCCGAGGAGCCCAGTCCAGATCGTTCGTCCGTGAGTTCTCGCTACCTTGGACCTCTCAGCCCCAACCCTGGCTTCATCGACTGCCAGCCACGAATACACTCAAAGAATGACAAACGGCCACTTATTGAATTCCCGCATCGCCCACCGCGTGCATGGCAGCCGTCCATCTCGTCCAGTAATCGTCGCGGCCATCAGATGCACCCCCACGGAGCTGGCCCTTCTGGAACGATTTCTTGATTAACCTCAAATGTCGTCATTTTAGTGGCATATGAGCCATACTCATCAGCCAACCATCCGCCTCTTATATCGCGTTATTTCGCCAGGGGGGTGGGAGAAGAGGACATCCAAGAACCCTTGGATCAAGCTTGACAGAGTACAGGCAGGACGAGTTTATTATTGGCATGCCTCGTGGTCTGTGGAGGCGCACGCTTATGTTGATGACAGTCTTGGTGTTGATGCTGGCCGAATATCAATCTCCCCAGGACATTGATGCCGCGACTTCTGATGTCTCAAACCTGCTCAGCTTGGGTCATGGGTGCCTTCGAAAGTTCAGCCGCCCCTGATGGTCTTAGTTCTAGATGCCTTCTCACGCTTTACTCTGTTCTCGCGCATGCAACGCCCTGTCTCGGTCACCCCGTGCCTCGTACCTTCGACTCCAGTCTCAAGCCGCGCCCCTAACATCTCCACTGAGGGCCCAAAATGGCTTCATTTCCGAGTTATGCTCGAAGAATTAGTCTCGACTATTTGTCACTCTTTTCACCCAGCAACTCCTCACCTGGAAAGCTCTAATGCTCGAATAATTGAACTACAACATGACCATTCGAGGTCATGCATCTGCTCACTTCTATTAGGCACCTACGCCTTTGTCCATCTATAATCTAGACCCAAAATCCCATCCTCCCAACTCTCAAAGCACCACGCTATTTTAATTCTGAGCCCCTTGCATCACCAATGCTCTCCTGCAGTCCGACTCAAAAACCGAGCTCGAGCCCTGCGAGTGCGACCAGAACTTTCGAATGAGGTCTGACAGCCCCTTGCGGCATGCCGATGCTCTCGCCCGACTTGGCTAGCAACCTACCCAGCAACCGATCGCTGACACCACACTGTCTCACAGCCTCCCTGGTAGTATTGCATGAATCAAATACCTCAAGCACATGTACATGTTCGCATGATCAAACCTGCACGCCAACATAACTAAAGCCGACATTTCACCAAACTGCGTTCACTCTCTTATAGATTAATGATCCAGGCCAGTCTAGAGTGCGCGTGATCCTTGACCCATACAGACCTCTACCTATGTTCAACCAGTGGGTTAACTAGGTGGTCTTTCGGTCTTGCTAGCCTTGCTAGAGCGATACAGAACATGGATAGCGTGAGCATACAGGATGAATTTCTATTTGCGCTGTACCAATGTCTTGCTCAGGAAGCAAATAATTCGAATATAGGCTTGCTACTCCATTCTTGACAGCTCCATCTATCCACCCATACTTCTCGAGGACTGGGCATGTATTCAACGAAGTAAAGCAAAGTGAGGTAAGGTACATTCCACCTACAAGAACCGCACGGCCTTTTCTTTCCCCATCTCTGCAGTTCAGCTGTTCATCTGGGGAAATGTATATATACATACTCGGTATGTCCGGCTTATACGTAGGTACATATATATTCAAATGATTCCATTGAATTAAATTCAATCAGCACGTCCATGACCACACGTTTACTCGAAATAGAGCTCGTAGACATCCAAGTATTCAAGGTATAGGGCTTTCTTTTCACAGGCAGCCGTGCTCCTGCTCACCGTCCGGACCATGCTATTCCAGTTCTCGGAAAAGAATGCAACACCTACCTCAGGCGCAACGTACTGTCTGTGGTAAAGCCTCCAATACGCGCTGATCACCCCCTGTTTGCCTCACCATCAACCCTAACGTATACACTCTGCCTGTACTATACCTAAGCTAAGCTAAAAGACTCCCTCCCCCATGCTAAGCTATGGCCAACGCCCAACATGCATATTCAACAATCCCATCTCACGAGTTTCCGCGTTCCATAATACCTATTCAATATCAGGTGTAGTAGTTACGAATACTGACGTGAGTCTGGTTTGGGCTGCTTCTGGCTTACTCCGGTTACCCTTTCCAGCGAATGGATGGATGCGTGTACCAACATCAAATCACACTCCTTGGAGTCGAAGTTCAATCAGCGGCCCAGTTGAAAAGAGGCGTTCGTATGGTATTTTGCGAGATGTTCATGGGCTATACATGGGGATTTGAAGTATATATAGCAGAGAAGCTTGTTGGGTTATAGCTGATATATATTTTATTCCGGGGACCAGTGTCGAAGTTGACGGATATATATATATTCGGGCAAACTCCCGGCAGACGGACGATGCGGGTAAACAAAGTAGATTTAAGGAAGAGCACAGTTTTACGACTGCGGTACATTTGTTTCTCCATATTCAAGTACGGGGTACATCGGGGTTAGGAAAAGGACCGTGGTGAGCAACCTTGGAGGTAGCTATCAGGGTCCTCACCGATTTACTTATATACCAGACCCCAATACACAGCCTCAATGCTAACCGAGAGCTGTGACAGTCCTACGCGATCTACAATGTACTCATAAAAGCCGATGAAGAAAAATTCATACCCAAGTTCATGCGAGTCTATAATGTTGGTAACCGCCCCGAGAACAACTATCCCCGACCTGCAGTCAACCCAAGTCGCAAACAATAAAGTGCGAAAGCTGGACGTCTGTTCGTGACATACCAACCCAGGTCCACCTAGCAAGACAAAGATGGAAGGAGATTATGGTATAAAAATCAAGCGAGTTAAACGGCCGGTGGCCGCGGAAAAAGTGAAAAAGGCGGGGAAGAAAATCAGACTCTCCATTCATCATCCGAATCTTCGGTGCAAACGCCATCGCAAAGCAAGTCGTCGAAAAACAAAGCAGAATAGACCAGCATCAGGGCTCACCTTCAACATGGTATCATAAACGAAGTTCATGAAGCCCTGGCACATCCGTTACACAGTCATAACACCCAGTTTACTGAGAAGCGCATTGCACGCGCTCAGCACCAGGAGGAACATCATCGTCATCATCATCCATGCCGGCCGCGCCGTGGGCGCGTGCTTGTGAGGTGCCATCACCCTCAACGTCTTCCAGTTCGAAGTCGTCCACCATAGCATCTGAAGGAGCCTGGGCCTGCTCCTTGCGGGGTGGCAGAACTTGCTCGAGAAGGTTGAGGTTTTGTAGTTCGTCCCTCTCGGGGAACTTGACGTCAAACTGGATGTAGAGGTTGCCGTGGTCGTGGTGGCGGAAAGATGGCATACCCTGGCCCTTGATGACCTTGACAGCGCCTATAATCATCATGTTAGTTTTCTCCTCTTTGCACCAGTTGATCGGATTACATACCAGGAGTGATAACCTCGCCAGGGGCGATCGTCACGGACAACCACCGGTCGTCAAGATGCTCAATGTTAAGAGTTCCACCGCCAAGCGCGGTGAGAAGATCGATCTCAGCGTGGTAGAACAAGTCATCTTCCTTGCGCTGGAATCGGGGGTGGGGCTTCTGCTCAATCTCGAAGACAACATCTCCAGGCATAACGCCAGGGAGCTGGTCACCTTCGCCGCGGAACTCGATCTTGTGGCCATTCTTGACACCACGGTCGACGTGGACGTGAAGGACCTTGCGCTCAACAACGGTCTTCTTACCGTGACAGTTGCGGCAGCGGTCCTTCTCACGGATGATCTCTCCTTCACCATTACAGTCGGGGCAGACGGTCTGGAAGCGCTGGATCATGGGGCCCATCTGGCGCATCATGGTCTTCATACCCGAACCGTTACAGCCGGTACATGACTTGACGGCGCCATCCTTACCACCACGGCCATCACAGGTAGAACAAATGACAGACTTCTGGAGAGCCAGCTTGGAGACCTTGCCGCGGTAGATGTCTTCCAAATTGACCTTGTGAACGTGGTGGATGGTGCGAGCCTTCTTGGGGCCCGTGTCCCGCATACCACCACCGAACATGCCACCGAAGCCACCTCCACCGCCAAAGAATTGTGCGAAGAGATCTTCGGCACCCATGCCACCGGCACCGCCACCTTCAAGACCCTCCTCGCCGAGTTGATCATAGACGGACCGCTGCTGGGGATCGGACAGAACTTCGTACGCTTTGGTAATGTCCTTGAACGTTTCGGCGGCCTCTGGGTTGTTGGGGTTCTTGTCTGTACAGAAGATAAAGTCAGGACACTCGTCGCTTGATTTCCTTTCCAGAAATTGCTACATACCAGGGTGGTACTTGAGAGCACTCTTCTTGTAGGCGGTCTTCAGTTGAGCCTCAGTGGCCGACGGGTCAACCTAGGACAGACATTGTTAGTTTCACCGCTGAATAACAAAGTACAGCTTGTGAGACTCACCCCGAGGGTGTCGTAAAACTTCGTATCCTTAACCATTGTGATCTAAATCTAAAATGTGCTGGAGGAGGAGTGAAAGGAAAGAAAAGAGTTCGCGAGGGGTAAAGAGGAAGCAAGGCTCCGAATAAACAAGAACAGAACTTTTGAACGGAAAGCTGGTCCGGGAGGGCAGGAGTCGGGAAGAAATGCAATCGCCGGACGTAAGAGAAGGAGGGAAAAGTCGGCTAGAGTCTTGAATGTGGAGGAGGGGATGTGAAGGTGGTGAGAGAGGGTTTTAAAAAGGAAGTGGATGGCGGCTTGAAGAATTGGTCCGACGGCTGAACGAGAGTGGAAGAAAGTTGGGGATGGCGAAGGGCTGTAAATTTGGTAATTCTGCGTATTTGGATACCAGGACCAGGCACCAATGGGTCTTCTTTCTGCGGTAACTTTGCGGGATTGGAGGTATCGCTGATACCGGCGATAAGTCAGGAACTACAGATTGGACAAGCGCAGAAAAAAGCGGACTTCGAGACAGAAAGGTGAACTGGTTGCTTTTTAACAGACTGCACTCAACCTGGGAGCCTGTCTCACTGGTCACTGTTGGATTTCCATCTTTGTACTTCCGTTATTTCGGCCTCGCAGATTGCCCGCTGAATTCCATGCCAAGCACATTCGACCTTGTTCGACGCTCTTCCATCGAATTCTTAGAATTTCTTTCGTCGCCTGCGTAACTCAATTACAAAACGAGGCTTTGTGTCAGCCTTGATTTACCTCCGGAAGCGTATTTTTGGTATCCTCCCGTTTCTTCTGTCATAAATCGAACCGTGGAGCACAAAGAGAATTTCCAAACCCAACCACAGAATCTTATTTCTTTGCCTCAGGCGGCGACAGAATTACCAATCCCTTATCGATAAGCATCCTGAGCAGGAAGAGGGGACACCCGCAACAGGTGTCTAACTTTCTACCTTAGTAACAAAAGTATACATTAGAAAACTGAGTTTATCACCACCTTATATATCGGATGACTGAGGTATGATCTTCACTCAGGTGGCGAGTTAATATCTTAGCCTTGAACTGCATCATATGCTTCACCCCTCCTACACCCCAATCCACAGCAGGCCAGCATTTCTCACCCTCCAGGAATGTGCCATTTAATCACTAGACTAAAACCCGAGCCACTCATATTCATCCCTAGAAGCCTAACTCTTAGAGCTTACTACTTAGCCAGCCCAATCTACTCGATGTATCTGGATCTTTAAATCGGCGTGGAGCTCCTATCAAATTGCGGGTCAAGCTAAAACCAGAACGGCAGTTAACCACATTCCGGGCCCCGACCCGTTCTGATATGCAAGCTCTGCACAACTGAGCTCTATATCCATATATACGCCTTTTGCCTTAAATTTACTACCTATCATCTCACCCTTCTCATCCTTCAATTTGATATAACTCCGGGCCATGGATACAGACGCCGGATTCATCGCAGCTGTGGAGGAGGCCAGAAACGGCGGTGCCGAGGGCGGCGTCCCTATCGGCGCGGCACTCGTAGGAAAAGATGGAACGATTCTTGGCAGGGGACATAATATGCGTGTGCAGAAGGGTAGTGCGACATTACATGTTAGTCCAAGCCCTCTCCTTCTGTTAACTATACTACGGCGGTGGGGGATTTGGCTAACTAGGTGTGGGTACAGGGCGAGATATCGGCCCTCGAGAATTCTGGCCGTTTACCTGCCTCGGCGTACGAAGGCGCTACAATGTACACGACTTTGTCGCCGTGTGATATGTGCACGGGTGCTTGTATCTTGTACAAAGTTAAGCGGGTGGTGATTGGTGAGAACAGAAATTTCGTTGGTGGAGAGGAGTACCTCAAAAGTCGCGGGGTGGAAGTTGTGGTTTTGGATAACGAGGAGTGTAAGCAGTTGATGGAGAAGTTTATTAAGGAAAAGCCTGAGCTCTGGTAAGTGGTTGCTTTCTTTCTTTTATCCCCTGTGGTATCTTTTGGTTGTTTAACTGAGCCCTTGGTCCGTCTTTTTTTCGGCGTTTGAAACCAAACCCATCCGGTACTAACACCATATCAATATAGGAATGAGGACATTGGCGTCTAGTATCAAAACACTATCTTTCTATATGCAGGCCAGCCGATACGCCGGAAAACCCAGCTCCTGTGTCGTCAAAAGGTTTAGTCGGCCGTAAGCCGGTGGATCTCCTCAAAGAAGAACTTGAGATCATCCGGTTTCACAAAGGGAGTGACACCTATATAGAATTAGCATATACGAGCATATACGAAGAATGAAGAATTCAGAAAGCATACCGTGGCCCAAGTTGGCAATCCATCCTTGCTTCCCCTTCTGGAATCCATCAACCATAGCCTCCACAGCCTGCGTAATAGCCTGGCGACCTCCATAGAGAACACCCGGGTCAGCGTTGCCCTGAATTGTCACACGCCCGTTGGCGATCTTGAAAGCCTCAGCCGGGTCATGCAACCAGTCCAGCCCAACAACATTATATCCCGACTCGCAAAGGTCTTCAAGGCCATACCAGGCACCCTTCGCAAATACCGTCATTGGCACCGGTTCTAATCCCATATCCTTCAGCCTCCGGGGCAGGTTTGCAGAGATATATCTCAAATATGGCAGAGAGAATCCCTTAAAGGACGCCGGCGACAGCTCTCCAGCCCAGGAGTCAAATACCTGGACCAGCTGGGCGCCCGCAGCCACCTGAAGCGCCAGGTACTCCACACAGATCTCGGCAATCTTCTGGAGTAGCGCCTGCGACTCCTTCGGATACTTGTAAACCCACGTCTTGCTCTGAATAAACATCTTACTGCCACCACCTTCAACCATATAGCAGAGTAGCGTCCACGGTGCCCCACAGAACCCAATAAGCGGGACTCTTCCATTCAGTTTCTTCCGGGTAAGAGTGATCGCCTTATATACATAGTCTAATTCCGCCTTGGCGTCGACGTCCTTGGCCATGACCTTCTCGTATTGTCCGTCGGTGGGGGAGCTGAGCGGCTCAGGGAAGTGAGGACCCTTCTTATCAACCATTTCCACGGTCATACCCATTGCTTGCGGGATAACCAGGATATCGGAGAAGATAATAGCAGCGTCGATAAGTCCCTCATATCGGTCGACAGGCTGAATTGTGATTGTTGAGGCAACTTCGGGGTTACGGCAGCACTCGAAGAAGTCACGAGTGCCTTTGGCTTCGTGGTATTCCGGGAGGTAGCGGCCAGCTATGGCGGGCAAAGAAGTCAGTTATACACAGTATAAATTGTACAATATATCAGATGAAGACACTATAAATTTGGAGCAAAGGGGAGCGCAGAGGTGAACCGTACCCTGTCGCATAACCCATATCGGCGGACGCTGCACCTTTTCGCCTAGATATACAATTAGATCGAGTCATCAAAAGGCAATCGTAGGCAATACATTACCTCTTGCAGCTCTCAACAGTAAATCATTCTTCAATGGCGCGAATTCTGTCATTTTGTGAGGCGGGGCAAAAAGTTGGGTGGTGAGGGAGGGGAACTTGGAACCGCAGCCTCCGGACGCTCCGATGATACTGTTGCTCTGGCCATCTTGGTGCCTCGGGCCGTCTGCCCCGCGATCCACATTGTTCAGGTATTCTGACGAAATTTTATACAGTAACTACTACGGATACTATTAACTAGTTAATTAACTACTTCGGTGCAAGTGGCTTTACGAAGAAACATATGCGCATAATGGGTAGGTATTCTCTATATCTATTTCCTAAAAGTAATCATAGTTCCAACCTGACATAACACGTTGAGTTAACCCTAAGCTACCTAGGCAACAGCCGCCAATCTACGAGTTGAAGAGGATAAACATCTACGATATAGGAAGTGGGAAGCGGCCTATGACAACTGTTAGCATATGAAGAGTAACAGCGCATGTGTGTAATGTCAGGGCAATTGAGGGTGAGGCGTCAGCAAAAAATTAGAGTGTTTGTTGTTGCGTGTTTTTAATCTTCAGCACACCGGCAGGTGTTACGAGTTAAAAATATTATCATCTTCCGCCAGGGATGTGTCGTGATAGGCAAGGGGATGCTCAAGGGTTGAAAAGAGACAAAACGTACCTTGTAGACAGTGTAAGAATATGAATCGTAGCTACATTCATATCTTACTAGAACAGAAAATGTTCACCAGTATCATTTTTCATTACCCAACCTCATGATTGGTCATAAAGAGTATCTAATACATGGCATTCGTATCCCGTGTGTTGGCACGAGACGTTTAGTCGAAGAGACCGAAGCCCATGTCCTCGTCGGACTCGTCAGCCTCCTCAGCGGGAGCAGCCTCAGCAGCAGCCGGGGCAGCACCGCCAGTGGCAGCAGCGGCGGGAGCGGCGGAAGCGTAAGCGTCAGGGTTGGCAATACGGTCCTTGAGCTCCTCAATCTCGGGCCAGCTGTACTCGGTCTCGACAGCAACAGCCAAGGCCTTCTTGTAGCCGTTGACGAGAGAGTGGATAACCGAGGGAATGGTGGGGTAGTTGGTAGCCAGCGAGATGGTAGCGATGGTCTTGATGGCACCGCTGAAGGCATCGAGAAGCTGCTGCTCCTCGATATCGAGAACGGCAGAGCTGAAGGTCTGGCCGTTGTCGTAGACCTGCTGGATGGTCATACCGTAGGTGAAGGGAGAGATGTTGAGCATGTTGAGCAGGGTGGCCTCGGAAGGACCGACCTTGGTGCCCTCCTCAACGAGCTTAAGATCGGTGGTAATTTCAATGGTACCACGGGCAATCTTGGTGGGAACACCGAGAGCCTGGAAGAAAGAGGTCTTACCGGGTTCCATACCAGTGTTACCGGCAGGAATCCAGACATCACCGGGGGCGATGGCACCAGCACGGGCAGGGGCAGCGACACGGTTGGCAAGGATCTTCTCCTTGGTGGCCTTCAGGTCACCGTTGGTGAAGATGAAACCGACGTTACCTAAGTCATTGTCAGCCTATACGCTTCACTGACTCATTTTGCCTTGATGTACACACCCTTGACGTGAGGAAGGAGACGCTCGTACTCGGGGTTGTCGTTGATGAAACCCTTGAGGGCACGGCGAACCTAAAAAAAATTTCGGTCAATTGCGCCCACATAAAACCGTAGACTAAATAGCTTACCATGGTGTTCTTGCCCATCAGGACAATACCCTCACCACGGAGCGAGATACGGATCTCGTGCATCTGCTGAGAGCTGACATTGTCAACACCGACGATGAACACGGTCTTGTATTCGTCAAGAAGGCTCTTGAGCTTATCGAAGTAAGCGGCCTTGGTCTCGGACTTGCCCCCCATGTCTCCTTATTTCACTGAAGATAGGATGTTTAAGGGCAAGGGAAAATTCGTAAATTGGTTGTTGTTGATGTCGGGATGCGACGTTGAAGCTTTTCGGATTTGTGCGTTTTGGCGATTTTCTTTTCTTGTGGCTTCCGCTCGCTAGCCGATCACGTGCGCCCCGCCCAAGCTCCGCCGCCGCCCATTGATGGAAATCTCGATATAGCAGGACGGGGGAACAGAGAAGTGTGTTTGCTGGAGATTAGCTTTGTTTTCCAGTTATCTGAAGCAATTAACCTGCCTGCACGGCGTGGGATTAAACTGCTTACAACACATTCCGCCCCGCCAAATATCTGCACCAACATGGCCGAAAGCTTCCAGCATCCGCTCCAATGCATGCAATTTGTCAAGAAAAAGAATGGCGACTCTAGAAATGTGCTTGTAGCATCCGCCGGCGCAAAGCTGTTCTCTTATGCCGCAGGATCTGGGCAGCGACTCTCCGTTTGGCCGCAAGATGGTGTGGATAATCCCAATGCAGACAGTGCTAGATCTAACCCAGAGATTGAAGGCCCTCCTGAGAAAAAGAGAAAGGTTGATCCATCTTCAGAACAGAAGACTGGCGTGGAATCTACAAAGAAGCCCGCTGCCTGGACGAACATACCCATTGTGACGTCCACATCTAATGGTGAATATCTGGTTGCGCTCACAGGAGAAGACAAGTGCGTCCGTGTCTTCCAAATTGAGGAGGACGGTTCATTCGTGCAATTAAGTGAAAGGTCAGTGTAGCATCCATTAGTTTATCGGATGAGGAGGAACTCACACCACCTCCCAGGCAAATGCCCAAGCGGCCATGCGCCATCACATTCATGGAAAACAACAACATCCTAGCTGGCGACAAGTTCGGAGATGTCTATTCCATGCCATTAATTCCCAGCGCTGAACCACGCGCTGTTTCAAAAACTCGTAACCAAATTGGTTCCATGCGTATTGCTGCCACAAACCTTACTGTGCATACCCAGCGCAATCTCAAGTCACTTGAAATGCAATTAGAGCGGCAGAACAACGCCAATCTGAAGAAGACGGAATCTGACAAGCCCATCTTCGATCACGACCTGCTCCTAGGCCATGTCTCCCTCCTCACAGATGTCGCCTTTGTCTCACTTCCTTCACCGGATCCATCATCTACCAATAAAAGAAGCTATATTCTTAGTGCTGATAGAGATGAGCACATTCGCGTCTCTCGCGGCCCTCCCCAAGCACATGTCATTGAGAACTACTGTCTCGGACATAAGTCATTCATCTCAAAACTCTGCATTCCCCAATGGGCACCAGAATTCCTCATATCTGGCGGCGGCGACCCGCATCTCATGGTCTGGAACTGGGCAGCTGGCGAACTCCTACACACAGTACCCCTCGCCGAGGAATCTCCTGAAGGCAAGGAGGTGGCTGTTCGCGGGATCTGGCCGGCCTCTCTTGGTTCAGAAGCTCAACGGTTTATTTTTGTCTCCCTGGAAGGGTACGTCCCCTGACCATCGAGCCTCTAGTTCAAGCAAACTAACAATCTCCACAGAAGCCCAACCCTACAAACGTTCACCCTCGAGGCCAATGGCTCAATAACACCGCAGGAGCCTATCAAGACCTCTGGTAACATTTTAGATGTTCAAGTTACCGAGGATACCAATACGGTGCTCGTCTCAATTGATTGCATCCGTGAGGCAGGATCAACACAAGAATGGCGATCTAGCCCAGTTCTTCCGGCTTCTCTGCTTGAGGCATTCCGACTAAAGCAAGGTTCTGGGAGCAAGTTAGAATGGGAATCTATTTCGGACGCAGTGATCAACGCCATCAATGATGCGGGGACGTCATCCGTATCACTGTCCGCGGATGGTGATCAAAAACAGAAAACCGCGCTGAATGACTCTCTATATACCCTGGCAAACCTCAGGAAGAAGTTTGGCGAAGATAATGATGAGAGGTAATAAGCGCGTTCTGATGATTTACGGATTCCAACGTTGTACATGTAAATAGATCGATAGAGGCTCGACGGCTAAAATAAAACGAAGTAAATATGGCAAAGTAGTATGTGCTTGAAGTAGCTCTTCATATTATGTACTGCTAATATTTCCTAGAATAGTTCCCATAATGCCATGCTCTGCTCAATGCTGGTCTAAGAGTAAGAATAATATAAACGGTATAATGATAAACATACGGCAGCAAGGCTTATGTCTGGCATCGCTGAAACGTATACACAAGAATGTTCGTTCCACTTCACCCATCATCACCACCCCTGCCGAACCTACCTCCGAAGCCCAAGTCTCTCCGGAAGAATTTGCCAAGATTCTTTAAATTCTCATTCAAATTAGACCCCACGTCGCCGGCTTGACTTTGGTTTGGTACAGAAGTTCCAGGTGTAACAACAGGTGTACCTGAAGCAGGTAGTGAGTTACCACCTCCGGCCGCGGTGGCATTTGTAGGTGTGGATGAGCCCATCGGTGTGCCTAATCTATCAACACCATCCTTCGCTGCGGAGATTATTGCTGACCCAAGCAGGGAGGCATCAAATCGCCCGCTCGATACCGCCGAGGAGCTGCCAATGTTCCCTAGTCCTAACCCCTGTGAAACGGACGTAGACGATGAAGCCACGTTTGTTTGGAGCCCACCCAGTATAGGATTACTTTCTTGGATGTTGGAGGCGTATCGGTCTGAGGTGCGATGGACCTGGAAGAGCTCTACCAGATGGTTCTGCTCCTGGCGGCTCCGAATACCCTTCAGGTCAAGGATCTTACGGAAGTTTGTGTTGTTTCGATCCGCAATGTGGATGAGGTAGGCCTGAACGAGGGCTTCAGGTGGTGAGGGTTGTACCTGAAGGGTTTTAAGCAGGGTTTCGATCTTTGCGAAACTATTGTTCACGCGCTTGACAAAGCCTGCGGGGGGCGGGGCGGGTAAAAGTGAAGATAGGCCTGTTTTGATGGTGTACGTATCAAGGAGCATCTGGACTGTGTTAGGCATCAATCATATATAAGATTGCAGGTGTGAAACTAACCTGCTCTGCGCCTGTTTCCGAAACAGGCTTACATTGGAACACGTTCTGGAGGAATATATTGGAAATCAACTCCACTACGTGGTCTGCGAAAGCCCTTGCATATTGTTGCTTATGAATCAACGGCAAGATATCGGACGATTTGGTGCTCGTTTTCGACAGTAACTCCCCGACATAGGAGCTCTGGTCGCTAACCCCCTCCATTCTATTCCACGGCGTGTTGCGCATCTCTCGCCAGCAAGGCTCCAGCTCAGTCTCAATCTTACGCACAAGACCACGGACAGCAGCAGATGCTATTCCCATAAATGAATCCGCTTGGCTTTGTAGGTCAACGCCTTGTTTCAAATTCTTGTCGAGACGGCTTTTAATCTTCTCCTCCAGCTGATTACAAGTGGTGTAGCAGTAGTCTGCCGTGTTGAGCACGGCAATATACTCTTCCACCCCGGGGGACCCCAATGGGTTGTGAGCAGTTGGCTGGTCACTGATATAATAGAGCAGTACTTGCTGGGCGTACTGGTCAAGATATTTGGCAAAGACTTTCGACAGATCCGCGAGACTTGCACCAGTGGACAGCTTCGCGCACTGCTGAAGGGCGTGTCTATAGAAAGTAAAAAGTTCCATGGAGGAGGCAATGACTATGTTTGAGTCAAAGTCTTCCCCTGGCGGTTTAACGGGTTGCTGACGGTATTTTGGTATCAGGGTGGCTAGCTGTTTGTCCTGAGCATTTACCCATACACTCAAGTAAGGCTCAAACGCCTCGGAAATGGCTTGGCCAAATACAGGTGTTTCCGCCGAGGCAAATGTATCAGTCGAAGGACGGGATGGGATCGCGAAGCGCCGCTCGAGGGAATGCTCGAAGTCCAGTGTTTCCTGTAAACAGGAGAGCAACAAATTGACATCAATTGTTTGGCCGTTTCGCACCGACCGGGAGAGAATTCCTTTGAAATCATCCCTAGTCCCCTCGCAGAATGCATTTGCCAGTATCTCATCCACTCTCCAAGCCGCGGGGAATATGGGGGCGTACTCTTCGTCGTAGATTCGCAGAATCCGTCGGAACCAAGAGTACCTCCGCGAAATATTGTCCAAAGACCCCGCCTCTTCATTATTTCGAAAGACCTGCCGGTATTCACGCAGCTGGAAGTTGCAGTACCAAGTCATCAGCCGAGTCCTTGCATGCTCACCAAGCGCGTCCATCACAGAACACGCCTCCGAAAGCGCCGTCCTCCTCGCGACGACCTCTCCCTTAGCAAATGCCAGCTCGAAATCTTCACAGATCTGTTCCAGCAAATCTCGTTGTATATCTGCCACATTTCGACTAAGGAGGGCGATCTGATCAATTGACCGATACGACTTGAAGTGCGCGACCAATTGAATCACTGCCTGGAGCAGCTGAGAGCAGTCCCGATACTGTCGCGTGCGGCTGAGGACACGTAGTTGGTCGTACGCAGTTGTCAACATCTGCAGTCTTTTCAAAGCTGTCATAGACTGTGTCAGGTTCTTCTTTGCGTTGTCCAGCTGCTTAATATCCGCAGTCATCTCCGTGATGGACTGCTCCGTCTTGGACGCGCGGTCGCGGACATCGTCAATTTTCTTGAAAAGCTCCGACAGATCCGCCTTAGCGGTCTGAATGCGCTCAACGCTCTCTGCATTTGATGTGACCTGGTCCTCCACCAGCGCGCCAATTTCAGTGTCTAGCTCGGTTTCGTAGTCACGCAATCGTTGGGATACATCGGAAACGGAGGAGAGGGTGGATGGGTGTGAGAAGATATCGTTTAGGTGATCGATGGGGTCATAGTCAGCTGGTAATTTTTATCCATAATCAGCAAGATATTCTACAGCCGCAGTCTCAATTCCATCGGCTCACCTGCGTCCAAGGGGTCGAGGGGCGCTGTCCCGTTGGAAGCCATCTGGCCGGTGTTGTGTGTGATGGTTGTAGCGGGCATTCCATTAGCTCTCGGGAATTAACGCAGGGATCATGCTGCAGGTCCAGTCGGGAGGCGCGCACTGTGGGCTTGGGTAAATTGGGAATAATTTAGTTGGGGTGTAGTTGTACTTTGCAGGTGGTCTGTCTGAACTTCAGACTGCGGAGAAAGTTGGCGGAAACTCCAGCTTTCCTGAGTGATCGGGCCCGGCCCCGCCAAGGCAACCATGAAAGGCTACAGTAGCTATCTACGAGATACAATCCACGGTTAATGAAGCAAGAAAGCTCGGTTTAAATTCTTGCTCGTCTCTATTGACATGTCTTCGTGGTCTTTATAGTACAATGAACTGGGATATTTGAACAATATGAGGTAACCTGTAAAAGCCATTTCGCCTAAGCCATGCATCCACTATCAAATTCAACAAGAAAAATAAAGCATCTAAATTGTCATACTCGCATAACTTAAGTAACTTGCGACGGTCGTGTGGTATTGGTGTGAATTCGGAGCTATACAGAAGCTCCTGGAAGAAAAGCGTCGGGGGGTAGCTGGCCCTGGGTCTTTCCATCTAGTTAGCACAATGTTACAAATAAAAGGGACTAAGATGAGGCCTACCTTTAATTCCTCGAAGTTTTTCAAGGCAGCATCGAGATTCCACCCATTCCCTGAAAGCGCCAGTTCGGAATACTGCAATGTCATCATAGTTTTGGCGCTCAGTTGCATCACTAATTGCTCTTGTTGCACCTGAACGTCAGCTTTACCAGGTGCCGGAAGACCGTACCCAGGAGGTGCAGCTGGGTTCGCCTCTGGAGCTGCAACGGGAGGGGGTACGGGCTGAGCTGCAGCAGGCTGGGGCTCCAGTTGCCATGCTTCATTGCCGCCGAATGCTCGCAGGCAGAGGACATCGTTGATGACCCTAATACCTCCGATGCCTGCACCGGGTCCGAGAACAAAAGTGCGATCAAAACTTCTAGTTTCAACCTTCCCCGCATTACTTTCTTCGAACTTTCCGTGAACCATAATAAGGAATCCACCCACGCCGGTTGTGCTCTGCCCCGAAATATCAGGAAGTCCAGGGATTGGAAAGCATTCAATAAGCCAATCTTCAGGACTTGTCGCGATGTCCGGATGCCTAGTCTGTGGAAGTGTTGTCCATAGTTCGCGGATCTTCTCGGCGCCCGTATATGTACGGGACATTCTCGCCGGTAGATGGCTAATTTTGAGGAGATTTCGGCTCTTCTTCAGATACGGATCCCAAGGAGCTGGCTCCGTCTGGAGTGCTCGCGGAGCGGATGTGTTCACATTGAGCGAAAAAGTCGAGTTATTATCGTAGAAGCCGTTGAGAATTTCGCTCCTATTGCTATCATAACCGGTAAAGAATGTTCGAATAAAGTTCTCTGCAATCTGAGATTCATCGTGGAAGTGAGGGGCTCGAACAGGAATTGGAGTTTTCTTTTGCGCAGCAACTTCTTCCTCGGTGCGGACTTGGGTATTATTTAATGTTCTGAGCTCCGGGTACCACTTGAGCATAGTATCTTTGAATATTGGGTCGGCACTAAAGGGATTGCCGGTAAGGTCGAGGAACTGTAGCTTGCGAAATTTCCAACGCCATCCAATAAGCGCCTGGGCATCGGCAAAATTGTTATTTGATAGATCGAGGTTTTTCAAGTCCGGAAATGTTTGGGAAAGCGTTGTTACAACGGAAATACTGGCGAGTTGATTATCTGCGAGACTAACACTTTCGACAGCCTCGCGGCGGGCAGTAGGATTGTCAAAGTTGAGATCCCACACTTTCATCAGTGCGGGGAAGAACTTGGATTCGGTTGAAGTTGTGCCAAAAATTCCCATAGCTACTAGATCCGGGTCGGTCGCTAGCTTGGAGAGGTCGAGTAATTTGGACTGTTGATAGTACCGCCTCCCCAATATAGCTGTCATCTTCGACTTCGTGTCTGCGGTCGACGGGGTTGTACCGTTCTGTGTCGACATCGAGTTGTCCAACAAGGCAGCCGTTGATTGGTCGTATTTCTCGATCGTAAGAGGAGCTCCTGCAAAGCTAAAGGTATTGAGTTGAAGCATCCTTTCTAGTAAATCCGGTCGGATGGACGCTATCAAAGCGTCGCCTTCAACCCGCGACTAATTAACGTTAGCAAGGCGTAAAAGACCTTGAAAACCGCAGCCATCCAAAGGAACAAACGCCCATAAAGCCTTGGCATCCGCCGATCGTCGTTCTGGAGGTACCATCCTTGAAAACGAGAGCACATCGGAGAGGACGACGCTGGTAATTCATGTTCATGTCGGTGGCCGCCAGTTCAGTGTTGCACATACCTTGTTGATTCTTGCGCGCGAGCCAGCTTTCGAGTCGGGTGGGGTGAGTTTCTTCTCGAGGAAGGTGACCAAGCTTTCGACGCCGCCATCGCGGTTGGATGCAGCCTTGCTTTGTTTCCATCCACGAATGGCGACCTGCTCGAGGGCCCCGCGACCGCCTTGTCGGACGTTCGCTTGGGCGTTAGAGCCATTTAGAGCCTTTTGAATCTGAGTGATGCTCCTGTCGATCGCATTTGTTCGGGACCCGGATCGACCAGGCCCCCGGGGGGCTTTCTGCCCACGGATAGCGCCTGTGCCCGCACCCATCGCCAAATCGCCATCTCGATCAATCTTCGTTGTAGCACCCCGCTTGCGGATTCCTCCTCGGTCACTAGTACTTGAGCGGCCGCGAGAACCTCTGCCTCTTTTCATCATGGTGTGTACGGAGTCGGATAACGTCGTAGATGGGTGTAGAGAGTAGGATAAAGAGGGAGGAAAGACGTCGTGTTTCGCGTCCGTATTTGAGGTTTGGCGGCCCGAAAGGAAATAAAGCGCTGAGCGCCTTTGTAGCTCAAAATCCAATCAGCATGTATCAGCGACGGATTATTCATTCAAGACAGAATAAAGGAAAGCCTTGTGGCGTGTTTATCGTCAAAAGAACAGACAAAGCACAAGTAAAACCTCTTGTTTGAGGCGCGAGCGACAGAAGGTCTTCAGCAGAAAAAGTGACGTTCGCTGATTCATTTCTTGCAGGCAACTAAATCACGTGCGCAGGCGGCGATGGGGCTCAAGGCACGTGATGGGATCCAGGCACAGAGCGGACCCAGAATCTAACCAATAGTATCTTGCAGTTTGTCCTTTGACAGAAATTGGTAATACCAATACACACAAGGCATTCTCAGCATAGCATTATTTTACGCGTTACGTGTTCTACTTACTCCTCCTCCAGGAAAGAGATAAACGACAGGACTGTCATACTTTCATTCACCAGCACAGCTTCTGGAACACTTTATTTGCAGGCCACAGACCGGATTGAATACTTGTATTCTCGCGACTGGCTTCCGCTGGCGTCTACAGTATTTCAGATTAAGTGCGTTCTTTGGCCCCCAGCTTCCTTGTCCTTGACGTCTATCTGTCCGGATCTCTACCACTTCAATTACGACTGAACTCTCTCCACTGTTTTCAACTAACCGCAAATCCTACGCTCTAGGTACCATCGTTACGGCACAGCCAGTCTAGAGTCGAACCAAAGGTAGCAACCGCATGATCGTCGATCAATTGAATTGAAGCCATGCCGGCCAAATCACGGTTCACAAGGCTAGACGCCTTCGCCAAAACTGTCGACGAGGCGCGCATTCGCACCACATCTGGAGGAATCATCACAATCGCCTCGCTTCTTATTGTATTTTGGCTTGTTTGGGGAGAATGGGCGGACTACCGACGTGTGGTGGTCATGCCCGAGCTGGTCGTCGATAAGTCAAGAGGTACTGTACCGGATTACTTCAAGAATTGAGCAAAAGAGAACAACTGGCTAATTATCGCGCCCCAACTGAACAGGAGAGAAGATGGAGATTCATCTGAACGTTACATTCCCCCGACTCCCCTGCGAACTTACGACACTAGATGTTATGGACGTCTCGGGCGAACAGCAGGTCGGTGTTGCGCACGGCGTGAACAAAGTCCGCCTTGCCTCCGTTGCTGACGGTGGCCGTGTCCTCGATATCCAATCTTTGGAGCTGTAAGCATGAGTGCGCCTGTTGGAAGATACGAATGTCGCTGACTACCCATATCCAGCCACTCCGAAGAAGCAAAACACCTCGACCCCGAGTACTGCGGCGAGTGCGGCGGGGCACCAGCTCCTCCCAATGCCATCAAGTCCGGTTGCTGCAACACTTGCGAGGAAGTCCGAGAAGCATACGCGCAAAAACAATGGGCCTTCGGCAAAGGCGCCAACATTGAACAATGCGAGCGCGAACACTACGGAGAGCGCATCGAAGCCCAGCGCCGCGAAGGATGCCGTCTTGAAGGTGTCATCCGCGTCAACAAGGTTGTCGGCAACTTCCACATCGCACCTGGCCGCAGCTTCTCCAGCGGAAACATGCACGTCCACGATATCGCAAACTACCTTGAGGTCGACCTCCCCACAGCCGAACAACACACAATGTCGCATATCATCCACCAACTCCGCTTCGGACCCCAGCTCCCCGACGAGCTCTCCGACCGCTGGCAATGGACCGACCACCACCACACCAACCCGTTGGACAGCACAAACCAGGATGCCGGCGAACCAGCCTTCAGCTTCATGTACTTCATCAAAGTCGTCTCAACCTCCTACCTCCCCCTCGGCTGGGACCCTCTATTCTCATCCTCCTTCCACAGCTTAGACTCCGACACCCCGCTAGGCGCACACGGCGTGAGTGGCGGGTCCCAAGGCAGCATTGAAACACACCAGTACTCCGTAACCTCGCACAAGCGCTCTCTGCGCGGCGGAGACGCCTCAGACGAGGGCCACAAGGAGCGCCTCCACGCCGCCAACGGTATCCCCGGCGTCTTCTTCAACTACGACATTTCCCCGATGAAGGTCATCAACCGCGAAGCGAGACCGAAGACCTTCACCGGTTTCTTAACAGGGGTTTGCGCTATCATCGGTGGTACCCTCACTGTCGCGGCTGCGGTCGACCGTACGCTCTACGAAGGTGTCAACAGAGTGAGGAAGTTGCACTCAAACTAAATCAATACAGTACCTAGATAAGATCTCCCTCCGGAGCGGCTCGAATCAGTGGAGTCACCTGTACAGAGCCAGCTTCTTGAAGTGCGCACGAGAAAATCAAATAAGAAACAAAGAAAAATAACAAACAACAGTGAGCTAACTATGTAGACGAGGTGGTGTTAGGCTTGAGCCAGGAAGGAAGTCGGGAAGTCAGTCAGCACTAAAGGCGTTTTTCGGACCAAGTATCTATGCTATGCTCCTTTTATTTTACTTTATTTTTTTTTTCCTGTACATCTGCAAGCTGTTTGTGTCTATTTAGCAAATATATCATTGATTTCAACTGTCGTTGGCTCTTATATGGCTACTTCTTTGGTACTAGATACCCATACATTGGACAGACGTATATAACACACACCTTCATTAATTGGTGTATGCAGCGCCGCTTGCGAGCAGTCATTAAAGCAGAGGGTTGGTATATTATATAAAATATAGTGATACAGATTGAGGAAAACCCTGAAGATATCACATTGATACCTGTCGGTATGTTTCGTTCAGCTTGGTATAAGATGATCTATCAGGCATCTCGGTGCTATATGTATCAGATATCTATGTCGCTATGCATTGGAGGCCAATCTCTAGCTGGGTCAAGCAGATACCAGACCTTTCCTCTCCCTGGTATTCATAATTCCAACTCCTTTCATCTGTGCTGCATTCACAATTCACCATGAAGATGCTGCGCCACTGAATAAAATTCTATTGTATGAGGTCTTCATTTCTTCATTCATCCAATTCAAGCTGCATTTCTCGTTCTGGTAGTGAAACCGACAATTAGTCTCTCATCGGTCAATAACTCAAGCATCTCGGGGATGTTTGCTTACCCCATATTTTGTTGGCAGATGCAACGATGATCTCTGCTTTGGCAAGTAGCTTCTTAGAGTACCGCTCGGCTTCAGCTGGGTGAAGATTTCTCTGGGCTTTGCGCGGATTAACCTATTGGAGTGTAATTGTCAGCATTAGTCTATCAAACAACTGGTTGGGGCCCCATACCATCTGCAGGATAGGAGCAATGTCCTTTGGATTTGCCTCAGCTAATGCCCGCAAGTTCCGGAACCCATTGTCGCGGAGTAGTCTGGCTGTCCAGCCCTTGACATAGGTCACTTGGGCCAATTCCAGCAGATCAGCGCGAGCACCGGCTTCCAAGCGGTCGCGCATGTGGTCGAGGACCGCAGCTAACATTCCCCAACCCATGCGTTGGCAGAATTTGATTATTCCTGCGGCGAATCCATGACATTGCTGCGCCAGGGTCTGGACTCCTCCCCGAGGGATCCGATAACGACTCGCAACCACTGACAACGGGATCTCGTTGCTAAGATCACGAAGCTGGAAGGCTGTATAGGCGCGACGATATATCATCGCCTGGGTCACTTGCTCCGGGGTCTTCTCCTTCAGCGATGCCCCACTTTGAACCCTGTCAAAAGTTCAGTACTCCATATGTTACAATAATGGATGCATTAGCAAAACCATACATAGAATTCACGAATCCCGGTTGGACTCCAACAAACTGGAGAGCGCGCAGGCCACTCTCGTCAAGCACATCCAACTGATCCCTAAATATCGGCCAATCAATCTGGGTTTGTGCAGCGATCTGGAGGGGAGTGAACATGTAAAATATGTGCATGTCCCCGTCCATCACAAAAGCCTGGAGTGCTCTCTTCAATTCCTCATGCACGAAGAGGCCATCCTCGGGAGCGAACGCAGAGGCAACAACCGCCTGCCCAAGTTGCGTGGCCACGTAGGACTCATCATCACTATTATAGATAAGTTTTTCTTCGGCCAATTCTTGAAGAGCCGAGTTCATGATGCTGTAGGATAGCTTCTTATCCACTGTGCGGTATAGAAGGGTACATCTCACGTACTCCTTGACCGCTTCAACGCCAGACACCAGTCCAGTTGCTATCGCCTCTAAGAGCGCTCTACGAAAATGTGAGCGACATGCCCGGTAGGGATAATATTGGGCGTTTACCTTTTCAATCCTCTTTTCTCTGGCGCCAGACAGCTTTCTATCGCCGGCATATCTGCCTCCAGTAAATCGCACACAGCCTTGAGGTCAGCGTTCCCACAGATAAGATACGTTTCACCAGCTTCGTCTTTGCCTTTACGCCCGGCCCGGCCGCACATTTGTCGCCTTTACCAGTTAGCAAACAGTGTAACCACGCTAAATCCCATGCTACCTACAACATTGCAGGACCAACCAATTCTCGGCCCATGCGTGCTCCATTTATGATGACTCTTCTTGCGGGAAGATTGACACCGGCAGCGAGGCTACAGGTAGCAATCAGTACCTTTATAACCCCCTGATCATATGCCTGCGCAATAGCCTCGCGCTCTTCGGTTGTCATTCCTGCATCTATCACTCAATCAGCACTAAAGCTGAGTTTAATATCCGGATAGCTGCTTACGGTGGAACCCCACTCCCTTAATGAGCGTTGTCTCAAGAGCCGGGTCCAGGCCGCTAGGAAGACTGCGAAGTTCAGCTAAGAGGTCAAGACGCTTGTTCAGGTCTTCCACGCCAGCGGAAATATCGGGCATTGCCTCGCTTATGAGCGCAGCCTGGACTTGACAGGCTACTCTGCTACCACAAAACACCAAAGCACCGTACCCCGCGATGACTGTATCAATTGTCATTGCTACCATTGCATTTGTCATCGGGTTAGAAAGTTCCTTGGATGCCGACGCTGCGATTTCACGCTCGGGGGTTGCAACGTCGCGAACAGGCAGTGTCCCCAATGATGTAAATTCAGATTGCAACTTCGCCATTGTCTGAAGGAGTTGCCTCGAGGTGGCTGCTGGGTAAATCGCATTCTCGTAAACGAGATATTCATCGACGGGAACTGGACGATAGGTTGAAATGAAATATTGAGCATTTATCCACTCTGCCAATAACTCGGTGTTCTTGACCGGTTAGATGTTGCATCCTACAACAAAAAAGGAACTTACCGAGATAGTAGCGCTCATTCCAACGATTTGAATATTCTGTTGCAGTAGTAGCAGTTTTGTTACCATTAACTCCAATAAGTATCCACGATGCTCGTCATCGAGCATGTGCAATTCGTCCAATACCACTGCTCCAAGTTCCCCAATACTACATTCCTCGATCGCAGTGTTAATCAAGGAATTTGCCTGCCGGTATGAAGGTCAGATGCAAGTAACACTAGCCGTAACTCCATAGTGACGCACCTTTTCAATAGTACAAACCGCAATGTCTGTGTCGGCCCAAGAGGCAGTGGTTTTACTTCCACCAAAAAAGCCAGAGACGCGGATAGATTTCTGCATTTTTCTCCAACGCTGATGGCTAGCATCAGCCTGATCTTCATCTTCCTTGATGTGTTTTTCAACATCCTGGACGATACGCCGAAGCCATTTAAGCTTCTCTTGGACCAAAGCGACATATGGCAAAACCAGGATCGCTTTCTTTGAGGGGTCCTCAATAATACGCTTCAGCATCAGGACATCGGCCACAAGAGACTTTCCACCACCAGTGGGGGCGGTATAGATCAAGTGCCGTTTTCCTTCGAGTAGACCCTGGCCTAACAAGCATGATGCCTGCCACTGATAAATGCTAGTGACGCCGACGGCAGCAAAGTTTGCAACAAGGGAATTGGGCAGCCCGAATCTTGGGTCATTTAAGGATTGAAGTGACCCCTGGGCCGATGATTCCAATGAAATGACTCGTTTTCTATCATGCTCTCCCGGGGTTGAGCCAGCAACGGGGCGGATACTGCTTGCAACGAGGCGACTCTTTGGAAGAGGGGCCACTTGGGGCCGGACAAAATCCAGTCCTTGGTTATGAGAGCCGTGATTATTTGTAGGGGTTTCATTTAAAGGACCACTAGGCGGCCGTTTCTGGCCTGCCAACGGGGCTACGACATAAGGCTGCTGGCGGGCGATATCGACAGATGTCTGGAAGCCACTTGTCTGAACAGACTGTCCGGAAGGGGCAGACATATCGTGGCCGTCGGTCAACGAGCCTGGGGAACGGGGGAGTTGCCCATTCGCGGCGATATGGGTCTACCAGGCGCTACACCGAAAGGTGGGCAGGTGGTCAACGGAGCACCTGGCAGCCTGAACCGAGCAGGGCTTGAGTATGTCCACGAGTAAGAATAAGGCTCGGGGTAAGAATGCAACAATACGGGCAAGAGCAATCTTGGTGGCTATTGTCGCGCCTTCCCCGTCACTACGCGTGTCAAGCGAGACCAGCTGCGGGACGGCGCAACAACAACAATTTCGCAGCAGCCCACTCTCGGCGCCTGAGGCACAAAGGCCCTCGGGAATATATTTATGCCTGAGGCGTTAATTGTTGCGCCAGGCCCTTGGATTTGGACAGTGGCAAGCTGAAGCGAGAGTTATCAGACCAGCGACTATTAGGTAATATATACCGGAAATATCAGCCAATTAGTGAATTTTTGCTTTTGTGCCCTGCTTCCGTGCGTACTGCGGGAACGTTCCTGGATCGGCTCCCAAGAAGGTTGATGCCTGAGGGTTCGGGCTGCAGCTGAAGCGCTGGTGATCCACCGATCCGTGGATGATGGGCCGAGGGATGACCCTCTTCCACCTTAGCCTCTCAGTGTGAGGACCCCGCCCCACCCTCCTCAACTCTGAACTGCACTCCTCCAGTGACCATGGATGGCCCCCTTAGGCTGTCTGCTCAGGCCTGCACTATAGACTGATCGGTTTATCATGACAGGCCGGCTATTTGACTGAGTCCTTTGTGCCTACATGGCACCGACCTCGCCTCGCAATACGCCGGACTCGGAAATATGAATCAAGCCACATGATGGGCCGCTAAGATCTGCGCAGCATCAATGCAGCCTTTGGCGACCTATTGACGTGCCCCTTGATGCAGAAGGTTCATGTTGCCGCCCCTCGCTTAGGAGCAGCTCATTAGAAAGCGCTGCTAGTCTGTTGGCGCCGTGGGAGTTGGACATCCAGGTGAAGAAAGGGAAGAGCAAAAGCCCTTTCAGTTGGCACGGATGTCTCGGACTCGGAGGGACCTGATTGATCTGCCGACGCGTAAATCCACCACGAGGCAAAGATGCACAGAGGAAACCTGGGTCACCCTATCGGACTGCCGTGGCGGCTGGATCACAGACCGGAGACTACATCACATCTTTTCGCTTTATCCAGACCTGGGAATTATTAATGGGGCTAGGGAAGGCCTCTCTCGGCCTATCCTCCTCGGTCCCCCTCAGAGTTTGGTCCGCGGCAACACCTGGCCGATCTGATCGCGCGAGAGATCACCTACTATCGGTGAATCACAGTATGGAGTAATACGTAGTGTCGTTACTCGTTAACTGTTTTCGGCGAGACATAATCCCAGTGTCCATCGAATCAACTGCAATCGGGTTGTTCTTCAAACTCCTCAAGGCAGATTATTGGGTCGAATAAAGGGGTCCGACTCTGATGGAA